AAAACATCGATATATCGATATATCGGACCAATTTTCCCAAAAATATCGTACGTTACGTACGTATAAGTATCTCACGAAATATGACACGCGGAATAATAATGGAACGAAAATTATCTCCCTAAAAATAGACCCTATTTTCGAATGATGAAAATGATTGCAGGGCCTCTCAGGTAAATGCTAATAATTAAAAAAATATCGTTGTTGATACGAATTTCGATATTGGTTATTTTGTATCGATGTATCGATATATCGAATCAAAATATATCGGCAAAAAATATCGATATATCGAACAAAAAATATCGATATATCGATACATCGATATATTTTCAACAAGCCTAGCCGGGATGATTTACTGCACAATTGCGACTCCATTATACCTTCTATCGAGAATGGTGGGTGTATATAAATAATGGTCCAAAACTAACAATTATGTTCATGAATGTAGGAAATTACTTTAATTTATATGTAAATCGCAATTCGAACGATCTATTTAATGTTGTTCAATCAAAACATAATTGGGAATGTGATTAAAAGCTGATCTTGTTTAGTGAATAATGTGTATGGAGCAATAATTTATCATCATCATCATCAGCTATTAATGTCCCCACTGCTGGTGCACATGCCTTCCCTATGGATGGAATAGGGAGATTGGGCCATGACCCACTGCTCGGGCCCAATGCGGGTTGGTGGGTGCTAACGACTGCAGATGCAGCCGGGACCAACGGCTTAACGTGCCTTCTGAAGCACGGAGGAGCTCGAGATAGTAAATTTTCGGTCACCCATCCAATGAGCGACCACTGCGAAAGTTGCTTAAATTCAACGATCGCAGCGGAACGCGCTAACCACTTATTCTATAATATAAACTTACAGACAAACATTGTGTTTTCGGTGTTTTTGGTTTTATTGCTTTCACTATTAGTAGCATACGCATCATTAGCTGTGTACTTAATTTTTGGTACTTCGTAGCAGTAATAATTAGATAAAATGTTTTTTTTTAAATATTAAAATTCACAAAATTATATTCATTATCACACAAACAACAAAAATGTAACCTTTCACATTACACTGAGTAATAGAAAAATAAAAATAAAACGCAAAAAAAATTTAAAGATTTTTGACGTGACAACGTCTTAAATTAGGTTGCGGCTGGGAGTCACTTATGAAAAAGTGTAACGCTCGGTAACGTTACGATGAGTCTCTCGTGTTAAGTTTAAGTTTACATGTACAATGTTTTAGTAAACAAAATATATTTCTATAGTTAAAATTTGTGCAATTCTTATTTTCATTCAATTCCTTGTTCCTATTGTGCAATTTAATTATATTCATATCAATAAATATTCTACCGAGAAAAAGACGTTGTCACGTAAAATCTTCGCCCGTAAAACCGACTTTACAGGCAACCATTTTTTTCTTTTTACTAGATAAAGTTCTATGCTGACCCAGGCTGACTTTCCGCTGTCCGGGGGATGCACTGACCGTCGACGTGTCGAATTTTCCCTAGTATTTAAAAAAAAAATTAAAAAAAAAAATGGGTGCGTGTACTTATGTAGGCGCGTGAGAAGTTATCCTTCTTTGGCATCGTTTAAAATTAGTTTTTAATTGCATGCAAATAATTAATTACAATAAATTAATAAAAAGTCTGGAAAAGGACACAGTCAATAAAGTTCAGTTTTAATTTGAAAAAATAAATAAATAATCAAAATATTCAATTAAAATCGCTATTGAATATAATTTATTAGAACATATGTGATTTGCACTTGTATGAAACTCAAACACGTATTCCGAATATACAAACTAGAAACATGTGGATAAATATTATAAACTAGCGGCCCGCCCTCGCTTCGCTTCGGTGTAGAGCTGAAGTGTAGACTACAGTTTTTGTTCTCAGGCTTGTATTATACACAATGACATTCATCTATGATTCTTCTTATACCTGCATGCAAAGTCTCAGCCCGATCGGTTTAAAATTGATAAAGTTTCATACAAACTTTCATTCCTTATTTTATCCCCTTGGGATTTTCTTTATATTTTTTTCCGTAAGAACCTTGTACAGAGTATTAGAAAACTACAAAAAAAAAACAGCCAAATCGGTCAAGCCGTTTTCATGTTATGTCGTGACAACGGAAAACGGGTTTCATTTTTATATATATAGATATGAAAACAGTCTCTGTTCTAAATTCAAAAGTCGTAACTTTTCCCGATGTTTGTTGTACGTGTTTCCCGCTCATTTTCTTTAATATTGTTATTAGCAATGCAAAAGAAATAAAAACGAACTCAAGGCATTTTAAAACCTTCAGCGGTCAGAAATTAGTAAAAGAAATCGTTAGCGATAGCGATAGCCATAGCAATCTCGTTAGGCGATTGGCCCCCTGATGTTTAGTAACGGTGAAGTCCAGACGTGAAGATAGCTGGTACAGCAGTTTGGCCTGCCACACCAGCCATCCTCACCCTGCCGGCCTGCGTGTTGCTTCTTCACGGCTCTTTTATAGGATCTCTTATCTATTAGAGAAGTCCGTCCGTCCGTCCGTCTGTGGTGCTGTTTCAGCGGCCAAACCGTAAGAGATAGATAAAAAGAATGTTTAAGTTATAAGTTAAGAACAGTCTGATAAGACTACAAACTGGATTTGATTAACGTAGCACTTCCGGTTTTCGAGAAATCACGAATTTCAAACGAAACCACAGAAAATCTCCGCAGTTCTCAATTAATTAAATACATTTTTTTTTAAATCAGGTTTTGGTGAACATTTGGTTCACTGGTTTGCTAGTTCAATATATTTCCATAGCATGCGCTTATCTAAATTTTCCGGGGACGAAGCTTCGCACATCGTGGGCGTTGAGTCCTTGAGTCCTTGACAAGTCCTTGGCGGACCTTTTTTTCACGATTCAGTGATTTTTGTCTTCCACGGACAAAAGTCCTTCGTCGGCGTTGGCCCTTCACTACATAGTATAAAACAAAGTCGCTTTCTCTGTCCCTATGTCCCTTTGTATGCTTAAATCTTTGAAACTACGCAACGGATTTTGATGCGGTTTTTTAATAGATAGAGTGATTCAAGAGGAAGGTTTATATGTATAATACATGCATAATATAGTAGAGAAACACTGATAATTAGATAGATCAAAATAATGTACTACAGTATTGTACACCTTAAAAAGGTCTACAAAAAAGTTCGCGATGGTATATGCCTATCTCTTTGGTATAACCCACAATAACCATTTTTTAATTACTTATTACGAGAAAATAATGGCTTATTTACGAACAAGCGATTTTAAGCAATACAGCATTAATCCTTATCCAATTAAGTACCTTAAATACATTGTGCGTGTAATATAGATCAATATAACCCTCTACAGCATGTAATTTAAATGAATATTTTCGAAGATATTACAGATTTAAAATGCAGGAACATACCGGTTCGGGCGGTACTGGCCGGGGGGCCGGCGGCGGCGCATGTCTTTAGTAATTAGGTATTTAAAGAAAGTCATTGTGTTTAATAGAAACCTGAGAACAAAACTATAATCTAAACTACAGCTCTACACCGAAGCGAAGCGAGATCGGGCCACTAGTAATATGATAAAATCAAATAAGATAGTTATTTGAAATAATAAAAAAAAAAAATGGGTGCGTGTACTTATGTAGGCGCGTGAGAAGTTATCCTTCTTTGGCATCGTTTAAAATTAGTTTTTAATTACATGCAAATAATTAATTACAATAAATTAATAAAAAGTCTGGAAAAGGACACAGTCAATAAAGTTCAGTTTTAATTTGAAAAAATAAATAATCAAAATATTCAATTAAAATCGCTACTGAATATAATTTATTAGAACATATGGTGATTTGCACTTGTATGAAACTCAAACACGTATTCCGAATATACAAACTAGAAACATGTGGATAAATATTATAAATATGAATACCTATAACTGTTACTTTATTACAAAAAATAAAGATGTGGTTTTTGGTTCTACTACACCAATGGTCAAGAGATGGCGCTGTAGTCTCCTGAATCGCGCTTTGGTTCCGTTGTTTCAGATTAATAAATACTTTTGATAGGCCTTCACAATGCAGTCGTTAGTACCCACAAAATAGAGATTCTATTTCTATTTTGTTGGTAGATTTTCTTAATGTGCGGTAAACACAAAAGTAACAGCATGAAGTTGGTCGCTAAAGTGTTACAGTGATGCGCGCATATCTTAAAATTTCACTCTCATCATTTTTTCATAACGCGCCTAAAGAAGTATAACTTCAAAAATATTACATTAAAAAAAATCAAAATTACATTCATTAAAAACATACTAGGTACTAGAATCTCACCTTACGCGTCATACTGACTATTTAATTAAACAAAAAAACATGAATAAAAAAAATACACTATAAGATTGTACTCAGAAAAAAATTGCGAAATGTCAATGTCGAATTTTGTATGGAAACTTGAACAGCAGCAGCCACAAAGTACGTAACGAGAACTAAAAATCAGTACACATTTGACAATGACATTTCGCACTCGCAAACGTTACGAATTCGATTTTGGTTCGATCTAAGGATACTGTTCCCCTATGCGAACTCAAATAAACCTGGCGTAGCAACTCAGACAGCGAACAGTCCGCATTGAGATCGACCCGATTAAAGAAATAGAACCAGTACTAGCAAACCAGTGAACCAAATGTTCACCAAAACCTGATTTAAAAAAAAATGTATTTAATTAATTGAGAACTTCGGAGATTTTGTGTGGTTTCGTTTGAAATTCGTGATTTCTCGAAAACCGGAAGTGCTACGTTACTCAAATCCGGTTTGTAGTCTTATCAGACTATTCTTAACTTATAACTTAAATATTCTCTTTATCTATCTCTTACGGTTTGGCCGCTGAAACAGCACCACAGACAGACGGACGGACGGACTTGTCTAATAGATAAGAGATTGATAAATTATAAGATGTAACATGTAGATTGTTGGAGAATAATAAATAAAGTTATTATTATTATAATTGTTACATTTGTTACAGCCCACACGTGTGCCGGAGTCGCAACAGCACGCATTGCTGTCCCGGGTGGACCTCTAGGCCCAACTCTCTACTCTGCGTAGTTCGTGAGTACCGAAACAACATTAAAAATACACAATAATCTTTTGGAATTTTCCTATAGCAGATTATAATACATAAATAAATAAATAAAATAAATATTTTCAACACTCACCAATTAGCATAGCCAAAGTAAGCACTATAAGGCTTGTGTTATGGGATATTAGGGTAACGGATAGAATACATATACTGTACATATAATATATGTATATACATATCGACAATGGAAAAGAAAAATAAATTGCCAATACGCCACTTTTGTGCTGCTCAAAAATAGACATTACATCCCACCAAAAACATTCTGTAAAAAACTAGCCAAGTCTCAATGGAGCTGCTTGTTTATCTCTAAAACTAAAAAGTAATGAAATCTAGACAAAGTCGTGCCAATTCTAAGGTTCCTTACTGAGATTTCTTTATTATTATGTTGTTGTTGTGTGACTTGGCCGTTGAAGGGTACACAAGGGTACAAAACCAGCCCCTCTAGCATGACCACCGAAACGAGATATGATAAAGCGATATATCGACATTAACTGCCAGACTACTGTCAAACTCCATAGTAGTCTGACAGTTAATGCCGATATATCGCTTTATCATATCCCGTTTCGGTGGTCATGCTAGAGGGGCAGGTGCTACATTTTTTACACAAAGCTTTGTGTTAAATTTTTTTGCGGTTTCAGACTTGCGGTAAACGCGTGTCTGACTACGACATTAGAATTATGTTTTTGTTGTAATATAATGTATTAGAATTTTGATTTTCCATCTCATTAATTATCAAAAAAAAATATATAACCTCCGTGAGTTTTCCCAAAAAATAATGCAGGTTTACCTGGTATTTTGATATTGAATTAAATAGAATTACTATCAAAAACTTTCATAAAACTAATCTGCCATCATTGAACTACTAAAATATGTATATTTTTTTTAATTAGTTCATTAATAATTATTTTATAAGACTCGAAACATCACCCGTAAAATGCAATATACTAGTGCAAATCTACCTACACGCAATTTTGTAAAAGTGTAAAAGATTTTACATTTTTAAGAGTTTTTTTTTAAATCGGAACCATGGCAACCAAGAAGGTAACACATCGAAGGTTTTTTTTAAATTTCGAACTGACTGCCAAATAGAAAGCTATTTATTGCAATTTAAATGCATAAAAATCTCTCAGCATAACACAGCCTTTGCTGGGCGGCAATTTTTTATACAGAGTTGTAAAATTTACAACGAAGTAAATAAAAAGCTAGGTATATCTAATCTAAATATGTATGATTGTAAAAAAAATGTACTTACTTGGTTAAAAGCTAAGAACTATAATGATACTGAAAACTTGCTTCAAAATTTGTAATAATGAAACACACGCACACACACACACACACACACACACAAACATAACAGATATATTGAACACTTTAGACTTAACATACAAAATGTAAAAACCGTTATATATTGTAACCAATATGGTATTAAGTTTGGAAAAGTTATGGAAGAGCGAGAGTTCCTGACACAGGCAAATAAACTTGTCTACTAGGGATTCTCAAATTGTATCACTAGCATAATATTGGTTATAGAAATAAAGTATTTTTGATTTTTTGATTTTTTTTTATTGGAGAAAAAAACAAATTAATAAGTCTTTAGTGTTGCTGTTCGTCAGTGATTTTGAAGAGTTGTATTTTTAAAATACCGGCCAAGTGTGTGTCGTACCGCGCGCAGTGTATGGTTCCGTAGTTGTCTGTCGTGACCACAATATATTTGAGAAGCAGTCTTTATTTTCTGTACCTAATAAAAAAAAACTATCAATATCGAAATATGTATCTCAACTAAAATACCTATATGAAAGTCAATCTGCGTCTGAAACTCAAAATCATTTGGTTTTTTTTTTATACTACGAATTTGATCTAATTTATTGAACATTATTGAGAGATTGAGGCGTTTCAAGTTGTGCATATTATCGTTTTTTCCGTAAACTAGCTGCAGTAGCACGATCAGTACAAAAAAGGAAAATAGTATTTGCAAATATTCTACATTAACTTACAATAGGAAGAATAAATGTACTGTTTACTTCTATTGGAAATAGTCGAAATCTTTTCTAAGGGGGTAAACGAGGCGCTCAAAAATTACGATTTTTTGCAAAAAATGTGAAAGGGTGTAGGAAGGCCAAAGGGGAAGATCTTCCTCCGAGCTGGGTGATGTTAGCTGGGGGCCGCGGCCACACTGATATTAGTCGGGCATCGTATATATGAAGAGTTAGCCTCCGAATTTCATTTGCGCGATGTAGGCTTCCATACTATAAGATCGCAGTGCAGGTAACGCCATCTCTTGAGGATAGTGAGTAATGATTTCCTCCATCCGTTGTATATATGTGGGGCATATAGATGTCGCCGCCACAAGGGCTCTTAAATTATTAAGACAGATATGAGTTTACTATATTATTTCTTTGGCTGCTAAAACACGACAGATATGGATTTTCATACAATTTTTGCCGGCCGCTACTCGCGTGCTTGTGGCCTGTGAAGCAATTTCGATTTATCTCATTTTTTATTTATTTATTAACATCAACAAGCTTAACACCATCTCATTATAAAGTAACTTACAAACAATGTGGAAGCGAACTAAGACACAATAGCACTGATGAGCCAAAATATCGCGTAACAAAATCACACTATTTAAAAATCTTCTATTGATGTGAAATAATTAGTAGTAAAATAAAAAAAAAATATACTAAAATTAAAAACATTTCATTAATATTATATCATTATTCGGTAAAACGTCACAAAATATTGTAAAGTAATGGACATTGATATTATAATAATTAAAATTTAACATAAACATTTACAGTCGCCAGCAAATATCGTTTGATGAGTTGGTAGTCAGTGCGCCAGAGATGGTTTCTGTGCCAGCCAATAACCAACCAATTGTTACAATAGATCTTACTTGTAATGACAGTAGAAATAACAAATTGGGGGTTGTTGGATGTAACAGGAACAAATTAAAGAAATATGTAAAAATTAATAGATATATTAAAAAAACTCAAAAGTTAATTAAAAAACAAAAGTTATTTATAAAAAATGTTAATATCAACAGGGAGAGATTACAGTTAATTGATGAATTGGACATTTATTCTGCAAAATATAATAACATTAGTTTAAAATATGAAACAGACACTCAAATTTTACAAAGTAAAATAGATAAACTACAAGATTGTCTCTCAAATGTAACCAAAAAATATGAATTAGCACAATGTGAAATGAAGGAACACATGCAGGCCATGAATGAGTTAATTGATTTATGCAATTACAATAATGAAAGATTTCATTCATTAACAAACAATCACACTTGTGATTGTAAACAGTTGGGAATTCAATCATCGCTCAATATTGACTCCTACACTTTACAACATAAGTCTGTATCTATTGATTCCCAACTTCAGCCAATAGGTACACACTTGACACCGGTGAAAGTAACTCACTCAAGAAACACATCTTTAGATAATAAAAATAACAAGATTATAATGTTTAGTGATGAAATTGGGAAGAATATGGGCCCTCTTTTATCTAAAATGGGACATTCAATAACAAATAACTGTATGCCTGGTACCTCTTATAAGGATATTTTAGAAAAGGCAAGTAGGCATAGCTACAGCAAATGTCACACCTTGTTATTTTTTGTAGGAAACAGAGGCAATTTGAACAAAAAAATATTATTAAAATATATAACAGATTTAAATACATCAAATGTGGAAAAAATTGTATTGTTCACATTGCCTTACTGCAACAGTCTGCCAAAAGAGGAAAATTTGTTAAGATATAAATTAAATATGCTTTTGTACACAATTTGTAAAAGCAAAAAATACCATTTGATTGACTCTAACAATTATGTTAGAAATTTTTATTTGACAAAAGATAAATATTATCTTTCTAATTATAATAAAAGACAAGTAGCTAAATCGCTATCATATTTCTTTTTTATGTCAGCCAAGAATTTGGCTAAACAACTTGCTCCTATTGAGCAACCTTCTAATGACATGACAATCAGTAATTATTCTACTGAAACCACTCAAAATAATAATAAATATTTTAAGTTAAGCAATCAGACAAAAGATAATTCGTCTTGCATATTGTTAAATAATAATGTAAATAAAAAATACAATTTTGTTAATATAGATAAAAAAAACCCATCCAAAAACATTACAAAAAAAGTAAGTTTTATCAACCTGGTGCATCTTAATATTCAAGGAATGATGGGTAAGGACTAAGAAATTGAATTATTTATGAATTGTAATAATATAGATATTTTTTGTATTACAGAGCACTGGCTAAAAAGTTATCAAAATATATTTAATTTTAATAATCATCAGGTTGGTAGTTCATTCAATCGAGAAAATGCAATTCGAGGTGGCTCTTTAATATTATTGAATAAAAAACTAAAATTTAAGGAACGAAGAGATATTGTGAGCCTCTCGGTTGAGCGAACAATAGAAATTGCCTGTGTGGAACTGGACCAGCTTGTTGTATTGAGCGTATACAGACCTCCATCAGCATTGTATGATTGTTTTGAAGTTATCATGGATGAAGCTCTTAAAAAAACATACACTACAGGCAAACGGTTGATTGTCTGTGGTGACTTTAATATTGATTTATTAGAAAAATCTAGTTCATGTACTAAAATAAAAAAATTATTTCAATCATACAATCTGAAAAACTTATTCATTGAGCCTACTAGAATAGCTGCCACTTCGGCCACTTGTATTGATAATATATATACAGATATTATACCACAGAAAAAACAAATTATTAATAAACTAGATAGTGATCATTGTGGCCAGTTGATTACTTTTCCGTATCAGCTCAAGCAGATGACGAAAAAACACATCACTGTTATACCAAAAACTGCTAATCGTGTGGAACGTTTTAAAAATCAATTAGATAGAAAATTGTGTTATCTTAAATATAAAGACAGTCCAAATGATTTATATAATGATTTTTTTAATATATATTGCGATGAATTTAATAATGTTTTTGTCCCCAAAAAAATATGTGTTAATGATGCGGTAAATTTTAGTAAGTGGGCTACGCCTGGAATTCATAAAAGTAGAAGAACACTTTATGAACTTTATAATGAACGAAACTCTAACACTAGTGAAAAATTTAAAGAGCATGTTCGTAACTATTCCAAATTGTTTAAAAAAGTATGCCGCTTAGCAAAATCAAATTACTTAAGTTCAAAGATTAAGAACAGTAATGACAAAATCAAAATGACATGGAATATTATAAACAATGAAACTGGAAAATCCAAAACTCGCAAAAATAATTATAACCTAAATATTGATAATAAAAAGGTTACATCAGATATTGAAGTTGCTAAAGTGTTTGAAAATTTCTTTACTGATATTTCAGTTTCAACTACGAAATCTTTGAACTCTTCCCCCATTGCTGCCGAATCAATCTTAAGAGAAAACGTGAAACCTTGTACTAGTTATTTTCATTTTAAACATGTTGACTTTAAAGATGTAATAAAAACGTTTCACCAATTAAATAAAAAGAAAACCGCGGATCTGTGGGGCAATTCCGTTGATGTTTCTAAATCGGTAATTGAGACAATAGCTCCTATTCTAGCTTGCATATTTAATGATTGTGTTGACTGTGGTGTTTTTCCTGACCTCATGAAATACAGTAAAATTACTCCTTTGCATAAAACGGGAAGTACATCAGACCCCACAAACTTTAGACCAATTTCTGTACTACCCACCTTTAGTAAAATTTTTCAAAAAATCATGTTAGATCAAATGCAGTCACATTTTAATAAATATAATATACTTCACTGTAAACAATTTGGTTTTACACGGGGTCGTTCAACAACCGATGCCGGTGTTGAACTTATACAACAAATTTTTGACGCCTGGGAGAACTCGCAGGACGCTCTAGGTGTGTTTTGCGACTTGTCCAAGGCTTTTGATTGCGTTTTTCATGAAACATTACTCAGGAAACTCCACCACTATGGATTTAGAGATACTGATCTGGATCTTATTGCATCATACCTGAGGGATAGGATTCAGAGGGTTGACATTAATGGTAATAAGTCTCCGGGTTCGCCGGTTAAGATGGGTGTTCCGCAGGGCTCAATCCTAGGTCCTTTCTTATTTTTAATTTATATTAATGACTTACCTTACTATGTAAGAGATAACCATGAGATAGTATTGTTTGCGGATGATACATCACTTTTATTTAAACTCAAACGCAATGAAAAAGTTATTGACGACGTGAACAATTGTATCTCTAAGGTAGTCCACTGGTTCAATGTTAACAATTTATTACTTAATGAAGGAAAAACGAAATGTATGAAATTTGTATTACCTAATGTAAAACAGGTAAAAACCAGTGTGAATGTAAAGAATAGGAATGTGGGCCTTGTAGACACCACAGTATTCTTAGGGATAACTTTAGATTCTAAGCTTCAATGGGGCCCACATATTGATAAATTGTCAAATAGACTTAGCTCTGCAGCATATGCCGTAATGAAGATACGCCAGTTAACGGATGTAGATACGGCCAGATTAGTGTACTTTAGTTATTTCCATAGTGTAATGTCGTACGGAATTTTATTGTGGGGAAATGCCGCCGACATTCAAACTATTTTTGTGCTGCAGAAGAGAGCTATTCGATCAATTTATAATCTTAAAGTTAAAGAATCATTAAGAGATAAGTTTAAAGAATTTGGAATAATGATGGTCGCATCACAATACATATACGAAAATTTATTACTTGTAAGAAAAAATATTAATTTGTTTCTTAAAAACAGTGATGTTCACACAATTAATACAAGAAACAAAAATAAACTAACTTTACCTGCTACTAGGCTTCACAAAATTAATAATTCATTTAAAGGTCTTTGTGTTCGCTTATACAATAAAGTCCCAAGCAATATCCAAGAGTTAGCCATAAATAAATTTAAAGATATTATAAAAAAAACACTTATTAAAAAAGCTTATTACAAAGTGTCTGATTATATTACAGACAAAAATGCTTGGGTTTGAACTGTTCCAATCATTCCAACAGGTTTTCTATATTAAATAAATCATAATTGTATTGACGTTGTAACAACATAATGAATTGTAAATGTTGTTACATTAGACTTTTAATGTTGTGGAGTTTTTTTCGCTCGTTTTTCTCCGCAGCTAAAAAATATGTCCATAACGAGTGGTAGGGAAAAAAATTTTTGGACGATTCAAAAGAGTTGTACTATACATCCAATTTGAATAAAGATATATTGATTTCTGATTTCTTGATTTCTGAATACCTACATCAAATCTAGTATTTTTTTTTAAATTATTTTGGAAATATTTAAGAGAATTAGAGAATATATCGACATCAATTAATTGTGAATCATGCTCATGAGCATGCTGTGGTAATCCACATTTGATTCTACTAGAATGATTTCGAGCAATGCTTCTGTGCAAGCCATTGTAAGCTAATCTCGAGGAATGTTGCCAAATAATGCTCAAAGGAGATTGCTCAAATTGGCCCAAATGCACAAAAAATATTGACATACACGGTAATTCTTGGAGTAATTTATAATTTAATTTACAGTCATTAGATTTCAACGGACACCTTTGTATAATATATTTAATTTACTTTAAAAAGGACTTTTAATTTTACCGGTTTGGAAAACATACGAATTATTTTTATATGGCTATGGGTGTAGTAACATTCAGCCAAAGACTGATCGAAGTTGTTTATATAACATAAAAACAAATCTATTTTGTAAAGATCGATAAAATAAACCATTTTTTTTATTATATTGTAAACAAGTTTTTATTACAATGCAAATGTGCTCAGACAATTATTCAACATCATAAAGTCTATTGCCATACATTTTTCGCCAAACATCTCCATAAACACATTACAATCTGTATATATGTTAGACTTCAAGGTATCTATCTATGGGCCTACGTTCCCGGTTTATAAATTAATAAATAAATAAAATTATAAGGTGTGATACACTAAATCTCTAAAATATGGTTATCTTAAAAACATAACAGCAATAATGAAGCTACTGAATATATGGCTATAAAACCTAAATCTCTTAGCTTTCTTTGGTTAACGAGAGTTTAAAAATTCTCTCTAATCTGTGGCTCATTCACAAGCATCACACAGTGTCTGTACCTTATTATAACCGGAAATGACACCTGATTTTAAAAGTTACTCTTATGCATTAACTTCAAAAACAGGCAACTATCTGTTAATCTACATGCTCTATATACCTGAATCTAATCCATAATTTCGGAGCTTGACTTGATTTCCCTAGTTTACTATATAACTTATTTGTTTTTTATTATTTTAATATGTTCAGTGAATATGGTTTATAGAAGTTCTCAGGGGTGTCCGTCAATAATATTCGTTTCTACAGTAATTTATATATAATTTCGAATATAGGAAACAATTTTTCATGATTATTGGTCTTTAGGCCAAACATGTATGGAAGCTGAGCAATCTCCTTTCCAAGCATCTTTGAGAAATATGTTTTGTCTGTTGTTTTCCAGCGCTTTGCCGGCCGGAGTGCGGCTCGCCAGAGTTCTGCATCGCGCCCAACATGTGCCGCTGCCCGAGCGGTGTCGAGGCGCCGTCCTGCAACCCCGGGGGAATACATCCCTACTCGCGTAAGCCACTGTTAATTACTTTTTATAAAACTTAAGATCAAGAAGTCACATTAGCCGCAGAACTGACGGCCGATGGAGCCGTAAAGTTCTTGAGTGGAGACCGCGACTCGGTAAACGTAGTGTGGGACGCCCTGAGACAAGATGGGATGATGACATTCGTAGGCTGGCTGGCGTGAGCTGGATGAGAGTGGCAGAAAATCGGGAGCAGTGGCGTGCATTAGGGGAGACCTATGTCCAGCAATGGACGAACATGGGTCGATGATGATGATGATGATGATGAAACTTAAGAAAAAAAAACGACGGGTTGCACTCCGGGAGTGCCGGCAGAAGTGAAAACTTGTATATTAACGTTGTGCATTTTTGATATTTTGGAATGGTTAGGGAATAATTTTGCACGAATTGTTTTAATTATCAGTATAAAAGTACTATCATGTATATGGTAGAATACAATATTTATTTATTGCGCTATCGTACACAAACATGACAATTTATATTTCATTAAAAAAATATCTCTTAGAAAAATCAACTTACATGAATCACGTCTAAGCGTACTTAGCGACATCTATTGTAAAAAAATGCATTTTCTTCGTAATAACGCTGCCACGTGGACGTCCTAGATAGAGACTTATTATTATTATAATACGAAAAAATAAAATATTACTATGTTTCGTCCAATATATTGAAAATCAACAACCTTTCCAATTTTATTGTGTCATGATGCGATCAGCCCACGTGTTTAACCTGACGCGAGTTTATATTTTTTACCCATACAAAAAAAGTGTACAACGCCTATAAAGAAGTGTTCACTTCAAAAATAGTTGAACAAAATTTGACGATTACGAGACATTACGGAGATGTCAAAAATTCGTGTTTAGGCCTTTGATAGGATTCGAACCTGCTTTCTCTTTACTTTATAAACTTTACCTTAAAAATACAAAGTTATAAAATTTTATGGGATATCATTATATCATGAAACTCATAATAATTAAGCAGTAATAACTCATTGTTTCAACTGTTTTAGAGCCGCTCCTGGCTTATTATTAGGTTGTTTTTGAACTAAATTAATCATTCAATCTACTAAGCGAATTTATTCCTCCAATTCTTAGAAGTCTCCTATTAACTTAAGAAGGATTTCTTCACTTGAAAGGCGAGAGATTGTCTCAACTAAGAGTCATACTTGACAGGTGTAATTTATAAACGTAAATTTTTATTTATTGGTAGTTATTTTCGATATATTAGTTTTATGAAATTGTATTTTTTTAAAGAACGCATGTCTTGTATGTCTGCCCATAATTCTGAAGCGCAGAGCTTTTGATCAAGGCATTCTCCAAGTGCTAGTTTAAGGAGAGGAGACTTGGACTCTTACCTAACAAACGACGAACAAACTACAGTTCACCCAAAGAGCCATGGAGCGGGCTATGTTAGGTCCTATCATTTGCGCGGCCATTCGGAGACGGGTTCCGCGACCACATCCGCCCTCTCGGCACGCACTAGGGGGACCGCGGTCTTCATAGTGCGTGTCGGGTGACGGTGCAGGAGTATTGTCTGGTTTTTAGTGGCCCTGTTCAGGGCGTAGGTAGGGCCCTGTTCACATCAGCGAGCTCCAAGTAGGGATGTCGTAAGTTGAAAAAAATATCGATATATCGATACATCGATATTTAAAAAAATATCAATATCGGCTTCGATATATCGCGAAAAAAACATCGATATATCGATATATCGGACCAATTTTCCCAAAAATATAATTAGGTCAGCCTAGCACAGTAATAATAGTTCAATACAAATTATAATTAAAGAAAGAATTATCAAAGTACTAAATTGCCGCTACACTACATGACAGTACAGTATCTCACGAAATATGACACGCGGAATAATAATGGAACGAAAATTATCTCCCAAAAAATAGACCCTATTTTCGAATGATGAAAATGATTGCAGGGCCTTTCAGGTGCCATCTTTCGTAAACAAGACTAGACAGTCACACACTTCCACAGAATATAATGGAAATCAGCACAACCAATTGACCAGCGAAACAGATTTACAAATAATGGACAATACCTAATACAACATAGATCATACATATGTTGAATATCATTAATCTGTGATCCAGTTACGATTTTTCCAGATACGAATTAAGTTAGATCGTGATATGCCGCTAATAATTAAAAAAATATCGTTTTTGATACAAATTTCGATATTGGTTATTTTGTATCGATGTATCGATATATCGAATCAAAATATATCGGCAAAAAATATCGATATATCGAACAAAAAATATCGATATATCGACACATCGATATATTTTCAACAAGCCTAGCTCCAAGGCTGGCTGAAGTGGACAGGGAGGAGAGTCCCACATACCTTCTTCTCGCTTCCCCAGTGGTTGAAGGATGCGTAAGGCATTTTCCAGACCCAAAAAAAAGTCTTTCTATCCGTGACAAAATAAGAAACACTGAATTCGGAGAAGAATTAAAGTGACTGACATTGCCTTATCCTTAACTAAAAGGAAATGGGGATGGGCTATCCACATGGGTCGCAGAAAAGATGGCCGGTGGGGAAAGTTTGCTCTGGATTTGAGACCCAGAACTGGTCACAGGAGAGTAGCAGACCACCGATGCGGAGACGATCTCATGAATATAGCAGGGAAGTATTGCATTGCAACAGCACAAGACCAAGGTAGATGGCATGCACTGCAGGCTGCTACATTCAACATTGGATGGCTATGGGCTGAAGAAGTAGAAGGGTAACTTAGGTAGCTTTTCCATAACCTTACAAATGGAGCTGCAAGCGAAATTACTTTATTCTGTAGTGTAGTATAAGGAAAGTTTCATCTGTCATCAAGGGACTGAAATTATTTGTCAGTCCTTGTTTATCATCATCATAATCAGCCTTTTAATGTCCCCACTGCTCACGCAGGCACAGGGCTTCCCTATGGATGGAATAGGGCGATTGAGCCATGACCTACCACGCAGGCCCAGTGTGGATTGGCGTTTGCTAACGACTGCAGATGCAGCCGGGACCAACGGCTTAACGTGCCTTCCGAAGCACGAAGGAATTCGTGATAGAAGATTTTTGCTCGCCCATCCAATGACCGACCACTGCGAAAGTTGCTTTACTTCAACGATCGCAGCCGAACGCGCTGACCACCCGCGCCATCGAGCTCCTCATATCATCCTTGTTTTAAAATTATTGTGTTTTATTACTGATATTGTTTAACATGTGATTGTATGTTATTAGCGCGCACGCGCGGCGGCTGCCGGCGTATCTGCATGAACGGCGGCACCTGCACCAACGGCACTTGCGCCTGCGCGCCTGGTTGGAGCGGGGAATTCTGCACTGACCGTGAGTCATTCCTTAGATTAAAACAAAAAGGGTAGATACGGTACGCTCATACTTGCATCAAACAAAAACTGATCCCACGGCAGTGCGAACGGGACGGCGAGATCCGCATCACTGCATTACCGACCCGAACGAAACAGCACGTTAAGTTTCAATGGCAGCGCGAACGAGACGGCGAAATCCGCGTCACTGCACTACCGACCAATCACGCGACCAGTACTCGACGTCACTACCGAATAAGATTCAAAACAAACAGCAATTTTTATGAAAAAAATATATTTTATATTACTTACGAATGAAAAGTGATGCCGTGGGTTTTATTCTTTGTTCTTGAGCAATTTGAGCACTTTGAAAAACACACTTATGCATTGTTTTATTATATAAACACAAAATATTAGCAATATTTCTTTTTGGCGTTCACATGTACGACGTTTGCATGTAAGTTGTGACTAAAGCGATTAGGGTCGTGGACCACAATTCATGCGGATCACTTTTGTGAGGCTAGTGCCGCATCTACCCTTTTTGTTTTAATCTAAAAGTCATTCATGTTTAATCTTTGTCTACCGCATACAGGGGCGGTCGCAGTCTGAAAGGACATTGGGCAAAAATGTATGCGCCCTTCACCCACGTCCGCCAAGGCTTAAACAACATTTCTTTGGAAGATATTATAGTCATGATCATCTGTGCTAAAGTGCATCAAAATCCACCCCGGGGGTCTTTAGTTATTTTAAGTTAAATAGGTACAATTACTATAACGAACGAACAATAATGAAACAAGGGAAATAATTAAGTTAGTTAGTTACAACCTACATAGGGGGCTCAAGTTTTATGGGAGTACTTCACAAGGTGCAAGGGTGCGTCCTTATGTTATTCTGCCGCGCTAGAGTAAATCCAAAAATACCCGCATGGGTTGGGTTTTTTTTCAAATATTCTGTTCGTTATAGTAAATAATTTTTTGCATAGTTCCGTTTTGCATAGTAGACAATTATTGTCTACTATGCAAAACGGAGCGACCACAAATCACACAAACTTGTCCACGCTTCAAGCAAGCAAGTTGCACTTTATACATAAAATGGTGTCGATTCTGGCGTGATTCTCTAAACTTAAAACTAAATTTAACATCAGTCTTTCACTTTCATTCTGTATAGAAAATGACAACGATGCACTGTTGTCAAATTTAAGTTTAGTTTTAGAGAATCATGTCAGAATCAACACCAATATGGAATTAATTTTAGTACCTAATTAGCTACCATTAACGCGACGCGTGCTCAATACCAATCATAACCATTTTCGTATTTATATTATACTAGAGATCGCCCGCTACTTCGTCTGCGTTAACTTAGTTTCTTGAAAATCCCTCTGGAACCTAACATTTTTCGGGATAAAAGTAGCCTATGTGTTAATCTAGGGTGTCAGCTTACTCCATACCAAATTTTATTAAAATCGCTCCAGCCGTTTAGACGTGAAGAAGTAACAAACATACACACTCACATACTCACACACTCACAAACTTTCACCTTTATAATATTAGTGTGATCTTACATTTGTGAGTTTAATTATTATACACTTTTACACGGACTTTGGAGTTATTATTTTCTTACCATACAAACAAAGGGATCTGGGGGCCATTCGCCTAACGGAAATGCTTTGGAAAACGCTAACGCTTACGATTTCATTTTGTTATTTCTGGCCGCCTGAGGTTTTGAAATGCCTCGCGCTCTTTGTTTTTCTTTTGCATTGGTAATAACAATATTAAAAAAAATGTGCTTGAGGTATTTGAAAACCTTCGGCGGTCAGAAATAACAAAGTAAAATCGAGATCGTTAGCGTTTTCCAAAGCATTTCCATTAGGCGAATGGCCCCCTGGACGCTAACGATCGAGCGGACAAATGAAACCTCTTCATAGTCTTTAATAATAATAATAATTTATTATTTATTTGTTTCAACATACAATTGTTACAATACACAAATAGAATCACATTACATTTTAATTGAAACAAAAAGATATGTATCACTGGTATTCTGCCACCACCTCACAATTATTATATTCTAAAAAACTCATTAATAAGGACAATATCAGCGAGTCAAACAGCATCATATTTTGTACTTGCCGCCTCGTGTTGTTGTTCAAGGAACTACCGTTTACACCTTTGCTTAAAACTGCTTTCGCTTATTATAAGACTTTGCCGCAAAGGAGGAGGCAAGTCATTCCATATTTTCGAAGCGGCAAATACAAAACGTCCCCTAGCAACAGCATCTCTTATCTATTAGACAAGTCCGTCCGTCTGTCTGTGGTGCTGTTTCAGCGGCCAAACCGTAAGAGATAGATAAAGAGAATATTTAAGTTATAAGTTAAGAATAGCCTGATAAGACTACAAACCGGATTTGAGTAACGTAGCACTTCCGGTTTTCGAGAAATCACGAATTTCAAACGAAACCATACAACATTTCCGAAGTTCTCAATTAATTTTTAAATACATTTTTTTTTTAAATCAGGTTTTGGTGAACATTTGGTTCACTGGTTTGCTAGTATTTACTTTAAGCAAGGAACTTTAACGCTGATCTTACCGTATCCGTGTGCCGACAGCGATTTGCCGCGAGCCGTGTCTGCACGGCGGGCGCTGCATTGCGCCGGACCGCTGCGTGTGCTTTCACGGCCTCTCCGGCACGCGCTGCGAGATCGACAGAAGAACTGGTAAGTACGTCTAAATCTTCGATCGAATCAAATTCTTGGCCATTTTAGGAAGTGCATTTCAAATTAATTTTTAAACGCCTATCTACTACCTATTTAAAGACAATTATTCTTAAATAATGCAGTTGTCGATAACAAGGTAGCATTCACTTTAAATACGCTTTATCGACTTATTTTATCGATCTACTTTCTAACGATAAATACTTGTTAATAGCATTGAGCGGTATCTGTCTATGGTAATAGGATACTGTATTTATTTCGTTAACATTTAAAATGGCACTATGGTTAAAGCATGTTAGAAAACAGCTATACTATATAGATCTTCATAAATTTGGTGATGTTCATGCTATACTGTGGATAGAATAACTAAACTTGTCAATCGCAAACAGAGGCATTGATCAGATTTCAACAAAAATTATGAAGTTATAGAACTAAACAATCGGAAGGCGATGTAATGTAATAACATTAGAAACATAATATAACTAGCTACTTATGAAATAGGCCCATTGATGGTTTACTAAAGAGCTTGACGACGTTCTTGTAGTGGTCTGCAATCAAAGGAGTTAAAGGAGGGAGTCAACTTTCGCAACGGCCGATTATTAGATGGGTGACCAAAAATTTACTACCTTTAGCTCCTCTGCTTCGAAAGGTCAAGTCCTTGGTCCCGGCTGCATCTACAGTCGTTGGCACCTTCCAATCCACACAGGGCGCGCGTAGTGGGCCACGCCGCAACCTTTCCATCCATATGGAAAGCCTGTAACCAACAGTGGGGACATCAATAGCCTGATGATTTCTTGATAATGTTGTTTGTTTGCGCTAGGGCCGTGCTACACTGACACGCGCGGTGCTCTATGCACGGGCGCGCTGGAGGGCGTGGTGTGTACGCGGCAGCTTTGCTGTGCCACCGTGGGCGTCGCGTGGGGGCACCCCTGCGAGCGCTGCGCCGACCTCGACTGCCCCGCCGGACACCTGCGCAACCTGGCCACCAAGGAGTGCCAGGTACACTGCACCGCACCACACTACACTACACTACACACGCTGGAGGGCGTGGGGGCACCCCTGCGAGCGCTGCGCCGACCTCGACTGCCCCGCCGGACACCTGCGCAACCTGGCCACCAAGGAGTGCCAGGTACACTGCACCGCACCACACTACACTACACTACACACGCTGGAGGGCGTGGGGGCACCCCTGCGAGCGCTGCGCCGACCTCGACTGCCCCGCCGGACACCTGCGCAACCTGGCCACCAAGGAGTGCCAGGTACACTGCACCGCACCACACTACACTACACTACACTACACATGCTGGAGGGCGTGGGGGCACCCCTGCGAGTGCTGCGCCGACCTCGACTGCCCCGCCGGACACCTGCGCAACCTGGCCACCAAGGAGTGCCAGGTACACTGCGCCGCACCACACTACACTACACTACACACGCTGGAGGGCGTGGGGGCACCCCTGCGAGCGCTGCGCCGACCTCGACTGCCCCGCCGGACACCTGCGCAACCTGGCCACCAAGGAGTGCCAGGTACACTGCACCGCACCACACTACACTACACTACACACGCTGGAGGGCGTGGGGGCACCCCTGCGAGCGCTGCGCCGACCTCGACTGCCCCGCCGGACACCTGCGCAACCTGGCCACCAAGGAGTGCCAGGTACACTGCACCGCACCACACTACACTACACTACACTACACATGCTGGAGGGCGTGGGGGCACCCCTGCGAGTGCTGCGCCGACCTCGACTGCCCCGCCGGACACCTGCGCAACCTGGCCACCAAGGAGTGCCAGGTACACTGCGCCGCACCACACTACACTACACTACACACGCTGGAGGGCGTGGGGGCACCCCTGCGAGCGCTGCGCCGACCTCGACTGCCCCGCCGGACACCTGCGCAACCTGGCCACCAAGGAGTGCCAGGTACACTGCACCGCACCACACTACACTACACTACACACGCTGGAGGGCGTGGGGGCACCCCTGCGAGCGCTGCGCCGACCTCGACTGCCCCACCGAACACCTGCACAACCTGACCTACTGTATCTCAGTTATAAATCCAGATAAATCATGGGTATTCTAATTTCAGCCCTTTTGGTATGGTGAATGGTGATATCCAACGATCCATCAATTATCCCTAAAGCGGAGTGTTCGTTGATTTGGTTTCTTAAAAGATAAGCCTTAAATCTTTCCAACAAACTCTTACAACTTAGCTCTTTTCCAGAGATTAATATCGAATGTTACTTTTTGGCAGGACATAGACGAGTGCGCCGCGGTGCCGGGTTTGTGCGCGGGCGGCAAGTGCGTGAACTCGGTGGGGTCCTTCGCGTGCGAGTGTCCGCCCGGCCAGCGCCGACACCGCGTCACCAACAACTGCGAGGACATCGACGAGTGCGAAGACCCCGACATATGCCCGGTGAGATGTCTGATAACTCTTCCTTGCCTGCTTCTATGAGGCCCCCGACTCATGCCCTGTGAGATGTCTGATAACTCTTCTTTGCCTGCTTCTACGAGGACCCCAACATAAAATATGCCTGGTGAGATGTCTGATAATTCTTCCTTGCCTGCTTCTACGAGGCTCCCGACTCATGCCCGGTGAGATGTCTGATATCACTACCTTGCCTGCTTCTACGAGGACCCCGACATATACCCGGTGAGATGTCTAATATCTCTTCTTTGCCTGCTTCTACGAGGACCCCAACATATGCCCGGTGAGATGCCTGATAATTCTTCCTTGCGTGCTTCTACGAGGACCCTGACATATGCCCGGTGAGATGTTTGATAACTCTGCCTTGCCTGCTTCTACGAGGACCCCGACATATGCCCGGTGAGATGTCTAATAATTCTTCCTTGCCTGCTTCTACGAGGACCCCGACATATGCCCGGTGAGATGTCTGATAACTCTTCCTTGCCTGCTTCTACGAGGACCTCGACATATGCCCGGTGAGATGTCTGATAAAACTTCCTTGCCTGCTTCTACGAGGACCCCGACGTATGCCCGGTGAGATATCTGATATGTTTTTTTTATAGCGAGGTAGGCAACTGACTCTACCCCACCTGATGTTAAGTGGTGATAAAGTCCAAACGCAAAGATAACTGCTACAGCAGTTATAAACTGCTACACCAACCATCCTCACCTTGCCGGCCTGCAAAAATGCTTCTTCATATCTTCAATCTCTTCCTTGTCTGATTCTACGAGGACCTCGACACATGCCAGATGAGATGTCTGATAACTCTTCCTTGTCTGATTCTACGAGGACCCCGACATATGCTTGGTGAGATGTCTGCACTGCTTTTACCATACCCTCCACTTCTGCAGCGAGAGTGAATCTTCTTTAGTGCTGGACACAGAACACAGAATGAGAACCTCTTTCTCCCTTCTATGGTGGTAATAGCCGATAGGCTTTTCGTCATTTTTGAAACCATCTACATATCTTAATTATAGTAATTGCAAGTAAATTAAGTGAAATGTTATAGATTACAAAACAAAAGAAGACTGTTGTAAGATCTTTTTTCAATGATTTACGTAATTTGATATCAAGATTTATTAAAACACAAAGGTAGATGATACAAAGATTATATATAAACTCACGATATGTTATATGTAATCGACAATTCAATACTTACCTAAAATATATTACTCATTAAGGATTGTTTTTTCAGAATGGAAAATGTGTGAACACTGAAGGGGACTATTACTGTCACTGCAATCCTCACTTCATTCCCAGTCCAGACAAAAAGTTTTGTATCGGTAAGTGTCTAAGTGTGGCTTGACTTTACATTTTAAACATTCTTTCGTTATACAGATGACAGTGCATTAGGAATATTTTATTACTCCGCTGGCTCAGCGACATGAACCGCCCAACCAGCCAACGGCGAGTGGGTCACGGGTGGTCACCTCGTTGTCAACTAACTAACGTCAGGTGCCCAACGGATGAACGCCGCGTCGGCGCGTATAGTCAGAGAAAATTAAGCAGTATGTTAGAGATTGCCACTTGGTTTAATCGTGTGTTCACACAATTATTAATTTTACAAACCGTGAGATGGCTCTTATAGCTGTAGCGCTTGATAAAGAAGAAACAGTGTTACCAACCCTTACCAAAATTTTACCCAAAGTATTTTTTAAATTCCCCTAAAATCCCCTAAAATTAGTAATTTATATGTACCTACTTATCTTATTACCTAAATTCTTTCGTTGCTCATAAATTAAAACGTTACATATTTAGTTACAGTAAATTATTTTATTGAATAAATACATTTTCCGAATGGAAAATCAAACAAAAATGAGCTGACAGGCTGTTAAATCTTATTTAGCTGTTTTGATTGGTGGAAGGCAAAGAACTTTAGTCCATACAGCCTTAGGAAACAGCCTGCCACACAGTAAGTTCAGTCGTTTCATATCGTGGTGCGTTCCATTCTACGCACAAAACTGAAAGAAAACACACGCTTTGTTTTTCGATTTAATTGAAAGTTTTGTTAAAAGCCCCTAAAAGAACCCCCAAAAAATTCCAGCCCCTAAAAAAGTCCGTTTTAACCCTTCTAGCCCCTAAATCTGGGGGCAAAACCCCTAAGTTGGGAACCTTGAGAAGAAAATGAGATGGGTTGTTAACTCGCTGATACGCGTCGGCCATTCAGAAGCAGCGCGTATACAACCAGCGGCCAGCACACGACAAACGTGCGAGCGAGGCGCTCCGGTGGCGGTACGGAGTTGATGTAGTGTATACCTATAAAAAATCATACAAAGAATATTAACCGCACGAGTTGAGGCGGTGCTGTTCGGGTGGGTCTGATAAGCTGTGATCTTAATGCAGTTACTTGTATCTTTGAATGAGTTATTGGGAAATAGTGTTGTAGTTTGTCTACAGTATAAGAGGAGAGTGTCAGATAATTGTAACTGAAAGTTAATGTACGAAACAAACCCAATGATAGTTGTTCTAACACTGTTTATTTGCATTTTAATTCAATCTCTTATCTAATAGACAAGTCCGTCCGTCCGTCCGTGGTGCTGTTTCAGCGGCCAAACCGTAAGAGATAGATAAAGAGAATGTTTAAGTTATAAGTTAAGAATAGTCTGATAAGACTACAAACCGGATTTGAGTAACGTAGCACTTCCGGTTTTCGAGAAATCACGTGATTTCTATTTCAAACGAAACCACACAAAATCTCCGAAGTTCTCAATTAATTAAATACATTTTTTTTTGGTGAACATTTGGTTCACTGGTTTGCTAGTATTATAAAATAGTAGTTTAAGCATATTGCGAAATACCGCGCGTAAATGACTTGTTTCTACGTGAGCTAAATTAGAACATATTATTTATAATCTAAACTGTATGATTACTCGTACAAGTGTTAATATCAAATTGTTGTTACAGACGGGCGTGTGGGCAGTTGCTTTACGTACATCAGCGAGACGGGCGAGTGCTCGGACCGTCTGTCGGTGCAGCTGTCCAACCGCGACTGTTGCTGCGGGTTCAACATGGGCCGCGCCTGGGGAGAACTCTGCACGCCCTGCCCGCCGAGAGGCTCCAGTGAGTGCACCAGGGATTATATTATTTACCCTTACAGTTGCTGCATGCTCATCAGTTCAACGTGTGCTGAAACGGAGGCGGGCGCAAACAAACGTAATTAAAAAATGGTTGCCTGTAAAGTCGGTTTTACGGGCGAAGATTTTACGTGACAACGTCTTTTTCTCGGTAGAATATTTATTGATATGAATATAATTAAATTGCACAATAGGAACAAGGAATTGAATGAAAATAAGAATTGCACAAATTTTAACTATAGAAATATATTTTGTTTACTAAAACATTGTACATGTAAACTTAAACTTAACACGAGAGACTCATCGTAACGTTACCGAGCGTTACACTTTTTCATAAGTGACTCCCAGCCGCAACCTAATTTAAGACGTTGTCACGTCAATAAATAATAAATATTTCCAACACTCACAACAATTAAGCCTAGCCCCAAAGTAAGCACTGAAAGGCTTGTGTTATGGGATGCTAGGGTAACGGATAGAATACATATACTGTACATATATAAGTATATTTACATAGAAAATACATATTAAACATCCACGACTGGAGTACAAATGCTCGTATTCATCACACAAACATCTGCCCCCACCGGGATTCGAACCCGGGACCTCTCGAGTCGGCGACACCATGAAACCCGGCGTACAAACCACTCGGCCATGGAGGTCGTCAATTATTTTATTTATTTACTACACAGTATACTTCAGTGCTAAACCAAAACGTACACTGGTTAAAAAAACAAATCTAACAGCTAAACACCATGCTTACAACTTAAATATGACATTAAATAATAACAAAACACACATAATTTTTGGGATAATATGTCAGCCTCCGGAATTCGATCATGTACAGCGTTAAGCAAAGAGATTGCTCTCGAAGTCGGTGCATTTTGAGCTCGTCGCATACGGAGTCCCTTAAGCTCCGCAAAAACTTTTGTTTGCCTGCGTGGCGCCCCTACGTCGTTGCCCAACGCTCCGCTCATGTGTCTTTTCGGAACGACCAGTTTCATATTTGCAAGAACCACTGGATTGTCGCCCTTATTATGGATGATCGCATGGCAATGCAAAGCCAAAGAGATTTTCCGACGCGACGCGAGAGTATCCTGCCCCACCATACCAGATACAAACATAGACCTGAGAAATTTGCATTGTATCTTCTCAATCATATTGTATTATGTGGGGTTAATGTAATAAAAATGCTGTAAAAATGTATATTTATTAAATTTTAAGTGTTATAAATATATTCTATTGCTTATAATTTAACCAGTTAAAATAAAACGATCAAAATAAAGAAAATAAAAATGTGTCTGACGCTGACAGTGACAGCTGATATTAACCACTTACATTTAAGAGTTTCAATTTTTGTATTTGATATCAGCCACCTAACAGTTGAGGGGGGTAATTCTTACTAATATGATAAATGCGACTGTCAGTCTCTTACCTCTTCATGCTTAAACCACTGAACTGATGGAGATGAAATTAGGTTAAGAGATATAGTTTGAGTCCTGGATAGTTTTTGTGGCGGTGACATCTACGTGCCCCACTCATAATCAACGTGGAGGAAATAGTCACTCGAGTCCTCAAGAGCCTCAAGTTTACATTGTATGGAAGCCTAAATCGCGCAAGTAAAATTCTGGGTTAATTCACTGATAACCCCGTAGTGATAGTGTAGGAAGGCCAAAGGGGAAGATCTTCCTCCGAGCTGGATCATGGTAGCTCGTATATATTGAATGTCTAAGAATTTTACTTGCGCGATTTAGGCTTCCATACGATGTGAACACAGCGCCTGTAGCGCCATCTCTTGAGGACGCGAGTGACTATTTCTTCCACGTTGATTATGTGTGGGGCATGTAGATGTCGCCGCCACATTTTATCCTAGAAATCATTCTTCAAAGGGGTGAAAGGATAAGAAACCAATTAAACTATGCAGACGAAGTCGAAGGCACCCGCTAGTATTTTTTATTTTGGGGGCGTCCATAAATTACGTGAGTTGTTTAAGGGGGGGAGGGGGTCGAGTCAAATCTCATCTAATCTTACGTTGGAGAGAGGGGGGGTCTCGGAAAATATCACGCAATTTTTTTTCTGACTGAAACAAAAAAAAAACTATTTTGGCCCATTTAATTCAGATTGTACATGCTTAAGGTTTAATCTAAGCACGAAGCATTTTTTTTTCTTTTTCAATTCAATCTTTTCAATAACATTCCAACGCCTTTACGTAAGAAACCCACATTTTGAATAATCTCGCGTGAGATTGGGGGATGGGGGAGGGGGTTGAATAAAATCTCACGACATCTCACCAGGGGGGGAGGGAGGGACAGAAAATTCAAAAAAGCATCTCACGTAATTTATGGACGCCCCCTTTGGAGTATCAGTAAAGCGATTGGGAATTAAATTACGGTCTAATCTAATTGTGGTCTTTTTCTGCAGTGGAGTGGTCCCACTTGTGCGGCGGTATACCGACAAAATGGCGACGGAACAACACAGGCGGCTACGATGACGGCGGCGGCAACGGCGGTAACGGCGGTAATGGTGGAAATGGCTTCAATGGCGGTGGAGATGGAGGGGACGATTATGAACCGCCTTCAATTGCCAAAATTAACGAGTGTATGCTGCGCACAGGCATCTGTGGCCTCGGTGACTGCGTCGACAAGGACCCGGGGTGAGATGACACAACTGTGCATAACAAACTTTAGAAATGTGATTGTTTGAAATCGTTACCAGCACAATCAGGCCAAGGTTCATGAACTTCAATATAGAGGAAAAGCAATATTTGGAGTGTTTTTCAATGAATGTGTGTGTGTGTTAGCATTTTTAATTCGTGATAAATTTCTTATCTCGTGATATTGATTAAGGTATTGAGCCGCTTAAGTTTATAGACGCTTGTGATACAGTATCATTCGCATTGCTTCCTCTAACCGCATCCTCAACCCTAGTAAGATTTGTCTCACTGTTATTTTACTGTGGTCTTCGTTACCTTATCCATAAGGTAGAGGTTACTCTATCAAACGAGCGCTCCAATTCCAATTAAATTCCACAAGGAAATTCTGGACTTTGACGCTAATAAATACGGGATAAGAAATTAGTCAAGTTATGAATATCTAAAAGTATAATGTTCTCTCAAACTGTTAATTACGTGAACAAGCTTTAACTGAATTAAAAACGATGTTGTTGTTTTCAGCTATAATTGTAACTGCTGGGAAGGCGCTGAAAAGAACGAACGCGACGGAAATCCAATCTGTATTGACATCGACGAGTGCGCCCTCGGCTACTGCAAGGGCGGAATATGTACTAATAATATTGGTTCCTTCGATTGTAGGTGAGAATCTATTCATGTAAATTAACGCAATATCTTTAACCGAATTCGGTTGTCAGTTTTTATCTGCAATAAGTGCCCTGTTTGCTAACAGATTCCACCCTTAATGCTTTTCTTTTGCTCCAAGTAATTCAGCATGTTATAAATTAAAATGTGATGAATAATTTCTGCTATACTTCTTTTTATAATTTTGGCAGATGTCCTCCTGGTTTCGACCCTGTTGACAACAATCGAAGGTGCAGCGATCAGAATGAGTGTGAAGTGACCAATGGAGCAATGTGTACTAACGGAATATGCCGGGGCACTGCTTCTGGGTAAGGTGTTTGTGTTGATTGTGTTCACGTTTCATGAAACACTATAGAGTTTAAGAAGCATGCATTTATCAATGTTAATTGATGATCCTTACCGAATTTATTTCCGTGAGGAGGATAATATAGTCGCATTGTCAGTGGTTCATTGTTTTATCGCAGTATAAAAAATAGCATTTCCAGCGAGCATATGGTTTCCCTTTTTCTTTCTTTATATGTTTGTTTAATTCACGTTTGAAAAGATTTTTTCTGACGACGGTTTAGAGGCCAAGTCAAATTTGCTTCCTTGAATAGAGTACAGATAGACGAATGTCAGGCATCAGTTCAGACTACAATGAATCCAGTCCAATGAGGCAAAGTGTGGAACGATTACTGTAACGTTGTTATATTTTTAGTTAATTGTTCGAATGGTTCCTTTGCCTTTGACTCAATTGTTAGGCTAAAATAATGAAATGTTTGAGGAGCTCGATGGCGCGGGTGGTCAGCGCGTTCGGCTGCGATCGTTGAAGTTAGACAACTCTCGTAGTGGTCGGTCATTGGAAGGGTGACCAAAAAACTTCTATCTCGAGTTCCTCCGTGCTTCGGAAGGTACGTTAAGCCGTCGGTCCCGGTTGCATCTGCAGTCGTTAGCACCCGCCAATCCGCACTGGGCCCACGAGGGAGGTCATAGCCCAATCTTCCTATTCCATCCATAGGGACATGAATAGGTCGATGATGATGACGAACGAACTATTCAAGTTACTTTTTTCAGTTACGAGTGCGTGTGCAACCCCGGCTACGAGTCAACTGAGACCGGGCACGCGTGCCGCGACGTGGACGAGTGCCGCGCGTCGGGCGGCGGCGTGTGCCGGCGCGGGCGCTGCCGCAACCTGCCCGGCTCCTACGACTGCCAGTGCGACCCCGGCTACGAGTCCGTGCCGGGCGGATACTGCAGCGACATCGACGAGTGCGCCGACAAGGCCGTCTGCAAGGTCAGCGGTACCACCTTCACTAGCTAAACAGGAATAAATAAAGCACTGTCTTTTCTATTCAATAATGTAATATTTAAGATACTGTGCACAGATTTAAGCAAGCCCTTTGATAATGTCGCTTAAGGAAGTTGAACTTTGTAGGAAAGCTAATGTGTATGCTTAACATCTTTTGGAAAATGGTGGTTTTTGTTCAATTTAATTTTGGAATTGCTTATATCCAATTAAAGAAAATTTTGTGATAGTGATTGGATTCTGCTCGGTCTTAATTTGGTATCACATTTAACATTTATATTTCAATGAAGTGTTACTAGTGAGGCTCGCTTTATATATTCATAAAATTTTGATAGACAACATTACAACTATGTAATTTGTGTAGGGCGGAAGATGCGTCAACATGGAGGGGTCCTTCCAATGCGTTTGCGAGGCGGGGTACCGCCTGACGGCGGACCGCGGCGCGTGCGTGGATGTGGACGAGTGCTCGGAGCAGCGCGTGTGCCGCAACGGGCGCTGCCACAACACGCCCGGCTCCTTCCGCTGCGAGTGCCTGCCCGGCTTCACGCTCAGCGCCGACGGCCGCACCTGCCTCGGTAACTGACGCCCGACGACTGGAGATAAGATGCTCTGCCCCTCTAGCATGACCACCGAAACGGGATATGTTAAAGCTCTTTATCGAGTCTCAACTGTCAAACTCCACTGTAGTCTGACAGTTAATGCCGATATATCGCTTATCATATCCCGTTTCGGTGGTCATACTAGAGGGGCTGAATTCGAAGATTTGATGATATATTATTATTATGTTATATTTATATCAGTACCTTTATACAAAGAATATTTTCATTTATATATATATATATATATATATATATATATATATATATGTGTATATATATATGTGCAGGTGACTTAAAGGTTGTCTGGAAGAGATCGCTTTCAGCGATAAGACCGCCTTTACCTACCATAGCATGACCACCATACTATCTGTTTTGTAAGCCGTTTAATTATGTATGTGTGAATAGTAAAGTTTGATTGTTTTAAATCGATTATGTACTCAATGGTTTAAGCTAAAATTCCATGGAATGGAATATAACCTTCATCCTAATCATCAAAACTCAAAGAAGACCATAACGCTCTTTCTACTACTTCTTCTTCCAACGGGCGTTTCCACAACTCGACGTCCTTGTGGCGCCTGTTTCGCGTTAGGAGGGTGTATAGCCGGAATTACTCCAGCCAGCCCAGCTTCATCAGGAACGCCCCCACGGCCTTCACATTGGTGACTGCCTCTTGAAGGTTCTACAACTTAAACAATAACAGTAAACAAAATAAAATGGAGCAGACTGAGGGCACTGTTTTGACACCTAAATTTATTTTCTAAAGATCTTTTTTTATACTAAGTTGTTGAATAAAATGTTGTTAATTTTTCCTCAGATGAAGTTCAAGATTTATGTTACGAAAAATATGAAGATGGACAGTGCTCTGGGCCCGGTAACAGTCCAGTTACCAGGTCACAGTGTTGCTGCAGTTCCAGCAAAGGTAAGCCAGATAAAAGATCAAAACAATTTTATTTTGATTAAATGAATTCACGTACTCATTAACTTAGTTCCTAATATTTTTTTCCTTAGGTTTACATCTGGGCTGGGGCGTGTCCTGTAAACAATGTCCCGCAAAAGGCTCCAAAGACTACGAGATTCTTTGCCCTGAAGGCCAGAGTAAAGATAACGGTGGTGCAGACATCAACGAATGCAACGTCATTCCGGGCATATGCCAGCATGGCACCTGCGAGAACCTCGACCCTGGCTTCCGATGCATATGCGATCCTGGGTTCCATTCCGATGCCGACGGAATCTGCAAGGATATAGATGAATGTGATATGCACCAATCGGTAAGGTTTCATGAATTTGTGATCAGGTATTTTGTATATAATTTAGAGTTTGAATAATGTTTTCAAAGTGCATCTAGATCCATTCGAATAAATGGTGAGACTAAAACAGTGTTTCACAAAAGGTAGCGACGCGGTTATGTCATTGGTATTGCTAATGCCCATGGACGACGGTGATCACTTAGCACCAGGTGGCATCTCTGCTCATCTGACGTCGCAGACAATAAAAAAAAATGTGAACCGTCACGGGGCGTCTGGCAGATGTGAAACACTATAATGCGATTCAACTAAGAATAGGACCAACTGGGCGCCATATTGTGATGTCATAACTGTCAATTCAAACCAAATAGGTAGAGTGAGCAAAAGAAAGTTTTTATTTAATAAAACTTATTTACTAAGATTAAGTGAGAAATAGCATCAGTTTTTTTAATAACATTTATTTACTAAGATTAAGAAAAAATAACACCGATTTTTAATAATATTTATTTATTAAGACTGTGAGAAATAATATTAATCAGAATCTAGCTCTTCTATTCCGCTCATCTCTGCATTACCGCCGGAGTAGTTTTGAATAATCATTCACTATTACTAGGTCACATACGAACATGCATCCTTTATGTAAACGAAAGTTTGAAATCGAGTTTCAGAACGCAACTTAAAGTGACATTTGGTTGACGATTTAGGTTATCAACCATTCATGGCCAAAGCTCAATAAGCGAAAAAAATATATCAACCGATATTAATTATCAATATTTGTTATTGTTTGTTTACAAATGTTTGGTTTTTATTCTTGAATTAGCGGAATGCTACAAAATGGTTCCAAGATTTTTATGCAAACCGTACTTTTCAAGCGACATTTGACAGATAAAGGTTATTGGCTTTCCTATTCTTATTTGAATCGCATTATAGACGGTTTACGATAAATACACTCGGAGAATTGTTCGGGATGCGTGCAGTAAAAAAATACATAGGACCTGCCTCGAAGGGCGCTGGAAGAATTGTTTATTTATTCCAATAGCACGAAAAGTAATGGTGGTTGTTTATTTGCAGTTGTGCACGGGCGGCCAATGCCGTAACACTTTAGGAAGCTTCACGTGCGTTTGCCCACCCGGCACTCGGTACGAGCCTGACGAGCAAATCTGCCGAGACATAGACGAATGCGATGGTGAGGTTATTTTCATCGTCTCGGACTACGAGCGGGGGGACATCCCCCCCTCGTTCCCAATCAACTCAGGTTACGAACCTTTCTCTGGCAGAGCATCCATAGACCCATACTCATTTGGCTTGTAACACCAGGGTGTGATTCTCTGTTTTAGCTTGTCTAATTAAATTTATCTTCGATGTGAGGAAACATGATATCATCTAAAGATATAATGGCATTCACATTCAAATAATTTTGGATAAGAGTAGTAAATATTATGATATCATCAGGATATAATTAGTAGAGCTAAATTTCAAATCTCTATTTTTGACAATAGATAAAAACAAATTGCAATCTGAGCTATTTAAATTAACACTAATATTGCTACAACCAACGTTTAGACAGAGATTTTTGGGACAGCCTAGTTAGTTTGAGAACCACCCTAGCCAATTGATAAAATTATAGCCACCATCAATAAATTAATAGCCCCAGCGTCATGTAACACGTTGACTGTTGGGTCATGAACGCCAGTAGATGCCTCTATTCATATCAAAGTAATTTAAGTAATACTTATATTTACACTTGCGTATATTTTACCAATAATTGCATTATCACGCAAATCGTTTCATTGCACTGCTTTTACAACTTAATTTACTTTAATATTACTTAACTCGACTAATAAAAGATTAATTTCTTAAAATTGATTTAAAAAAGATTGAATTTTGGTCAACTTATAATAATTTAGTCAATACTATTTATTAATTTATAGTTGTTAGCGGGATTGATACCGTGTACCTTGTTTTTAATATTTATTAATCTATTGATGTTTTTTCCCGTTTCATTCTTTTATATTATCTGGGTTAAAACTGAAAACTATTTCACGTGGAGAGATATTGCAGAACAATCGAACCCGTGCGAGAACGGTCGCTGCATCAACACGCACGGCAGCTACGAGTGCGAGTGTGAACATGGATTCGTGTTGGATGCCACTGCTCAGCGTTGCATCGGTACGTACATAATTTTCTTGTAGTTTAACAACGTATGTGTTTTCTAAATCATCATCATCATCATCATCAGCCTATCAATGTCCCCACTGCTGGGCCACAGGTCTTCCCTATGGATGGAGATTGGGCCATGACCCACCACGCGTTCCCAGTGCGGATTGCGTTTTCTAAATAAACATTTCAGAAGAAAAGTTTACTAGAAAAAAATCCACGTGGACCAGGCAGCGGACGGGACTCGAACCCGCATCCTTCGCTATCCGGGCGAATGCACTGACCATTATGCTACCACGGCCCTATTAGCCGCGTCGAAATTTTCCTAGCCTTAAGCTGCAAGGCAGCGCCATCTCTTCGCATTGTAGGTAACCCACAATGTCAAATGAATACTTTTTCAAGTATTAAACATTTGAAAGAAGAAATAGCAATTATAGTTATGATTTTTTTTAAGCATTTAACTGCTAGATGTTTCTAAACTTTTCTTTAGATTTAAATCTAAAGAAAAGTTTACTACGAAGAGATGGCGCTGCCTTGCAGCTTAAGGCTAGGAAAATTTCGACGCGGCTAATAGGGCCGTGGTAGCATAATGGTCAGTGCATTCGCTCGGATAGCGAAGGATGCGGGTTCGAGTCCCGTCCGCTGCCTGGTCCGCGTGGATTTTTTTCTAGTAAACTTTTCTTTAGATTTAAACATCTAGCAGTTAAATGCTTAAAAAATAAATAAAATCATAAACATTTCAATTTACGGAATTAATATTTTAACAAATTTTTGCACATCTCAATAGAATAATTTATAATTATACGTTGTTGGATTATTTTTTATAAATTCAGTAGCTGCATCATTAATTTTAATTAGGTATTTCTTGACGTCATTATTGTCTTTTATTATTTGATTCTTTTGCGTTTGTCCTGTTGGTTAATCTCGTAATATGCCATTGACTTCATCGTGATATTATTTTTTTCTTTCTTTCTTCGAAGTATAGGAAGTATCGGGTTTGTTATTCTTTGTTCGCTTTAGGTTAGAATATCTTTAGGACAGATTAGCTTTAAAGCAAATTAGCTTAGCACTAGCAGTATAGTACACAAAACAATATCGAATTTGAATTCGATCTCGATATGCGTCAAAATGTCAAGAAGTTTTGTATGAAAATTGGAACAGCGTCAGAACGAACGTAACGTAAAGAGGATTTAAAATCGTCCATACAAAACTTCTTACGTATCGGGATCGAATTCAGCTATTCAAATTCGATATTGGTTCGTGCTAAGGGTACTGGTTATAGATAGTAAGAAAGCGTTCAGACGACGAGCGCCCTCTAAGCGCACACTACGCGCCTTAGTACCCGCGTCTAACTCGCTTTGAAGTTTGTTGTATATAATATGAGTCTTATGACACAAAATTAATCTCAAATTCCATTTAATCGAAGTCCATCCGCAGTCCCGTCCACACCATGCGCCCGCTCCGCATCATCCCCGTGCTTATCTAGGGATGTGCGATCCGGGTCGTCGATCCGATTTTTCGGATCGTAATGGATCGTAATGCTACGATCCGATCCGCGGATCGGATCGCATGCCGTCGATCCGATCTTCAAGAAATCGGATCGGATTTAATACAATAAATAAGACAAATTATTTTACATTTTTATTTGTTAAACCTATCAATAATCGTCACACCTAATCAGGTACAACTTTTGTTTATAAATCATAGAATGTATAAGATTAACAGATCCACCTGCAAAGAATGCCGACAAGTTAAAATGTAAACAAAGATAAAGTTCGTAACAGAAACCTTAGTAAGTACCTACCCAATTTATTAACCAAACCGCGTTTTAATTCATACGATCCAAGCGATCCGATCTTTCAAGTTTTGTAACGATCCGGCAAAAAATCGTATGGCCTCGATCCGATCCGAAAATTACCAGATCGTATGCCTTCCGATCCGATCTTTCAAATGATCGGATCGGATCGGCGCATCCCTATGCTTATCTCGCACAGGCGCTGTACGCTTTGCGCCTGCGCTATGACTATTGAACGAAGTAGTCCAGTCACTAGTAGTATAAGTGTTCTTTCAGAGTAAAGGCGGGTGCGGGTACGGGTATCAAATGTATCTAGACGCTTCTCGCTTTCACAGTGGTCGCCCGTATAATACGTTTCAAATAAGAATAGGAAAGCCAATGACCTCCATCTGTCAAATGTCGCTTGAAAAGTACGGTTTGCAAAAAATCTCGGAACAATTTTTTAGCACTCAGCTGTTTCTAGAATAAAAACCAAAAATTTTTAAACAAACAATAACAAATGTTGATAATTAATATTCGTTGTTTTTTTTTCATTTATTGAGCTTTTAGCTATGAATGGTTGATAACCTAAATCGTCAACCAAATGTCACTTTATGTTGCGTTCAAAAACTCGATTTGAAACTTTCGTTTACATGTAGGATGCATGTTCGTATGTGACCTGCATGATTATTCATAACTTCTCCAGCGGTAATGCAGAGATGAGCGAAATTGCAGAGCTAGATTGTGATTAATATTTTTTTTCACACAGTCTTAATAAAGAAATACTATTAAAAATCGGTTGTATAACCTTAGCAAATTAATTTTATTAAAAAATCTGATGTTTTGTCTCACTTAATTTTAGTTAATAAGTTTTATTAAATAGCTACATTTTTTTGCTCACTCTAGGTACCTATTTGGTTTGAATTGACAGCTATGACATCAAAATATGGCGCCCAGCCGGTCCTATTCTTAGTTGAATCGCATTATATGCGCGTCTGCATAGGCGCGGGGGCGGGTGCGGGTAGCGTGACTATCGCGCGGGTGATTCTATTGGCTCAATCCGCCTGTGTCTTTCACAGTGCTCTAGCGTCTTTCTGTGGCTAACGCGTCTGATTCCAAACCCTTTTGATTCACCCGCGGCAACATGGAAATAGATACAGAAGAATTTATATTATTTTATTAATTATCAAATGTGTTGAGATCTTATTTAATTTATAATCAAATGTATATATTGTCTTTCTAGTGTATTCGAAGGAGTTGTCTGGGTTACTCCGTAAATCGACGTATGGTACTTACATTAAATTCTCCCAATTCTTCTCGTCCTTTATTCATTTCATGTATAGCGTAATTTTTTCACATAATTTTCTTCCCAGTTTTAAAACGAATTTCAAATCTTCATCCTAGTAGGAAGCGCGAAGTTTTAGAACCGTATAACACGCGTACGTTTAGTCTCTCAGCCGCTCTACCACTATGAACATGAAGACGCCAAGACCGCGCGCCCGCGCCCGTTCCCGTCCTGGCACTCTGAATAAGCACTAAGGGTGAGGCCAAACGAGCGTAATTTTGTGAATGGTGAGTCGCAGAATTTCGGTCGCAGAAATTCTGCTGCATTCGGTTTCATACAAAAAGGCAGTTGGTGCCACACGACAACGCAAACTGCCGACTCAATGCGCATAAGCTCGTCCGAATTTCGGTCGGGGTGAGGGTAGGGCAAGGAAGGGGAGTGGGGAAGTAACAGTTTGTTACAAGTTGCGTGGTATAATAATTCTTGAAAAACACGTAATGGCATATGATAGTACTTTTCAAACATATCTGGATTTGCACATAAACGTTCATATAAAGTATGGAACTGTCCACATATCAGTCTCTGACTATTCAGTGGGTTTACCCAGTTTCTTTTTCTGGCCTCATCTTCTGAATATGCTTCAATATTTTTAATTGATCCATTGCACTCGACGACACGAACACCCCGTACTAACGCTCAATAGTAACTGAATAAATTACGTTCGTATGGCAGCTCAGCAGAAATTCAGTTGAACGTAAAATAAGTGACCGAAAATAAGCGACTCACAACTCACAAAATTACGCTCGTTTGGCTTCACCCTAAGTAGGCGCGAGGCGTGCGCTGATTTTGCGGGTGTAAAGCGGGCACAAAGCGTGTCGGTCATGTGCGTGACCGACGCGTGTCATCTAAACACGATAGTTTGATGTACAATTATTGTTGTGTGGTGTCAACTGTCTAGACAACCGTCGCGGGTCGTGCTGGCGGCGCGTGGTGGACGGCCAGTGCGAGGGCGCGGCGCCGCGGCCGCTGCTGCGTCAGGAGTGCTGCTGCTCCGTGGGGCTCGCCTGGGGCTCCCCCTGCGAGCCCTGCGACCTCGACCACTGCCCCTGCCCCAAGGGGTTCGCCAAGGTAAACAAACAAACGGCCACTCTATATTAAAAGTTTTAAGTAACCTTGGATTCTAAACTAAGTTTTAACCCTCATATTGACAAAATCGTTTCGAAAGCCTGTAAACAACTTGGTATGATTCTTCGTCTTGCTCAACCGTTCAGATACCCTCATACATACAAAATTCTTTTTATTCTCGTAGCATTTTGGAGTTTGGCAGTATTATCTGGAACCCTATTTATAATATAAATATAGCTCGTATAGAAAAAATAGAAAATAAATTTTTAAAGTCACTAGAATATCGAACTGGAAACAATTTCGTAGATTACCAAACTGCATCACAAAGGCACAAAATAAGTTCATTAGAAAAAAGACGCACTTATTTGGATCAAATTTTCTTTACAAAATTGTAAACAATGGAATAGACTCGGCCCCTTTATTAGAACTAATTAAATTTAAAATATCACGAACCTCCTCAAGTTCTAAATCTATATTTTATATTTCACCTTCTTATACTAATTATGCTGGAAATACGTTCATGCGGCGGGCTTGTAGGTACTACAATGGTTTTTTGGGAGATGTTGATGTGTTTTTCCTATCTTTGAACATTTATAAAAAAATGGTGGGCGAACATGTAATGCGATGAGCGAGGGGTCGGAGTATTGGTCTGTTGAGTCAGAGACCAACGGTGATTGATACTGCAGATTGGAGGTTTGTCCCTTCGTTTATTGCATTATACTATTTGGCTCAAAAGTTGTACTGAATTTCTTTTCTAAATTATGGTGTTATTCCACTTATATTAAGTTCATTATTATATAAGTTAGTTCATATGTTATGGAACTGTTAGGGCAGTTTGTTACCATTAAATTGTTCATATGTTATTATGTATGACTGTTTGTTCCTTATTAAATAAATAAAAAAAAGTTCATAAATTGATCTTTTTAGCAAGCCTAGCCGAGTATCATCGCACTAACTGAACGGACTAGATTAGTGAATGATCTTAAGTGAAAGCTTGGGTGGCAGATGTAGTCATTGCACTAGCTGCCTTAAGCCTACTCTGACTAAACCTAATAATATTTTTTAGAAGATTTGGTTGGAAACCAACTTTTTCACAAAACAGTAGAGATTTGTGACTGATGCTAAGTGTGAGCGGAGTTAAAATGCGAAGAAACGTGGTTGTTGCGGACCTCTTTGCTATTTTGATAGCTGATGTAGTTTTTTACTCGTTGGTTGTTTATTGACGTTGTCTGTTCTATTTACCTATTTCTTTCTGTTGGCTTAATTTTCTGCTTTTATTAAAAAAATATAATTCTTCAACTCGTTTTATCATTAGCGGAGATCAATTTGGTTTGTTCACTTCAGTGGTGTAGCAAAGATACATAATACCAATACCTTCTTTTTACTTGGTTACATGTAAAATTGTAAATCTCCCATGCCAGTTGGACGGCGTCAACTGTCGGGACGTGGACGAGTGCACCCTGGACTCGGGCTTGTGCATCGGGGGCTCGTGCGTCAACACCGACGGCTCCTATCGCTGCGAGTGCCCTCCTGGACTGGTGCTGGATCCCTCTGGTAAGGATCAAGAAGCTCTTGGTATTTACTAAATTTTTTTGTTGTACGACTGCGACATAATTTAATGAATTTTATGAAATAACTTTTTTGTACCTACTTTTACAAGGCGTAAGAACTCTAGGCTGGATGAATTTAACCATGTGAACTTAGTCCTTTTTAAGTAGACAGATTTTATCTTTAGTAACATAATTTGCAGAAGTATAGCTTAATGTCTTTGATTACTCGTTTAATGAGTTGACACCTTCCATATTAACTGCTTTATCTGTATAGTAAGACTGTCATTTCTTCTTTTGTATTATGATCATTCTACTGGAATGAAAATGTAGTCACAGCTCACATCCAACATTTATATATCTGGACATCAATCAATGGTTTCTTAGGTTTTCACGCACATCACTCATTAAATAAAACTAGTTTTTTACGGGTTAATGCACGAAACTTTATTTTTTTATTGACGGAATCAATTTTTTATTTGATTCAAATAAAAAAATTGATTTGAGTTTTATTTATCAATCAATGGTTTCTGCTAAGGCTTTTGACAAAGAACACATTCTCTTGTACCTATATAGAACAGGACTAATGAAGTTCTTATTGAAACCAGGCAACCGTTGCGTGGACTCACGGCGCGAAATGTGCTACACTGAGTACATGGGCGGGCGGTGCTCAGGGGCACTGCAGGCGCCCGTACTGCGCGCCGTCTGCTGCTGCTCCGCGCTGGGCCGCGCCTGGGGCGACGCGCGCTGCGACCCCTGCCCCAAGCGAGGTCTGTGTCCCACCCTGCCCCCCCCCCCCTGCATGCCCCACACTAACATCTGCGTGCCACACGCAGTACAGTGCTGCTGCTCCGCGCTGGGCCGCGCCTGGGGCGACGCGCGCTGCGACCCCTGCCCCAAGCGAGGTCTGTGTCCCCCCCTGCCCCCCCCCCCCCTGCATGCCCCACACTAACATCTGCGTGCCACACGCAGTACAGTGCTGCTGCTCCGCGCTGGGCCGCGCCTGGGGCGACGCGCGCTGCGACCCCTGCCCCAAGCGAGGTCTGTGTCCCACCCTGCCCCCCCCCCCCCTGCATGCCCCACACTAACATCTGCGTGCCACACGCAGTACAGTGCTGCTGCTCCGCGCTGGGCCGCGCCTGGGGCGACGCGCGCTGCGACCCCTGCCCCAAGCGAGGTCTGTGTCCCACCCTGCCCCCCCCCCCCCCGCATGCCCCACACTAACATCTGCGTGCCACACGCAGTACAGTGCTGCTGCTCCGCGCTGGGCCGCGCCTGGGGCGACGCGCGCTGCGACCCCTGCCCCAAGCGAGGTCTGTGTCCCACCCCGCCCCCCCCCCCCCCCCCCCCCGCATGCCCCACACTAACATCTGCGTGCCACACGCAGTACAGTGCTGCTGCTCCGCGCTGGGCCGCGCCTGGGGCGACGCGCGCTGCGACCCCTGCCCCAAGCGAGGTCTGTGTCCCACCCTGCCCCCCCCGCATGCCCCACACTAACATCTGCGTGCCACACGCAGTACAGTGCTGCTGCTCCGCGCTGGGCCGCGCCTGGGGCGACGCGCGCTGCGACCCCTGCCCCAAGCGAGGTCTGTGTCCCACCCTGCCCCCCCCCCCCCCCCCGCATGCCCCACACTAACATCTGCGTGCCACACGCAGTACAGTGCTGCTGCTCCGCGCTGGACCGCGCCTGGGGCGACGCGCGCTGCGACCCCTGCCCCAAGCGAGGTCTGTGTCCCACCCTGCCCCCCCCCCCCCCGCATGCCCCATACTAACATCTGCGTGCCACACGCAGTACAGTGCTGCTGCTCCGCGCTGGGCCGCGCCTGGGGCGACGCGCGCTGCGACCCCTGCCCCAAGCGAGGTCTGTGTCCCACCCCGCCCCCCCCCCCCCCCCCCCGCATGCCCCACACTAACATCTGCGTGCCACACGCAGTACAGTGCTGCTGCTCCGCGCTGGTCCGCGCCTGGGGCGACGCGCGCTGCGACCCCTGCCCCAAGCGAGGTCTGTGTCCCACCCTGCCCCCCCCCCCCCCCCCCCCCGCATGCCCCACACTAACATCTGCGTGCCACACGCAGTACAGTGCTGCTGCTCCGCGCTGGTCCGCGCCTGGGGCGACGCGCGCTGCGACCCCTGCCCCAAGCGAGGTCTGTGTCCCACCCTGCCCCCCCCGCATGCCCCACAATAACATCTGCGTGCCACACGCAGTACAGTGCTGCTGCTCCGCGCTGGGCCGCGCCTGGGGCGACGCGCGCTGCGACCCCTGCCCCAAGCGAGGTCTGTGTCCCACCCTGCCCCCCCGCATGCCCCACACTAACATCTGCGTGCCACATGAAGCCGATCCGTTCTCAAAAATCCTCTACCCATAACATTGCGGGACTAAGATTTGGTCTGATCAAGTTCCAATAGATTCTTAAGTTTAAATCTAAAGAAAATATAACTAGAAAATATTCCACGAGGACCAGGCAGCAGACGGGACTCGAACCCGCTATCCGGGCGAATGCACTGACCAATTATGCTACCGCGGCCCAGATGGCCACGTCGAAATTCTTCTAGCCATTCTTAAGCTGCAAGGCAGCGCCATCTCTTCGCATTGTAGGTAACTAGAAGGGTGCGGGTTCGAGTCCCGTCTGCTGCCTGGTCCGCGTGGATTTTTTTTTATTTTATTTATTTAATAAGGAACAAACAGTCATTCATAATATAATATGAACAATTTTATCGTAACAAACTGACCTAACAGTTCCATAACATATGACCTAACTTATATAATAATGAACTTAATAGAAGTGGAATAACACCATAATTTAGAAAAGAAATTCAGTACAACTAATGAGCCAAATGGTATAATGCAATAAACGAAGGGAATTTCTAGTTATATTTTCTTTAGATTTAAACATCAAGCAGTTACGGTTAAAAATAATAAAAATTCTCAAGTTTAGTTTAAAAATATTGCCTAGTGTTTTACGGCAGACAACTTTGGATACAATCCGAAAAGATGCGTTAGAAATGGTTGTGTATTTTTTTGTTAAGAAGAAAATAATATAAGCGCCCACCTTGATGGTGCGTAATGTATATTTAGGTAGGTATTAGAAACTTTCATTGACGATAAAAGACATAATCATAATATTATTGACAATGTTTTACTTCGTTACAGTTACAGAGTAATTATGAAATTTAATAACTTTTGTGTATTTTGCTTTATCAATATGTACAATTTTGTCCACGATAATAATTCAGTGTCCATTCACCAGGCACGGATGCGTTCCGTAACTTGTGCATGCTGGGAGCAGTAGACGGTCCGTCAGGGACTTGGGATCGTCCGGTTGATGGTTTCGGAAACATGACGGATATCTGGGTCCCCATGCAGCCCATAGGACCCAACGACGGAGGCCCCGGCGACGACAATGGCTGGCCGGACAACCCTTGGCCCCCGGGACACACTCCCGACAACAGCGTTGTGCCCAAGGAGATGGACGTCAACGAATGCTCCGCTTTCCCTGGCCTCTGCGGTCACGGGCGTTGCAGAAACATGATGGGCACTTTCGTTTGCGACTGCTTCCCTGGCTATGAACCGGTGAGGTGACAAATCCAATAATGTATTGAAAATATGTGTTTTAAGACTAAACTGCATTATACCCCGATCTCAATGCGAAACTTTTTAAACGAAGGCGTCTTGACTAAATATTTTCTAGATAATGCAATCGGCCCTTGTCAAATCAATGCGCCATGTCTTTCAAATCTTCCGATACAAGATTTCTTCTATTCTGAGTTTAAATAATCGCTGTTATATATGTTTTACTAATGCGTTATTAAAAATACTCAGGATTCGAAGAACCACACATGCGTGGATGTGAACGAATGCGAGATCGTGTCAGACGTGTGCGGCGCCGGCGAGTGTCGCAATAACGAGGGCAGTTTCTCTTGCCACTGTCGAGCGGGACATAGGGCCGACGAGATATCCAAGGTTTGCGTCGGTGAGTCCTCATTGCGAATTGCTAGCTCTTACATAACTGAGATGTGAACGAGTGCAATATCTTGTCGCTGCAACTATGAGGGCATCTTCTCGTGCCTCTGTTGAGTGGGACATAGGGCAGACGAGATATCCAAGGTTTGCGTCGGTGAGTCTTCTGTGCGACTAGCTAGCTCTTACATAATTGAGATGTGAACGAGTGCAATATCTTGTCGCTGCAACAATGAGGGCAGCTTCTCGTGCCACTGTTGTGTAGGACATAGGGCATCGAGATATCCAAGGTTTGCGTCGGTGAGTCCTCTATGCGACCAGCTGGCTTTTACTTAACCGAGATGTGATCCAGTGCGAGATGTTGTGGCTGCAACAACTAGGAAAGCTCGTGTCACTGTCGAGCGGGACATAGGACTGATGAGATATATAAGGTTTGCGTCGGTAAGTCCTCTGTGCTACTATTTATATGTAATATTATTATATTAGATTATAAACCCTACCTGATATACTCTGGATAGCAGTATCATTCAACATGTTTTAAATTGAATTGTGATTCAATTGACAATATTGGTCAGGCTGACCTATGATAGTTATTTTATTTTATCAGTCCATCATCATCAGCTTATAATATCAGACTAACGACTTAACGTGTCTATCTAAGCACGGAGGAGCTTGAAAAATATAGATTACTTAATTTTTACGACCCCAGATCAAACGCACTATGGAGATCCTCAATCTATCTACCAATTATCCTATAATGCTTTATTGTCCGTTGCATCGTAGCTTTATGTACTTAATCGTCGGAAGAAAATTTCAGATGATTACCCATACTTGTGCAGATATCAACGAATGCGCGGAGGACATAGGTCTGTGTCGAGGGGGGCGCTGCGTGAACACGGCGGGCTCGTTCCGCTGCGAGTGCGCGCCCGGCATGGAGCTGGCGCCCGACCGCCTCTCCTGCAAGGACATCGACGAGTGTTCCATCACTTCAGGTATTATATCCTACCATCGACCGTGAACACGGCGGGCTCGTTCCGCTGCGAGTGCGCGCCCGGCATGGAGCTGGCGCCCGACCGCCTCTCCTGCAAGGACATCGACGAGTGTTCCATATCGACGAGTGTTCATCACTTCAGGTATTATATCCTACCATCGACCGTGAACACGGCGGGCTCGTTCCGCTGCGAGTGCGCGCCCGGCATGGAGCTGGCGCCCGACCGCCTCTCCTGCAAGGACATCGACGAGTGTTCCATCACTTCAGGTATTATATCCTACCATCGACCGTGAACACGGCGGGCTCGTTCCGCTGCGAGTGCGCGCCCGGCATGGAGCTGGCGCCCGACCGCCTCTCCTGCAAGGACATCGACGAGTGTTCCATCACTTCAGGTATTATATCCTACCATCGACCGTGAACACGGCGGGCTCGTTCCGCTGCGAGTGCGCGTCTGATCGCCTCTCCTGCAAAAAAAACGAGTGCTCCACCAGTTCAGTTATTTTAGTATTTCGTTAACAAGTGCAGTAGCTTCGTTTTTGATTCAAAAGATTCACCCACTCATGTCCTGTGAATTTATTGCCTTCAATGGAATTTGATCGATTTGATTAGTGTAGATGTTCATATAGATCCAAGTCGAAAAGTAAGACTATTCAACTATAAATGTACAGTTAATCAGTCAATGTTTTTCTTTATGATACAATGAAACTGATGGCATGCCAAAACTTTGATTTGTGTGCATGGGTAAAATATTTATTAAACAGGGGATTCCGCGGAGACCACATGCTATAGCTGTGACTTATGTTCATCAGTCACAAATAGGAAAACGATTAGACTTCTTAGTGCTTTTTTTAGGAATTCCATGTGGACAATATTGTAATGCAACGCAGAAGTTGAAAAGTGCATTTGAAATTTGATTAGGAATATGCAGTAACGGCGCGTGCGAGAATCAGATGGGAACGTACCAATGCGTGTGCGACGAAGGTTATGCGCAGCTGACGGTCAAGTCCCACTGCGAGGACATCGACGAGTGCGCCGAGGACCCGACGCGATGTCAGCATGACTGCGTCAACACGCCTGGCTCTTACCACTGTACCTGCAAGTGAGTGTATTGGCATAGTTTTAGGACACACAATAGGGATGATGACTATTTTTTTTTCTTTGTTTATCAGGTAGATTATCAAAAAGTATTGGACACGTATTTTTTCTTTTTTCGCATAATATAAACATTGCAGAGATATATTGATTTGAAAAGTCGCATGACGTCACGTTTGAGTACACTTATAAGTGAAAATTCACTCAAAAGTGACGTCACGAGCCCCTACTCCCAAACTTTGACGCGCTATAACTTTGTCATTTTTTGGTTGATTGCCCAAAGAAAAAATACGTGTCCATTATTTTTTGATCATCTAACTGACGGACTAAATAGAATTTCGTTAACTGTACCCCGTCATCACCCCTATTGGTGTTCCGGATGAGGTGCGCAGAGAAAACAGAGCGCTAGAACACACGGTCCGTAAATTGTTGTTTCTTCTCGAATCCTTCTCTTCTATTCGAATCCTTAACATAAGTGCAGTAAGGTTGTGTTTCTCATTAGCATGCTTTCGATTCTGTAACAGAAATGCCAGAGGAATGGAATAGTATTCTTTTTGAGGGTACATATCAGATCGTTATTTTGAACTCTTGTTTTCAAATTTTAGACCTTTATCTTCTGTTCATCAATTAGGGAAATTTGAAATTATACACTATAAAGAGATATTAAATAAATTTTAGGGAATTTTCTTACTTCAAATTTTCTAATTTAAATGTATATGGCTGTCGATTCTGGCATGATTCTCTAAACTTAAAATTAAATTTAACATCGGTGTCCTCTTTTCTTTCTCTGTAGAGAACGACAAGGATACACTGTTGTGAAATCAAAGTTTAGGTTTAGAGAATCATGCCAGAATCGCCATTAACTGCTTCTCTTTTCTGCTTGATAAATTTACTTTAAACTTTGTTTCCTACGCAGCATGGATAGGAAGTCGGCAGAGCAATTAAAAAAGTCAAAGTTTAGTGACCGATGGCAGTGTTATTCGTTTTCAGTTCGATATAATTGCGATTATAAACACAGGGACGGCTGGCAACTACGAGCGGACGGGAGAACGTGCCGCGACGTGGACGAGTGCCGCAGCGGCGCGCGCGTGTGCGGCGGCGGCACGTGCCGCAACACGCCCGGCGGGTACGCCTGCCAGTGCGGCGACGGCCTGCTGCCCGTCGACGGGGACCGCCCCACCTGCCGCGACATCGACGAGTGCGCCGACGTATGTACTGTGACTCGCACATAGACAGGCACGGGCCGCAACACGCCCGGCGGGTACGCCTGCCAGTGCGGCGACGGCCTGCTGCCCGTCGACGGGGACCGCCCCACCTGCCGCGACATCGACGAGTGCGCCGACGTATGTACTGTGACTCGCACATAGACAGGCACGGGCCGCAACACGCCCGGCGGGTACGCCTGCCAGTGCGGCGACGGCCTGCTGCCCGTCGACGGGGACCGCCCCACCTGCCGCGACATCGACGAGTGCGCCGACGTATGTACTGTGACTCGCACATAGACAGGCACGGGCCGCAACACGCCCGGCGGGTACGCCTGCCAGTGCGGCGACGGCCTGCTGCCCGTCGACGGGGACCGCCCCACCTGCCGCGACATCGACGAGTGCGCCGACGTATGTACTGTGACTCGCACATAGACAGGCACGGGCCGCAACACGCCCGGCGGGTACGCCTGCCAGTGCGGCGACGGCCTGCTGCCCGTCGACGGGGACCGCCCCACCTGCCGCGACATCGACGAGTGCGCCGACGTATGTACTGTGACTCGCACATAGACAGGCACGGGCCGCAACACGCCCGGCGGGTACGCCTGCCAGTGCGGCGACGGCCTGCTGCCCGTCGACGGGGACCGCCCCACCTGCCGCGACATCGACGAGTGCGCCGACGTATGTACTGTGACTCGCACATAGACAGGCACGGGCCGCAACACGCCCGGCGGGTACGCCTGCCAGTGCGGCGACGGCCTGCTGCCCGTCGACGGGGACCGCCCCACCTGCCGCGACATCGACGAGTGCGCCGACGTATGTACTGTGACTCGCACATAGACAGGCACGGGCCGCAACACGCCCGGCGGGTACGCCTGCCAGTGCGGCGACGGCCTGCTGCCCGTCGACGGGGACCGCCCCACCTGCCGCGACATCGACGAGTGCGCCGACGTATGTACTGTGACTCGCACATAGACAGGCACGGGCCGCAACACGCCCGGCGGGTACGCCTGCCAGTGCGGCGACGGCCTGCTGCCCGTCGACGGGGACCGCCCCACCTGCCGCGACATCGACGAGTGCGCCGACGTATGTACTGTGACTCGCACATAGACAGGCACGGGCCGCAACACGCCCGGCGGGTACGCCTGCCAGTGCGGCGACGGCCTGCTGCCCGTCGACGGGGACCGCCCCACCTGCCGCGACATCGACGAGTGCGCCGACGTATGTACTGTGACTCGCACATAGACAGGCACGGGCCGCAACACGCCCGGCGGGTACGCCTGCCAGTGCGGCGACGGCCTGCTGCCCGTCGACGGGGACCGCCCCACCTGCCGCGACATCGACGAGTGCGCCGACGTATATACTGTGACTCGCACATAGACAGGCACGGGCCGCAACACGCCCGGCGGGTACGCCTGCCAGTGCGGCGACGGCCTGCTGCCCGTCGACGGGGACCGCCCCACCTGCCGCGACATCGACGAGTGCGCCGACGTATGTACTGTGACTCGCACATAGACAGGCACGGGCCGCAACACGCCCGGCGGGTACGCCTGCCAGTGCGGCGACGGCCTGCTGCCCGTCGACGGGGACCGCCCCACCTGCCGCGACATCGACGAGTGCGCCGACGTATGTACTGTGACTCGCACATAGACAGGCACGGGCCGCAACACGCCCGGCGGGTACGCCTGCCAGTGCGGCGACGGCCTGCTGCCCGTCGACGGGGACCGCCCCACCTGCCGCGACATCGACGAGTGCGCCGACGTATGTACTGTGACTCGCACATAGACAGGCACGGGCCGCAACACGCCCGGCGGGTACGCCTGCCAGTGCGGCGACGGCCTGCTGCCCGTCGACGGGGACCGCCCCACCTGCCGCGACATCGACGAGTGCGCCGACGTATGTACTGTGACTCGCACATAGACAGGCACGGGCCGCAACACGCCCGGCGGGTACGCCTGCCAGTGCGGCGACGGCCTGCTGCCCGTCGACGGGGACCGCCCCACCTGCCGCGACATCGACGAGTGCGCCGACGTATGTACTGTGACTCGCACATAGACAGGCACGGGCGAGTGTGCCGACGTATGTATTATATCTCGCACCTCCAAACCTGTAAACACAGGAAAGTATCGTAAGAACTCACGATCACCACAATGATCGGTCCCGTCTGCCCTGCCTGAATACAGTGGATTCACGTGACTTTTAGTAGATTGTCGGTCCGGATGGTAGAGGTCTGCTAACTGACTGTTCTCCGGTGCGCCATCATCATCTAAAGAAATTCAGTATAAAAAAATATCTTTGTTATGTATCCTGCCAACTGCCATTCCAGCTGAGCAATCTTTGAGCGACGTTGATTAGTTTTGTTCTTCTATTGACTGCCGATTCTATGTCGCAGGATAATACCAAGTATCTCTCTCTTTTGCCCACTGCGTGAGGTTGTGTAACTTCTGCGGTTTATTTTTATTTATTTAATAAGGAACAAACAGTCATACATAATGTCATATGAACAATTTCATCGTAACAAATTGACCTAACGGTTCCATGACATATGACCTAACTTATATAATAATGAACTTAATAGAAGTGAAATAACACCATAATTTAGAAAAGAAATTCAGTACAACTTTTGAGCCAAATGGTATAATGCAATAAACGAAGGGACAAACCTCCAATCTGCAGTATCAATCACCAACACAGGTGCTGGTCTCTGACTCAACAGACCAATACTCCGACCCCTCGCTCATCGCATTACATGTTCGCCCACCAATTTTTTATACATATTCAAAGATAGGAAAAACACATCAACATCTCCCTAAAAACCATTGTAGTACCTACAAGCCCGCCGCCTGAACGTATAATTAGTATAAGAAGGTGAAATATAAGATATAGATTTAGAACGTCAGGAGGTTCGTGGTATTTTAAATTTAATTAGTTCTAATAAAGGGGCCGAGGTTTATAATATAACTAGCTGACTCGGCGAACTTCGTACCGCCCAAAAGTAATAATTTACGATTAAAATTGCGACTATAATTTGAGATTTAAACTATCCTATCTCTCAAGTTGGATCGAACTGCACATGGTGTGCGAATTTTATTATAATCAGTTCAGTGGTTTAGGAGTCCATTGAGGACAAACATTGTGACACGAGATTTATATATATTAAGATGATCCAGTTTTAGTATTCTAAATGGTGTCTTAATTTCCCAGATCCGCGACTTGTGCGGCGCAGGCACGTGCCAGAACACGATCGGAAGTTTCGTGTGCCGATGCCCCGACGGATACAGCGTGAAGCCCGAGCAAGGCCCCGCCTGTACCGACGACGACGAGTGCGAGCTTGGCACCTGCGACTGCCACCCCGCCGCCGACTGTATCAACCTGCCCGTATGTTCAACACTTCAACAATCAAATAAAACTAGTTTTTACGGGTTAATGCACGAAACTTTATTTATTTATTGACGTTTCGCAGCCTTTTCAGGTCTGCATCGTCAGAATAATCTCTTGAGTTTGTTTCGCCGGTTCTTCTCAGGAAGGTCTCCCAATTTTGGAACCGGTGGTAGTTTACGGTAGTTAGGGTCAAATAAATAAACTCAAAATTACAAACAAGAGTTTTAAATAAAATACTTTATTAAGTAAATTAAATAATAAATTCATACATAGACAATAAAAAAAATTAAAAATCTTCCAGTGAAATAACCGAACGCTCAATATAAGTCTTTCGAAGGTAGCTCGACAATTTTAAATAAAAAATCATTATTCTGACGATGCAGACCTGAAAAGGCTGCGAAACGTCAATAAATAAATAAAGTTTCGTGCATTAACCCGTAAAAACTAGTTTTATTTAATGAGTGATGTGCGTGAAAACCTAAGAAACAAATACTTCAACAATCCTTTAAACCCAAAGCTGTTTTTTTATGACGACCTCATGTTGCATTCATCATCATCAGCCTATTAATGTCCCCACTGCTGGGACACAGGCCTTCCCTATGGATGGAATAGGGAGATTGGGCCATGACCCACCACGCGGGCCCAGTGCGGATTGGTGGGTGCTAACGACTGCAGATGCAGCCGGGACCAACGGCTTAACGTGCCTTCCGAAGCACGGAGGAGCTCGAGATAGTAATTTTTGGTCACCCATCCAATGACCGACCACTGCGAAAGTTGCTTAAGTTCAACGATCGCAGCCGAACGCGTTAACCACTTGCGCCATCGAGTTGCTCAAAATTATAATTCATGTTCAACATGGCCGCCGCTATTTCTAACACAATATATTCTCAATCTTTTTCTTAAATAATAACGTCCTTCAATATTCAGTACGACTTTCCCTGTAACCCTGTATATTCTTTATTATGTTAGTGTATTTACTGTGGACCCGATGTGTGGTGAGAGCATTTTTATCATGTCTCAGCGAATCGAATGCTTTATTATAATCTATAAATGCTAGGTAGTAGTTAATTTCTATGTGGCGGCGACATCTGTATGCCTCACATATAACTAACATGGAGGAAATAATCACTCGTCTCCTCAAGAGATGGCGCCACCGGCGCTGCGTTCACAACGTAAGGAAGCCTACATCGCGCAAGTGAAATTCGGCAGCCAACAGTTCATATATATGATGCCCGACCAACATCAGTCGGGCCGCGGCCCGAGCTAACATCACCCAGCTCGGAGGAAGATCTTCCCCTTAGGCCTTCCTACATCTCATTTGTTTTATGGTATGGATGTGGTCGATGGTTGATAAGTCAACTTCGAGGATAGAGGAATACTTGATCATAATTTATCGTTGAACATTGCGTTTGGCAGGGTTCCTTCCAATGCCGGTGCCGGGATGGGTGGCGCGGCGACGGATCGGAATGTGAGGACGTGGACGAGTGCGTCACCAACAACGGCGGCTGCCACCCGCGCGCCGTCTGCACCAACACCGACGGCTCCTTCATGTGCCTCTGCGACACCGGCTACAAGGGCGACGGGTGAGGACACTAACCTTTTGTGTATATGTTACCGGCCAAACCCGATTTTAGGACAAACTAGTTTTGCCTAGGCTAAACTAGTTCTTCCTATACGCGATAGGATTAACTAGTATAACCTAGTCCAAACTAATTTGTCCTAAGCCCGATAGGATAAACCGGTTTAGCCTAGGCCAAACTAGTTGATCCTGATATAAATACGCATACTCTAGGATAAACTAGTATGGCCTAGTCTAAACATTAGTATATCTAGAAAGTCAAAATAAAAAAATAAAGTGAATATAATACTCTCGAATTGGAAAAATTATATTTTTGAAGTTATACTTCTTTAGGCGCGTTATGAAAAAATGATGAGAGTGAAATTTTAAGATGCGCGCGCATCACTGTAACACAAAATTTTAACAGCATGAAGTTGGTCGCTTTAGCGACCAACTTTATGCTGTTACTTTTGTGTTTACCGCACATTAAGAAAATCTACCAACAAAATAGAAATAGAATCTCTATTTAGTGGGTGCTAACGACTGCATTGTGAAGGCCTATCAAAAGTATTTATTAATCTGGAACAACGGAACCAAAGCGCGATTCAGGAGACTACAGCGCCATCTCTTGACCATTGGTGTAGTAGAACCAAAAACCACATCTTTATTTTTTGTAATAAAGTAACAGTTATATGTATTCATATTTATAATATTTATCCACATGTTTCTAGTTTGTATATTCGGAATACGTGTTTGAGTTTCATACAAGTGCAAATCACATATGTTCTAATAAATTATATTCAGTAGCGATTTTAATTGAATATTTTGATTATTTATTTATTTTTTCAAATTAAAACTGAACTTTATTGACTGTGTCCTTTTCCAGACTTTTTATTAATTTATTGCAATTAATTATTTGCATGCAATTAAAAACTAATTTTAAACGATACCAAAGAAGGATAACTTCTCATGCGCCTACATAAGTACACGCACCCATTTTTTTTGTTAAAACGATAATGATTCATCGTTAAAAGTTATGGATAATTAGTAATACAAACAATCATACTATAACAAATAATATGTGTTTTTTTTTAATAGAAGCAATAATCATATCTCAATTATTAAAATTGTTATGTATTTTTACATGGTGTGCTTTAGTGGCACTTAGAATTGCAGAGTATCATTGCCTTCTTGCCTTCTTGAATTGCAGAATATCATTGCCATTATTGGCATCTGTTTGTGGAACAGTTTTTGTTGCAGCTGCATCACGCAAAACAAAAGGCCTATTTCTTATGTGTGCGAGTGTACCCATGCGCATACACACTCCCGCCACTTTCTTCCAGCGTTCTTTTTACATGACGCGACCTGTACAAGTCCTGACTTGTTTGTTCAATTACTTTCGACTCTGCTAAATTGGTTTAGACTAGGCCATACTAGTTTATCCTAGAGTGTGCGTATTTATATCAGGATCAACTAGTTTGGCCTAGACTAAACTGGTTTATCCTATCGGGCTTAGGACAAATTAGTTTGGACTAGGCTATACTAGTTAATCTTATCGCGTATAGGAAGAACTAGTTTAGCCTAGGCAAAACTAATTTGTCCTGAAATCGGGTTTGGCAGGTAACATATATACTGATTGCTTCCTGGCAGCTGGACGAGCTGTTCCAGCTGGAGTGATTTTAAATTAATAAATAAATATTTCCAACACACACCAATATAGCCAAGCCCCAAAGTAAGCACTGTAAGGCTTGTATTTTGAGATACTAGGGTAACGGATAGAATACATATACAATACATATATAAGTATATTTATATAGAAATACATATTAAAAATTCATGCAACCAAAAACAGTAATTGTAAAAACAGTAATTGTGCTGTTGTACGATATTGATCGTCGTTTGTTCTTTTCCATACTAAATTATGTAGGTATCTACTTAATTAAATCAAATATTTACAATACAAAACGCACGTTTAAGCACGGCTAACTGCATAAAAAACAATTCAGACCGTTCGGTCGCCGTCGCGGCGCGGCGGGGCATTCGCGACTGGGTGCCCGCCGAGAGCACATCGAACTCGAGCGGCGTAGGTATGACTCGCTTTCCGACCGTTTGTATGAAGATAGAATACTGTATGATATTATTATCGTGACAATGTCTTTAATTTATTCGGAAGACAATTTAAACACATAATAAATGTATTGGCATTATGTTGACATTATCCGATCATCAGGTACTCGTGTGTGGACATTGACGAATGCGCGAATGATCCCACCCTGTGCGAGAACGGCCACTGCACCAACACGCCCGGCGGGTACGCCTGCGACTGCGACGTGGGCTTCACCAAGTCTCCCGACGAGAAATCTTGTCTCGGTAACTATTGAAACTATACTCTCGTCCCTACTTTTCAAGGTAACCACGGAATACCAGCGTCGGACAGTCTACGACATCCGACACAACATGCTGAGTGGACTGCCTTTTTAGTGATGCAAATGTTTAGACTTAATTTATTAAATGTTTGGACGATTCAAAAGTGTTGTACTATACATCCAATTTGAATAAAGATATATTATTGTTTATATATATTTATGTATAAGGTGTGTTCTAATTTGTGTCACTGAATAAAACATTTTCTTTCTTTCTTTCTTTCTATCATCATCATATGGGGGGGGGGGGGGGGGGGGGTTGCCATAATCGCTTGGCAGGCGGGTTGGCGGTCGCAGTATACCGGTTCGCATAAGGAGATGCTGCTGCCCATCTCCTTAGGTGAAGTGAAGTTTCCCTTAGTCGCCTCTTACGACACCCACGGGATGAGAGGGGGTAGTGCTATTCTATTCTAGGCCGGCACTACACGGCACATATTTGAAAATTGAAACTATAATTGCTATTAAATAAAACTAGTTTTTACGGGTTAATGCACGACACTTTATTTATTTATTGACGTTTCGTAGCCTTTACTGGCTACGTCGTCAGAATCAAACTTTTATTTAAGTTATTTGTCGAGCTACCTTCGAAAGACTTTTATTGAGCGTTCGGTTATTTCATTGTTCGATTTTCAAAGTTTTATTGTCTATGTATGAATAAAATAAAACTTGGAAAACTTTAAGTGATTCTAATTTAAATAAAATATTACTAGAATTTCCACGCGGACCAGGCAGCAGACGGGACTCGAACCCGAACCCTTCGCTATCCGGGCGAAGACACTGACCATTATGCGACCGCGACCCTGATGGCCATGTCGAATTATTTCTAGTCTTTCTTAAGCTGCAAGGTAGCCTGTCAAAGGAATACCTTTACAAGTATCAAACATTTGAAAGGAAAAATAGCAATTATAGTTATAATTTTTATTTTTTAACCATGTAACTGCTTGATGTTGAAATCTAAAGAAAATTCTAATTTACTATGCATTACTTCACAGATATGGATGAGTGCGCCACATTCGACAACGTGTGCGTGTTCGGTGTGTGCGTCAACACATACGGCATGTTCAAGTGTATCTGCGACAAGGGATATCAGTCCGATAACGTCGACGAACGTAAGTAACTCAAGATATAAGCTCGTTGACTCAGCAGGTTATTAGAATGATTTTTTATTTCAAAAGTTTATTTATTTACTAGCTGACCCAGCGTACTTCGTATTGCTTACAATAATTTGGAAGAAATGATAAACGACGAACGTCAAATGTTTGACAGGAATATACACATAGCCATCTGTCGGATCCAATGTAAAACATTCCAAAATCAACAACTACTAATAAATTAAAAATTAATTAAAAAAACATTGTCCAGCGGACAAAATTGTGAATCTAAACCATTCTCAGATCCCCTTGAACACACACAAAAAATTTCATCAAAATCGGTCCAGTCGTTTAAGAGAAGTTCAGTGACATACACACTCACAGAAGAATTATATATATAAAGATTTATTTATGGAAAACAAACAGCATGTTAAAACTAAGGATAAAACGAGATGATTTAGCATTGATATGCCTTACAAAGTTTTCACAAATACAACTCAAATAAAATATACTTAATCCAATCTAGGCCGTAGATTAATTTAAAACTATATAAAAATAAAAACACAGAAGTAAACAATTAAGCATAAAGCCATAAAGCTATACCCACAGAAAAAATGTTGATAAAAATATAAAGTAATTTAAATTAGGTTTTATTATTACTATTAAAAAATTGACTATTCACAATCTTTTTGAAATAAATTTGTCTCGCCAGGAATACGTCCACATCACATGAATAATTATTATTGAAATTTTGTCTTACTCTATTAAAGTAGGAATTCTGTCTATAATTTGTGGAACATAAATCAGTATGGAGTCGCAGATAATTGCGTCTGGCAACTGTACGGAATGGTACCTGGATTTTAACCAATGATAGCAGCTCAGTGCTATCTATCTTACCGAGAATTAATGACATAGAGATTAAAAAGTAACAGAACTTATAAAAAGCAAAACCATTGTATACTCCAGCCGCTAAGATTGCCAATAAAGTGCCTTGTAAAGCTGATTTTGAAATTTTAGTAATTTGGTTAAATATATTAGCAATTGGACTACTGCTAGGGGGGTGGTTCGGTCAGAAATTTTTGTAGGTGATAAGTTGGCGACCTTGATTGATATCTACTGCTGAATTGCCAATAAAGTATGGTCTGTTTACAGCTGGACCATTTCTTATTAAGTATGAAATATTATGTGATATATGGTCTGTACCCAGACACGAGTAACTGATTAGTTTTGTTGGCACAATGCCAATGGTAAATCTCCACCTAGTACTCCAGAAAACGCTTATGTAGAAGCGTATTTCAAGCATGCTTCTATTATAATACACACACTCAAAGAATTTAATAAAAAACCGTCTTATATCAAACCTCAACTAAATTAAAACTCTACCTAAAATACGCTTAAACAGCATTGCTGAAGTATGATGTACATGAATAGTTCTTTAAAGAAAAAAAAAATGTGTGTATCAGCTCCGACACACGACTGGAGTTTACTCCTTAAGTTCGATAGTCTAACCAGACGCAAAAAGAGTTTATTTAACTTAAAAAAGATTGATACTGTATGAAAGGGTAAATTGACAAATTCATGAAAATAATATACATATATAAATATATATTTATTCATTTGATATACATTTATTATAACTAATCGACGAAATATTTTACATTAAACTTTTTACAATAGTCAATTTCAGATGTGCATAAATATATCATTAGGAATGTTGATAAATTATGTAATTATTATTATCAGACTATTATCATTTTTTTAAATATTAATTAAATCAACATTGTCTGCATTATTAATCACAGTGACAAGTGGTTTATGGTAATTAAAATAAGACACATGGACGTTCGTAGATACGTGGTTCACGAATCTTGAAAATACCGCATCAATGGCTGTACCATACCTCGTTGTCCCCATTGCTCTATCAGAAACAATATCTAAAGTCAGTTCAGATTTAAAAAAAAATATTATTGTCAATCCGTTATCTTTGTTTGTCAAAGTTGCGCGACATAGGATGCGCACCAAAAACGTAACGAGGTCATTCATCGATAGATTTCACTCCTCACATTTTTCTCATACCGGGCCCCTTATATATGCAAATCGATTCTTAAGGAGTAAACTCCAAAAAAAGGTATTTTCAATCCAATCAAATATTCTTGTAAAAATTACTAACAACGGCACCCAGAAACGTCAAATTGAATACTTATCCCATTTTACCAATTCCAGTGATGCCTGGATTCAACTGCACGGACGTGGACGAGTGCAAGTCGCCGCAGTCGTGCCAGTACGGCGAGTGCCTCAACACGCAGGGCTCCTACATCTGCCGCTGCCCGCCAAACTACGAGCTCGTGTCCGACGGCACTGCATGCTTCGGTAACCTTTATTTATTTAAACTTTATTGCTAAATAATACAGCAAATGGCGGACATAATGCCATAAGGCATTCTCTATCAGTCGACCAGGGGGCCAATCGCCTAACGGAAATGCTTTGGAAAACGCTAACGCTTACGATTTTATTTTGTTATTTCTAGCCGCCTGAGGTATTCAAATGCCTCGCGCTCTTTCTTTTTCTTTTGCATTGGTAATAACAATATTAAAAAAAATGAGCGTGAGGTATTCGAAAACCTCAGTCGGCTAGAAATAAAATCGTAAGCGTTAGCGTTTCCCAAAGCATTTCCGTTAGGCGATTGGCCCCCAGTAAGAGCGTGAGAAAAAAACTAATATGACGGGGGCGCAATAAAGACAAATGTAAGATAAACCAAGGATACAAATACTCTTAAGAGAATGCACACATATATACATATATACATACTAGTGATGTAACGATTATCCGCATCTGCATTCGCATTCGCGAATATTCGCATATTTTTGAATATTCGCATTCACATTCGCATTCGCAAAATCTCTGCGAATGTTTTGCGAATATGAATATAAAAAAAAAACAATTTGAAGAAGTTGTAGTTCTTCCTTTCCTTGAATATTCATTGTTACACAGCTTGCATTTAGCTCGTTTAGCATCGCAATGTGTGAAATAAGTCCATATTTCACTAGAATTTGATTTACTCATGTTAATTAATCACTATTCAAACTCTAACCTCAAAATTCCCTTGTTTTGTTTACAAAAAGACCGGTGCGAGCGGAATGACACTTCAGTCGGATGAGTTCATATCAACTCGGCAATTCGAACGAGACTACCACCATGCCATAGACAATTGGCGCTAATTTTGAACAAAAACATATATATTCGCATCCGCATTCGCATTCGTGAATGTTCAAAAAATTACATTCGTTACATCACTAATACATACAATACATACATAAGTATACGATTATGTCAGTCAAATATGAGAACGCTGTTTAATGCAATTGGGATAGTGCTCACGAATCAATCGTCTCAATGCAAGTTTGTTAGGAGCTTTACGTATATTTGGGGGCAAGTCATTCCAGAGTCGTACCGCTATGACGGTGAAAGAGTAGGAGACGAAGCCTAAAGTGCTAAGTGCTAGTGCTTAAGTGCTTGCTTTGGTAACCTTTGGATTAAGATAGGTGTACACGTTTTTTTTGACGCCCTCCGTGGTCGAGTGGTATGTACGCCGGGTGTCAAGGTGTCGCCTACTCGAGAGGTTCGACCCCTGGTGGGGGCAGAGGTTTGTGTGATGAATACGAACATTTGTACTCCAGTCATGGATGTTAAATATGTTTTACTATATAAATATACTTATATATGTAGGTATGTATTCTATCCGTTACCCTAGTATCCCATAACACAACCCTAAAGTGCTTACTTTGGGGATAGGCTAATTGGTGTGTGTTAAAAAAAATGGGTGTAAAAATACTTGTTCCCTTTTCTTGTTCACTTGTTTTTTTTTACATGAAATATCCACCTAGTAAGTTAAGGTCGCTGTATGCTGGATTATTTTTCTAGATAGTTTCATAACCGCAGAATCACATTATTTTGAAAATAACAAGTGAAAGAATGAACACTGATTCAAGCCGGCTTAACCTTTAAGGTGTATGGCTTAATAAAGAATAAAAAAAAAAAAACACTGATTCATGCAGATTGGTTAACACATCTTTCCAAAAACTAGCGTCATGAGGTCATTTAATTATTTAATATAGAAAACAACACCGTATATTATAATTTTTATTATTTTAAAGCATGTGACTGCTTGATGTTTAAATCTAAAGAAAATGTAACTAGAAAAAAAATCCACGCGGACCAGGCAGCAGACGGAACTCGAACCCGCACCCTTCGCAATCCGGGCGAATGCACTGACCAATTATGCTATCGCGGCCCTCACGTTGAAATCCTCCTAGCCATTCTTAAGCTGCAAGGCAGCGCCATTTCTTCGCATTATAGGTAACCCACAATCAACTTTCGTTGCAAACGCCATCAAACAAAGCCATCAAAAAAATTATATAATGTGTATGTGTTATCCTAACTATTAACTATACTTTACTATACAGAAAACATAGACACACAACATATATACATGTATATATGTGTGTATATTATGTGTAAATTCTGTTAAGAGTATTTGTATCCTTGGTTTATCTTAAGTTTGTCTTTATTGCGCCCCCGTCATATTTTTTTTCTCACGCTCTAACTGGTCGACTGGTAGAGAATGCCTTATGGCATTATGTCCACCATTTGCTGTGTTATTTAGCAATAAAGTTTAAATAATGGAATTATTTAATTTCATTTTATTTAATAATTAAGTTAGTTATTTGAATTGTAAGATATTGGTCAGACCCTTAAAAGTTATTTTTTTTTACTTTGATATTTATTTTTATTTTATTTATTTTTTATTTATATAACATCAACAAGTTTCAACAACGTTTTACACAATATAATGTAATATTATTATTTTTTTAAACGGTACTTTAGCCAATTACAGAAACTCACCTTGCATTCAATTCAAAAATTAAAATGATAACGTAGGGTAGAAATTATATATTAACAATAACATAAAAGAAATACCAACAAAGATTCAAATTAATTTTGCGATAAATATAAATACCAATATAAATCAAAATTATAAATGAAGCACTACCAACTCACTTTTGTGTAAATGAGTGTGTAGTAGTGATGGTGTAGTGTGTGTGTGTGTGTCTGCATGCCTTCCGTAAAAAATATCCATATTGAAACGAGCCGGTAAAAGCAGCAAAATGCATGAGCCGGTAAAAACAGCGAAATGCATGATATTATACGATTATATATAATTATAATTTATTTGTTTCCACAGATTCAAGGAAGGCTCGTTGCTATGGCAACGTAGATCTGCGCTCGGGAACTGAACGCTGCCATGATAGGGACGAGCTGTCTGAAGATGGAACCATGGCAGCTTGCTGCTGCTCAGTTGGTTTGTAAATTAATTCTATTTCACTCTAGTCATGTGTATATCGCAGTCATCTGATTAAATGTGCCATTTGATTGAATGGCTAGCGCGTTCACTGAATGACGACTTTTAATTGAATGACTAAAGGACAACTTGTCAAGTTGTTTAATGTAACGTTCAACGTCTTGACTGAACGTCATTTAGCATAGTCGTTGGATGGGATATAGCCGACTTTATAACTATGTAAGTAAAAGAAAAATACCATATTACTTATGAAAGATTCGTGATAAGTGGGTTAGGTTAGGTTAGTGTCGTGACTTGAGCTTACCGCGAGCCGAGCGAGCGAAGCGCCAGCCACCTGATAAGATAAAGATAGATAAATAAATAAATTGTTTTTTTTTTCTTTTATTCTGCTGTTTGACGCCATATTTGTTTTGGTGACTACTAGTGCCACAGTGGGGAAAAATATAACTAAATTTCAATTACCTGGCTGATTTTACGTCCGCTGTGTTCAAAGGGCTATGTTACAATTCGCTAAATAGTTGGACGTTAAGTGACGCTTGTTCAATCAATGTTCAGCCTAGTCATTCAATTAAATGTCGTCAATTCAATGAACGCGCTAGTCATTCAATCAAATAGCAGATTCAACCAGATGACGACGACATGTATCTAACGTTATAAATCACTATCCGCCTTATTACATAACGTTGACTAAAGTTAAATCTGGTTTAAAACCGATGCTGTGACAATTGTTTGCTAAAAAGATAGCAGAGGCAGCATAAGGATCAAACCATGACTGTATGGGTATTGTTTAAAATATTTATTTTAGTTATGTTTTTATTTATTTTTAAGCATTTAACTGCTATATGTTTAAATCTAAAGAAAAGTTTACTAGAAAAAAATCCACGCGGACCAGGCAGCGGACGGGACTCGAACCCGCACCCTTCGCAATCCGGGCGAATGCACTGACCATTATGCTACCAGGAAAATTTCGACGCGGCGAATAGGGCCGTGGTAGCATAATGGTCAGTGCATTCGCCCGGATTGCGAAGGGTGCGGGTTCGAGTCCCGTCCGCTGCCTGGTCCGCGTGGAACTTTTTCTAGTAATCTTTTCTTTAGATATTTATTTTATTTATAAATTGCCCGATGCTCTATCTTGATTTGCAACCTAATATAGCATTAAACTTTATTTCTTCGTTTAAAAATGGATTGATCAAAACCATCTCAACTTTACTAAGTCGAGATTTTTAAGTTATCCACCGTTTGTTTTAACCTAGGTGCCGCATGGGGTAATTATTGTGACCTGTGTCCTGAACCTGGATCCGAAGAGTACCGACAACTGTGTCCAGGTGGCCCAGGATATCAACCTGTTCTGGAACCTGTAAGCTATTGTGACATATGTCATCATCATCATCAGGCTCTTAATGTCCCCACTGCTGGGGCACAGGCCTCCCCTATGGACGGAATAGGGAGATTGGGCCATGACCCACCACGCGGGCCCAGTGCGGATTGGCGGGTGCTAACGACTGCAGATGCAACCGGGACCAACGGCTTAACGTGCCTCCCAAAGCACGGAGGAACTCGAGACAGAAATTTTTTGGTCACCCATCCAATGACCGACCACTGCGAAAGTTGCTTAACTACAACGATCGCAGCCGAACGCGCTAACCACCTGCGCTATCGAGCTCCTCGTGACATATGTATAAAAGAAATTTCTTCGTTTTTCGGCACTTAAGTACAACATTGGAATTTCTACTTGTTCATATAATTTATTCTTTCATTTAGCTAAAGTGAGCACACAAAGCAATTTCGCAACCAGAAGAAGTTTATGAAAGGGGTAGTTACGGGGTAGATTGGCAACTCGAAACCGTTCTAAATATAATCTATACTTATAATAAATCTGTAGAGACGTCTATTCTGTACATGAAATATATTTTCAAAATAACTATCAGGGGGTGATTAGTGATGGATACTGATGCCAAAAATGCAATCAGTAAAATTTTTGTCTGTCTGTCTGTCTGTCTGTCTGTGTGTATATGTGTATATTTTATAGAAACAAAAACTACTCGACGGATTTTGACGAAACTTGGTACAATTATTCTTCATACTCCTGGGCAGGTTATAGTATACTTTTCATCACGTTACAATCAATAGCAGCAGAGTAGTGAAGGGAAATGTTGGGAAAACGGGAGAAGTTACTCCATTTTTAAAGCTTCCGTCGCGTGTGCAATCTTAATGATTAAAGTTACATAGAAATCATGTATGACGGAAATATTCTACATAAAATTGTCTAAAAAATATCTCGCAACAGCATATGTCTATCTTTTATGGTTGACTTACAATAACACGTGTAATTATATAAATAAAGTCATTGTTTATAGCACAAGCCTGAGAACAAAACTATAGTTTACACTACAGCTCTACACCGAAGCGAAGCGAGGGCGGGCCACTAGTAATAAAATAAAATAATAAAAATCTTAATTGTGTATGGAACAAGGTAACATGAAAATACAGGTCTTAATGCTAATGTACAGTGCCATTTGATCCTACCTTTTCAGGTGTATACACATTTATATTGTAATGTATAGGAACCATTTGAATATTCCTATTTATATTCTAAATACTCTTGGATACTATAAAAACATTTTTGGCTAAGCCAATCCTTAAGTATTTTTTTTAATTTAAAAAGTTTTAGTTCTTTCATCTTGTCTGGTAATTTATTGTAAATTTTAATGCACATAATAAAAGTGTTTTTAGCTGCTAAAGACAATTTTGTAGCAGGCCTATGGAGCTCATTTTTATAAACTGAGCGTAAATTACGATTAGTTATTTGATGATTCTCTTTAAATAGGTACTTATGTTGGTGTACAAATGTACATATATCAAGAATATACAGGCAAGGCAAAGTCAACAGCTTAAAGTTTCTAATATAGCGACTAGGATTAGACTGATAATGACGCTGCTATTCGTATACAAAAGTAGGTTCCCCCCTTAGAATAGAAAATAGCCAGCGTCCCATCTCCTACTACGATACCACTAGCTCGGTTTACAGTGATACTGGTGTCCAGTGTTGGGCAAAATGTAATGAACTTCAAATGAACAATTTCAATTAAAAATTGTAATTGGTGATTTTAATTACAAATTACTTGAAATTATTGAAATGTAATTCAATTAACAATTATAATTAGCAATTGTAATTGTTAATTGCAATAACTCAATTACATATATTAATCTCTTTTTAAATAAAACTATTATATTATGATTTATCAAATGTTTATTTACGAATTAGATCAGATAAATTGTGTAATTATAACCACCTTTTTTAAAATTAAGACAATAAATGTTTAATTTATTTTAAATGAGACATTAATACTACTCTTTGATCAAACATTTGATCAGAAAGTTTCAAAGATTTTGGTAAGTTAATCATTGTAGCATATGAGAACAATCAATCGAAATAAAGGTGCACGTCGCCGAGAGACTAGAAAAGGGATAGGTAGCTGTGTAGGTACTGGTAACGAGGCACACACTTACACACTCATAAATTCATGGCAAATTATACAATAAAACTTTGTTTGTGTTGTGCTTGTTGTGCTGCGTATGGGCATCAAGCTACTAACCGCTCAAATTTAGTAGTTTATTACGTTACCCTTAAAAAGTAATTGAGTAATTTCAATGAGGGCTATCGCGTATGAATCCGCCGCTAGAGGCGCTTGTGTAGCGTGAGGTTTCTGAAATGTCAAATGTTATTGGTTGTGAGTTGACTACGCGGGTTTATTTCTTATTAAAATAATGTTGTGAATATTTAGTAATAACTCGGCTTAATTATAGCAAATATGAGTTACGTGACATTGAATGTCAGTTATTTAAAAGCGGAGCTAAGAAAAATAATTATGTCCTCCTTTTTGCCGTACAAAACGGAGCTGCGCAACACTGTGGTATGGCCAATTATGTTTAGAATACGGTTCTTTTGTATTAAAATATGATTTAAATGTATACTTTGATTTCACGCGCGTATTAATAAACATTAAAAGTTACAATTCAGGACCTCACTCAATAGTGGCGCCATCTGGTGAGACAAAAAACGGTAGCCCTCATTACAAACTAATGTAATTTAAATTATTTCGGACGTAAGTAATTGAATTACAGTAATTTCAAATACACGTAATTTCAATTAAAGTAATTCAATTACTATTCATTGAATTAGTAATTGAATTACAAAAGTAAGTAATTACGCCCAACACTGCTGGTGTCGAATCTAGCGTTAATCTATAAACCTAAATTTTAATTTGAAAACGATATATCCTTGTCGCTCTCTCTAGAGAATGAAAAGGAGAGACTGATATAAAAGTTACTTTGTCAGTTTAAAGAATCACACTAGAATTGACATGACTATTCAATAAAACAAGTTTGAACGGGTTAGATGCACTAAGTTTATTTATTTATTGACGTTTCGCGTCCTTTACAGGAACGCGTCGCACAGTGGGTGAAAAAAAGAGGTCCCCTTTCATAGGATTTTTGAAAAAATAAAAATGAATATTATCCGTTTAAAGTATGCGGTTTTATTGGACATATCAGTACATTGAATAATAAAATAGTTTGGGGAATTTCCTTTTAATCTAACACCATAAAGCACGGGCTTTAGAGTTTCAAATGTATGAAAACGGAATTTGTTTTGCTCAACTTGTATCGGTCTTCTACGGTCAAGCTGAAACTTATAGGGATTATTACCGGGTCTGTTACAAAGCCATGTGACCTTTGACCTTCACCCCGGACGGCCCCGTTCAAAAGATACGAATTTTTCAAAATGCTTATTAGGGTAATTTTGCTTTACGGGGTTATGTGTCTCAATAAACAGTTTGTTTATGTTTCTTGCCCAGCATTTAGTTATTAATATAACACAGATTATTATCTAATAAAACTACACAGTAGATAACGCCACCATACAACTTAACTTTAAATAAAAGCGTCCTAATTCAAAAGATATGGAATTAATATAAATAGATAAAAGAAATAGTTTTAAGAAAAAGAAAACAAGAATACAATAATGTAAAGAATTACAATGAAGTCGTTTACAGCCTACAATTTAATCTTTTGTTTGACAATCGCTTAAAAGCCGCGCGCCATTAACGAGAGCATCATTACATATAAACAATACAAACTCTATTGTTGCAGGTTTTGAGGAATTCAAAGGGTTACCCACAGTTATTACCTGCCGTTGTTTGTCTATAATAATTAATTTTGTCAAACAAACATACTTACACTTACAATGTCTATCTAAGAAAGGGTTTGATCAAATATGTTTATTTTGGGATACCTAGAACTTTAACTGACTAAGCTTAAAATAAACAAAGTGTTTTTCCAGATAAACTGGCTGGTTATTAATATTAGTAAATGTAGTAAGGGAGATTCTGATATGTTACTGCCAAACGAGAAAATAAACTATTTACATTATGAATAAAACAAAATTATTAACATCAATATTTTTATTTACAAAACTTAAATTACTAACTAAGCTTGATATCATAAATTAAATAATGCATAATAAGGAAGCCACAACTGTATAAATTACTACACACATACAAGCTAAAGTATAAAAGATTAGTAGAACTCAAATTGGCTACAACAGTTCTTAAATATGTAAACTGTTTATATTAATATGATACAAAGATACAAAAAAATAAAAATACAAAGTTTGATATAATTTGATTTGAGGGAAAGAACACATACTAATCAAAGTCATAATCAGATACATTACCTACATCTACAAACTCTATATTTTCCTTATCTTCACAAGAAGTTAATAATAATGATTTAGCTTCATTTGTGAGAGGTTTATTTCGTTGACATATTTTAGGCCTGAAACTTGATAGGTATGGGTCAGACGATATTAACAAATTATTGATAATATCTTGATTTGTTGCAATCCTGCTAGATTTACGCGAGTGGAAGGTTCTGAAGTTTTTAAAATCTTTGTTACGAGCTTCAGAGGCCTCTTCAGAGAGCTTGCCGATTGGTATAGAGTTATTGTGCTCTATTATATCGGCACCATGAATGAGTAATTTATGCACGCTTGAGGGCATATAATACCATTCATAGAGCTCGACATATTTGCGTGCTGTAGCAGCACAATATTGGCGGAATTTTTCCACGTCCACAAACTCTCCACATGAGATAGCCTGAAGAATCACTCCAAATCTTCTAACGAGTTCTTCATCAACACCCGTTATTTGAGCAGTAATTTGAGGATTAACAAAAAATCTTCTTGCTGTGTTTCCATCGTTGCTTGTACCAGCCCCTTGTTTAACAACGTCCACAAGTAGCCCCGTTTCAGTCCGGAATTGTTCTTGAATAGCCTTTTTTCTTTGGCGTAACTGTTGCTTCAAATCTTCGCCCTTAGCTTGCCATTTCTTGAAGTCGAGACGGTAAGCAATATGTAAGATACATTCCATGCATCTAATTCGTGCATGGAGGGAAGACAGACCGAACTTAAACATGTCTACAGACTGGGTTCTCTGAGTAACCTTGTCGATATCATTCATTTCTTTTGGTTTTGCTTTGCATATATCGCATGTATCTGATAAATGTGAAGTTATTTTACCATCAATCATCGTCATATGCAGAACGTGTTTTACATTTGCACCATCGATAACAGTTGGATGTAGAGCAGTAATTTCCGTATCAATTGAAGTCATTTCTTCTTTAACATTCAAATCGTTCTCTTTAGCAAACTTAAAATAAATGGGTCGACAGTAAAACGTTGAAGACGCTTTGGGGTTTTTCATCAGTACCATCTCTCACCAGTTTTAACGGCACAAATGAACACATGAAGATGCTTGAATCATCGCCGTCAATTTTTTGTTGGTAGTTGCTTTGCCCAGATGCACCGTCAAACCCCCATTTACTGATAAGAGTCGAATTACTGCCAGTTAAATCAGTTTCCAGAGTTTTTAATAGTCTCTTGACCGTAATATCTAAAATAGACTGAAGTTTAAGTTTAACTTCAGTCTCAGTTATTACCATGTCTTCTTTTTCAACGTAGCACTTCTTCTTCTCTTGCTTCAAAGCATCATACGATGGAAGTATATCACACCCCATGTCTCTCATTGTCTGCCTCAATGTAATATACTGCCATTTCGATAATTTCAGTGATGTTGAAATACCGAGTGCCTTATCGGTATGACAAGTTCGTTTCGTCGATTTCAGGTAGGCTCGCAGCATTGGCGCATCTTCAGGCTTTTTAATCAAATGCTTCACTAATTCTACAAAGTCCGTTTGGTTTTCATTTTCCGCTTTCCTAGCCAGGGCATAAGCAAGTGTCTCAAAATCGTTTTCGGCAATGAGATTTTCAGTTCTTCTTCTTTTTTGCAGTGGACTCAAATTGGCAAATTCTTTTCGAGGACTAAATGTAGCGGTTGATGTCGACACAGCCACACTATGAGGAACAGTGCATTCCGTTGATAAACTAGGTCTTGTTACTGTTGAAATACTTGTTGAAGGATCTTCAAAACTCGTCATAATATTTGATTGTTCTTCAGTTATGTCTAGTGAAACAAACTCTGGCCATTTTATTTCTTGGTCCAACCAGTCAGCAAACTTCTTTATAAAATTCCCTTGTGTGTAATTAGCTGACTTCCATTTGCGTTTAAGATTACTCGTATATGTAGCACAAAATGTTTTAAGAGTTGTCTTTTGTTCTTCAGTTAATGAAAATCTCACTGAATCGAGTACTTTTTGAAATAACATGTCGGCACTAAAAGATTTTTGCCTCATATATATATATACGTCGAGATTAGACACAAGCCCTTCCATTCTGAGCAACTTAAAATTTGAGCAAAGAGAACGTTACGGTACGAATCAATAATGATAAGTGAAATGAAATACAGGTGTACTCCGTATTTATTATAATCGAAGTCATTGTTCAATAATAATAATAACAACGTATTATTTATTCACCTACCCACAATAAAAGCAAATAATCAGTAATTATTATAGGCAAACAACGGCAGGTAATGACTGTGGGTAACCCTTTGAATTCCTCAAAACCTGCAACAATAGAGTTTGTATTGTTTATATGTAATGATGCTCTCGTTAATGGCGCGCGGCTTTTAAGCGATTGTCAAACAAAAGATTAAATTGTAGGCTGTAAAGGACTTCATTGTAATTCTTTACAATATTGTATTCTTGTTTTCTTTTTCTTAAAACTATTTCTTTTATCTATTTATATTAATTCCATATCTTTTGAATAAGGACGCTGTTATTTAAAGTTAAGTTGTATGGTGTCGTTATCTATATATATATGTATAGTTTTATTAGATAAAAAATGGGTGCGTGTACTTATGTAGGCGCGTGAGAAGTTATCCTTCTTTGGCATCGTTTAAAATTAGTTTTTAATTGCATGCAAATAATTAATTACAATAAATTAATAAAAAGTCTGGAAAAGGACACAGTCAATAAAGTTCAGTTTTAATTTGAAAAAATAAATAAATAATCAAAATATTCAATTAAAATCGCTACTGAATATAATTTATTAGAACATATGTGATTTGCACTTGTATGAAACTCAAACACGTATTCCGAATATACAAACTAGAAACATGTGGATAAATATTATAAATATGAATACCTATAACTGTTACTTTATTACAAAACATAAAGATGTGGTTTTTGGTTCTACTACACCAATGGTCAAGAGATGGCGCTGTAGTCTCCTGAATCGCGCTTTGGTTCCGTTGTTCCAGATTAATAAATACTTTTGATAGGCCTTCACAATACAGTCGTTAGCACCCACAAAATAGAGATTCTATTTCTATTTTGTTGGTAGATTTTCTTAATGTGCGGTAAACACAAAAGTAACAGCATGAAGTTGGTCGCTAAAGCGACCAACTTCATGCTGTTAATTTTTTGTGTTACAGTGATGCGCGCGCATCTTAAAATTTCACTCTCATCATTTTTTCATAACGCGCCTAAAGAAGTATAACTTCAATAATCTGCGCTGTATTAATAACTAAATGCTGGGCAAGAAACATAAACAAACTGTTTATTGAGACACATAACCCCGTAAAGCAAAATTACCCTAATAAGCATTTTGAAAAATTCGTATCTTTTGAACGGGGCCGTCCGGGGTGAAGGTCAAAGGTCACATGGCTTCGTAACAGACCCGGTAATAATCCCTATAAGTTTCAGCTTGACCGTAGAAGACCGATACAAGTTATGAGCAAAACAAATTCCGTTTTCATACATTTGAAACTCTAAAGCCCGTGCTTTATGGTGTTAGATTAAAAGGAAATTCCCCAAACTATTTTATTATTCAATGTACTGATATGTCCAATAAAACCGCATACTTTAAACGGATAATATACATTTTTATTTTTTCAAAAATCCTATGAAAGGGGACCTCTTTTTTTCACCAACTGTGCTTCGTCAGGATAATGATTTTTATTACTTTGAGAGCTATCTTCGAAAGACTTTTATAAAGCGTTCGGATATTTCATTGTAACAATTAAAAAGAAATCCATTGAAATATCCGAACGCTCAATAAAAGTCTTTCGAAGATAGCTCTCAAAGTAATAAAAATCATTATTCTGACGATGCGTTTCTGTAAAGGACGCGTAACTCCAATAAATAAATAAACTTAGTTCATCTAACCCAAAGGTTCCTAACCAGTGGTCCACAGAAGCCAAAATATGGTCCGCGAATGAATTTGAATTTAGCGGGCGCGTCCGCTAAAAATGTTATTATTCCTTTTTATTTAATTTCATATTAGATTTTTAATTAAAGTTTCAGTTTGATTATCACAGTTTATTTTTATTACACTAAAATTTAGTTATGTAGTGACTAAATAGTGATCCGTGCCAAAAAATAATGTAAAAGTGGTCCTGACCAATAAAACATTGGGAACCCCTGATCTAACCCGTTAAAACTTATTTTATTTAATGAGTGAAGTGCGTGAAGATCTAAGAAACAAATATGACATGACTATGTGCTTATAATATTTCATTGTCAATGTATTTCATTCCTCCAGCCTTCGTACGTAGTAACACTGGCCGACATCGACGAGTGCGAGCAGCACCCGGCGCTGTGCGAGCACGGCACGTGCACTAACACGTTCGGGTCGTTCGTGTGCACGTGCGGCGACGGCTGGCTGCTGGCTGACGACGAGCAGCGCTGCATCGACGTCGACGAGTGCGCCGAGCCCGACATATGCGGCGTCGGCATCTGTCGGAATATGCCTGGCTCGTATGTGTGCCTCTGTCCGGAGGGATACGTGCCCATGCCGAGCAATAGTGAGTTACTGTACATTTTATAGGTCAGAGGAGCTGAATAAAATACGGAATCACAGGGACTAATGATACTTATACTAGCAAACCAGTGAACCAAATGTTCACCAAAACCTGATTTAAAAAAAAAATGTATTTAATTAATTGAGAACTTCGGAGATTTTGTGTGGTTTCGTTTGAAATTCGTGATTTCTCGAAAACCGGAAGTGCTACGTTACTCAAATCCGGTTTGTAGTCTTATCAGACTATTCTTAACTTATAACTTAAACATTCTCTTTATCTATCTCTTACGGTTTGGCCGCTGAAACAGCACCACAGACAGACGGATGGACGGACTTGTCTAATAGATAAGAGATTCTGTGAAATATATTTTTACTAGGAAGCTGATTCGACTGACTCCTAGCACAGCGGAATACAAAGTGAAGCTAGTTTATAAGTGAACTGAATGCGAGAATGATCGAATGAGTGGGGGTTGAACGAACGAATGAAGTATTTGAGTTAAGACTGAATGAACAAGTATACCTTGGCATTACCTAGTCATATTACTTTCTTTTTATTACAAAAGGAATACAAATTGTAATATATATAGATTAATTTTTGCCAATTTAATTCAATATAAATCCAACAGTTACTTCATGTAGCATTTGTAGGTTTGTTATTATAGCTACAGGTAGCAATAGGAAGCCACAGCTGAAATGGAAGCGCTGCGTCGACGTTTCCGTAATACATGTTACTTATACCGTTTATGTAGTGCATGTAATAGAAGCTCACAGATGCAATTTTTTCCCCCTTTTTGCATAATTTTTCATTGGGGCATGGCTCCATTAGTCGTAGAGTTATGTTATAATTTACAGCCTTCTTTGATATATGCAATATCTAATACAATAATAATTATTCAAATCGGAATCGATCCTGAGATTAGCGTGTTCAACAGAACAAAATCTCTTCAGTTTTATAATATTAGTATAGATTTCAATGTTGATGTAATCTTTTTACCACGTTTTCTCAAAATATGCATTTACGGAGGTTCTATACATTGTTTGAAAGTTCAAAATTACAACAACTGAGCGTGCGGTAAAATTTTTTACCGCACCCTCAGTTGTTGTAATTTTATGGCGCCTTGCGTATCTTATACGGATTTTTTTATTTTGATCGAACCTCCTTGGAAGCTTTTTTAGTCTTTACCTTTGTCTCACTTTAATACTAAAATGAACTTAAGCTATTTAGAAATACGAGCCATTTCCGATTAAGAAACAGTTTGCTTCATTACTTAAAAATTAAACCGTGTTCTTGCAAACGTGTTAAAAACGTTGCATGACATTCGTACGGAATAGACCATAGTCACAAGTTTGTTTGTAATTCCGTACGAATGTCATAATCAACTTAATCATCATCGACTTCTTAATGTCCCCACTGCAAGGGCACAGGCCTTCCCTATGGGTGGATTAGGGAGATTGGGCCATGACACACCTCGCGGGCTCAGTCTGGATTGGCGGTTTTAACGTGAGGAACTCGAGATAGAAGATTCTTGGTCATCCATCCAAAGACCGACCGCTGTGAAAGTCACTTAACTGCAATGATCGCAGCCGAACGCGCTAACCACCCGCGCCATCGAGCTCCTCATCAAGGGCGGATCCAGAGGGGGGGTCATGGGGGTCATGACCCCCCCCCCCCTGTCCATCTGTACCCACTTCACAATCTGTACCCATTGTGACTTGACCACGACTATATGACCCCCCACTGGCGCTAAAGCTTGATCCGCCCTTGCTCCTCATTCAATATTTATTTATTTATTTATGGTACAGCGACAGAGTACAAATTATATATAACTTACTTATTATACAAAATTATTGTAATACATAAACTTGAACCCCAATTGATGCTGAACACGACATTTGCTTAATTTTAGCTCTCAAATTTGAATAAATAATTATTATAATAATTAATTATGCAATTACAATTAAAAAAAGAAATAATTAAATATGTATGTACTAATCAAGAATTATAAATAATAATAAAAATCAATTTAATTACAATTCGCTCCTGCATATTCGTAAGTAGGAGGAGTGGGAAACGGCAAAGATATCCACGTCTTTGGCTATTTCATTAAGGGCTCCGCCCATTCTATATAATGGGTCATTGTAGGTAACATTATTACTACAATTTGGTACGGAAAAAAGTTTCTGCAACCTTTTACTTCCTCCCACTTTGAATAACAATCGGTGATCGCACACGAACAGAGGAGTGCGTGGACATCCGCCAGCGGCAGTGCTACCTGGAGTGGGACGAGGAGAGCGGGCGGTGCTCGAACGCGGCGGGCGCGCCGCAGACGCGGCACGTGTGCTGCTGCTCCGCGGGCCGCGCGTGGGGCGCGCCCTGCTCGCGGTGCCCGGCGCCCGGCGCGCCCGACCACGTGGCGCTGTGCGGCGCGCGCCCCGGCCAGTACGTCAACCCCGTCACCAACGAGACGCGCCGCATCAACGAGTGCGACATCATGCCGCAGCTGTGCAAGCCCGGCCTCTGCCACGACACCGCCGACGGGTTCACGTGCGGCTGCGACCACGGGTACGTGCCTTTTTTTTTTTTTGATTCCTCCCAGGCGGGGGAGCGGGTGTGAATTCCTCATGGATACCTTACAGCCGGCTGCAAGGTTATGTCAGACTCTTACTGACTAAAACACACCCGTAGTTTATGCTTATGGCCTGAAAGGCCTTACAAGCTTCATCTGAAGCGATTATCCCCTGAGAGGGGTATAATGCAGCGCTGCGCTAGTTTAAACTATTACATTGTTAAAATAACGCATAATGCGCTAATGGACGGGTGCACTCGAAACGGAGGGGGACTGAGCGGCAGCGGGCCTCTCTGTGTCAGGGGGGGCGGGACGGGTACGTGCGAGAGACACTCGCTTATATAGTAATTTTTTTTTTGGTCACCCATCCAATGACCGACCACTGCGAAAGTTGCTTAAGTTCATCGATCGCAGCCAAACGCGCTTACCACTTGCGCCATCGAGCTCCTCAATATAGATTGACTTGTAGGTTTTTTAAACTTACTCAAAGAAAGCTTCGATTTGATAGTTTATCGCTCAAATTAAGTATAATCTTAAATTGACGAAATTAAATTTCGTTTGAACTTTGTTTCGGAGAAAGAGAGTAAACCCCCAACGCGATTAAGTCTCGAGTGCCTATGGTGCATGCGCTAAAGATTTGCATTCGAAAAAGACTTTCGGTTTTTGCCCAATTTTGCACCTTGGTATAGATTATCTCAAGAAACATGCAAAATTCAACTTAAAAAGACTCGCTCATTAAAAAATCAAATTCAATAAAAATGCTATCAATCAAAAAAAGAAAAGAAACAAATCTGCGTATGAAGAAATGTTATTACTTATTTTAAACTCAATTTGTCATTAACTGACATATGACAGCTTAATATATACAAAATACAATTGGATTTTTATTGCCTTCATTGTAATCAAAAATGACGTGGCTAATTGTTATTAACTTAAAGGGGCACATTTACGTGTTGCCATTAATTTAAATGTTTGAAGGACCTTTTTATGTGGTGCAAATAGATAATAAACTCCATTTATATTTTTGATGAATTCTGCGTATTTTCTACACATAAATGCATAATAATACTTGTGGTACAAATTTGGGCAGAGTTGTATGTAGAAAAGAATGGATCTTTTCACTAACTTCTGTCATCATGAATTAGGGAGCTGCTTGTTTATAGACGATAGCTTGATTGACAATCATTTGACACGCTAAAAAGGTTGAAGAAAACGATTATGTATGTGCAGCCGAAGGATCGTACTTAATTCAGAGTTTGAACGCTAATAACGCATTTAGTACCAAAGCCACCCGACGCTTCGTCACGTATATATTCGATAAGCATCACACAACTTTACATTATCAATAACAACATAAAGCGTTGCAAACGTTCACCACCACTATATTTCACTTTTCACAGTCCTTTGCGGATCCGGGCGGAGGGGGGGGGGGGGGGTTCATTGTGGTCATGACCCCCCCCCCCTGGGCTGGGTTCATCTGTACCCACTGTGACTTGACCCCCCCCTGGCGCCAAAGCTGGATCCGCCCTTGCCTTTGAATCTCAATGATATGATATATTTCGTTGTCAAGCTTAATTGCTAGTTCTTTTAAATCCGTTTTACAGTAACAAAATTATGTGTTCACAAGACTCACGACACTATATAGGTAACTTTTCGTTCTTTTTCATTAATAGTATTCAATATGTTAGTGATCAATAAAAATGGTTTCTAGTGTTAAATCGATGTTGTATACATATTAAACCAATAGTTACGAGCACGACAACACGTCGCATTTATGCCGAGACATCGACGAGTGCGTCCTAGGCGTTTCCCGCTGCCGTGGGATGGCGCAGTGCGTCAACACGCCCGGCAGCTACGAGTGCCGCTGCCCGCCCGGATACCGGCTCATGGCCGACATAGAAGAGTGCGAAGACGTCGACGAGTGCGCCGACCGACGCCTCTGCGACCACGGCGACTGCAGGAACACCGTGGGCTCCTTCAGGTAACGCTCATTTGTCTGTTACTATAGTGTCTATGTGTAACAGCTACCGGCTCATGGCCGCCATAGAAGAGTGCGAAGACGTCGACGAGTACGCCGACCGACGCCTCTGCGACCACGGCGACTGCAGGAACACCGTGGGCTCCTTCAGGTAACACACATTTGTCTGCTACTATAGTGTCTATGTGTATCAGCTACCGGCTCATGGCCGACATAGAAGAGTGCGAAGACGTCGACGAGTGCGCCGACCGACGCCTCTGCGACCACGGCGACTGCAGGAACACCGTGGGCTCCTTCAGGTAACACTCATTTGTCTGCTACTATAGTGTCTATGTGTATCAGCTACCGGCTCATGGCCGACATAGAAGAGTGCGAAGACGTCGACGAGTGCGCCGACCGACGCCTCTGCGACCACGGCGACTGCAGGAACACCGTGGGCTCCTTCAGGTAACGCTCATTTGTCTGTTACTATAGTGTCTATGTGTAACAGCTACCGGCTCATGGCCGACATAGAAGAGTGCGAAGACGTCGACGAGTGCGCCGACCGACGCCTCTGCGACCACGGCGACTGCAGGAACACCGTGGGCTCCTTCAGGTAACGCTGCTCCTGTCTGCTACCGTAGTATCTATGTGTATCAGCTACCGGCTCATGGCCGACATCGAGGAATGTGAAGACGTAGATTAGAGCGTCGACAGCCGCCTCTGCGACCACGGCGACTGCAGGAACACCGTGGGCTCCTTCAGGTAACGCTCATTTGTCTGTTACTATAGTGTCTATGTGTATCAGCTACAGGCTCATGGCCGACATCGAGAAATGTGAAGACGTAGATTAGAGCATCGACAGCCGCCTCTGCGATCACGGCGATTGCAGGAACACCGTGGGCTCCTTCAGGTAACACTTCTTCTGTCTGCTACCGTAGTATCTATGTGTATCAGCTACCGGCTCATGGCCGACATAGAAGAGTGTGAAGAAGTAGATGAGTGCAACAACAGACGCCTCTGCGACCACGGCGACTGCAGGAACACCGTGGGCTCCTTCAGGTAACGCTGCTCCTGTCTGCTACCGTAGTATCTATGTATATCAGCTACCGGCTCATGGCCGACATCGAGGAATGTGAAGAAGTAGATGAGTGCGACAGCAGACGCCTCTGCGATCACGGCGACTGCAGGAACACCGTGGGCTCCTTCAGGTGACGCTGCTCCTGTCTGCTACCGTAGTATGTGTATCAGCTACCGGCTCATGGCCGACATCGAGGAATTTGAAGAAGCAGATGAGTGCGACAACAGACGCCTCTGCGACCACGGCGACTGCAGGAACACCGTGGGCTCCATCAGGTAACGCTCATTTGTCTGTTACTATAGTGTCTATGTGTAACAGCTACCGGCTCATGGCCGACATCGAGGAATGTGAAGAAGTAGATGATTGCGACACGACTGGAATCAAACAGGACTGGGAAATAAGACATATAATGAAGTTATTACCTTCGTGTTTAAAGCATAGATTATGCTTTTGGGGTTGATTCAATCTCGGGCAATCACCGATGACTGCGTTGTCAGATCTAACAAGGTGCCATAACCACACCTCAAAATGCGTGGCGGGTAACCGTTGACGGAGTATAGCCTGCTGATTTCACTGACGTCAGAGCCGGCTGGAGTGAGCAGGGTGGAGTCCTCACACATTCTCGTTGCAACTCCCGTATAGATTATGTTGCGATAAGGCGAAGATGACTATAAATGAACCATACTATGAAATTTACAAAAAAAGAGTGTGCTTGATGACCACACGACTGAAGTAAAACTTCTTTAGCTCCATCTGTATATATATGTGTGTATGTGTGTGAACAATATATACTTGTATGTAAATATACATAAACATATTTCATTTACTAGCTATAAGAGAAAGAATGAAAGAAAATGTGCGCGCGCACTGCTCTCTCTTGCTTATATCCCCCACTCAACTCTCGTTTGCCTTGCCCGATACACTTTTCGTAACACGTAACGCATTCGCCAGCTTAAGTTTCACATCAAAAATGCCTTCTTTATTTATGCAGATGTGATTGCCAACCCGGTTACACGCTGCGCGACAACGTGTGCCGGGATGTGGACGAGTGCTCGCGGCCGCGGCCGATGTGCCGCAACGGCACCTGCGAGAATCTTCCCGGCTCCTACGCCTGCCACTGTGACGAGGGGTTCAAGCCCGGACCTAATAATGATTGCATTGGTGAGTCATGATCCTAATGTGTTTTTAAATTTAAATAATAATCATTGATTATTAATAGGGATGATGACTAATTTTTTTTTCTTCGTTTATCAGGTAGATTATCAAAAAGTATTGGACACGTATTTTTTCTTTTTTCACATAATATAAACATTGCAGAGAAATATTGATTTGAAAAGTCGCATGACGACACGTTTGAGTACACTTATAAGGGAAAATTCACTCAAAAGTGACGTCACGAGCCCCTACTCCCAAACTTTGACGCGCTATAATTTTGTCAATTTTTGGTTGATTGCCCGAAGAAAAAATACGTGTCCATTATTTTTTGATCATCTAACTGACGGACTAAATAGAATTTCGTTTACTGTACCCCGTCATCACCCCTATTCCATTTAATATTATTGATTATTAATTACATTGTACTTTTCTCAATTGAATGTTGTGTGTGCTTGTAAAGGCTTGCATAATAGATGTCTTAGAATAAGTTTTTTTTAAATGTTTTTATGTGTTTAGCTGTAAGTACACCTATTAAATCACACTAATATTATAAAGGCGAAAGTTTGTGAGTGTGTTTGTTTGTTACTTCTTCACGTCTAAATGGCTGGAGCGATTTTAATAAAATTTTAAAATTTGTTATGGAGTTAGCTGACACCTTGGATTAACATATGGATTGCGTTTTACTGCGGGAAAATTACCCTAATAAACCGAGGGTAACACCGCGGGGCACAGCTAGTTGTTTTATAAAACTTGTAAATAAATAAATTCAAAAATATATCCCGTCTTCTCCCTTCGGCAGGCTTGCTACGTAACCAATAAGAACTAGAGACATACAGTATATATATATGTATATTACTTCATTACAATAATGTAGGTCGCTGGTTCGAATCCGGTTCGAAGGACCACTTTGTACACTTTGATAGAACGCGCTGGTTTAAATAAATGCGCAAGTGGAAGATATTGCACTTTTATTGAAAAATACTCAATATACGACTTATCTAGTTGGTTGGATGTTCGAAGACAGTAGCATAAAAATATCCCATGCACACCCCAGTCGCTATCGTGGTGCGAAGAGTAACTAACGTGTGTGTTTAGTTGTTTACTTTTTAAGGAGAGCGACCAATCGCAAGTAATGTAATTGTTGTTAACTCACTCATTGTTGAATATTCAAATAAAATTTGTTCCGTTACAAAAATGTTTGAATAGCATAACGCCAAATCCAAATAAGTACTCATTCGTTAGTTTTCATAAATCAGATCGATTGTTGAAGTGAAATCTTGTGACTTGAGATTCGATGAAACGGAATTTGACATAAGATAGGTATCAGTAATTATATTAATTGCTAAAAGAGACAGATGGCCGAACGCAATCGGTCTTGTGAGGTCGAGCCAAGTGGTCGGTGGTTCGAAACCTGAGTTCGCATGTTAATTACATAAAACTCAATCCGACTTATAACAAAACGTAGACTAAAGATAAACCTGGACTAAAACTGATACTTGTTCATTTTGTTTGATAATTATTTTTTTTACTTCATCACAAAATGGCGCCTAATTTTGCTCATATTGAATTTTAATTACTATCATATCTTTAGTAGCACTCCCATGATTGAGACCAATCGATTGATGTATGAATCATCAAAATCTGTCCCGGCGTTTGGTCTCTAGTGTGCCACAAAGGAATAAACATACTTAAATAGACTGTTAAACACTATACCCTGACTGCGCGTCGCGCTTCGCGCTCTTGCATTGCGCAGTCGGATAAAAAGACAGACACAATATTAGGTTTAAACCAAGACTAACTCGAGTCCGCGTTTTGGAATAAGGTGGAACTAGCTCCACTTGTCAGATTGAAGTAGAAATTAGAAATCAATATAATATCTTTATTCAAATTGGATGTATAGTACAACTCTTTTGAATCGTCCAAACATTGTTTTCCCCTACCACTCGTTATTGGACATATTTTTTAGCTGCGGAGAAAAACGAGCGAAAAATACTCCAAAACATTAAAAGTATATTGTAACAACATTTACAAATCATTATGTTGTTACAAGGTCAATACAATCATGATTTATTTAATATAGAAAACCTGTTCGAATGATTGGAACAGTTCAAACCCAAGCATTTTTGTCTGTAATATAATCAGACACTTTGTAATAAGCTTTTTTAATAAGTGCTTTTTGGAGTTTACTCCATAAGAATCGATTTGCATATTTAAGGGGCCCAGTATGAGAAAAATGTGAGGAGTAAAATCTATCGATGAATGACCTCGTTACGTTTTTGGTGCGCATCCTATGTCGCGCAACTTTGACAAACAAAGATGACGGATTGACATTAATAAAAAATTTAAATCTGAACTGAATTTAGATATTGTTTCTGATAGAGCAATGGGGACAACGAGGTATGGTACAACCATTGATGCGGTATTTTCAAGATTCGTGAACCACGTATCTACGAACGTCCATGTGTCTAATTTTAGTTACCATAAACCACTTGTCACTGTAATTAATAATGCAGACAATGTTGATTTAATTAATATTTAAAAAAATGATAATATTCTGATAATAATAATTACATAATTTATCAACATTCCTAATGATATATTTATGCACATCTGAAATTGACTATTGTAAAAAGTTTAATGTAAAATATTTCGTCGATTAGTTATAATAAATGTATATGAAATGAATAAATATATATTTATATATGTATATTATTTTCATTAATTTGTTAATTTACCCTTTCATACAGTATCAATCTTATTTAAGTTAAATAAACTCTTTTTGCGTCTGGTTAGACTATCGAACTTAAGGAGTAAACTCCAGTCGTGCGTCGGTGCTGACACACACAATTTTTTTAATACTATCCTTTAATGTAGTAGTTTCTATTATTACAACATCATGTCATCAGATATAAACGAATGTCGCGAGGGCGGCATGGTGTGCCGCAACGGGAGGTGCCGCAACACGGTGGGCTCGTTCCGCTGCGAGTGCGCCGCCGGCTACACGCTGACGGGAGATGGCCGCAACTGCCGTGACGTCGACGAGTGCACGGAACTACCCCACCCTTGTGGGAGAGACGGATCGCCTTCATGTACCAACACTAATGGCGGGTATGTCCATAATACCCTTAGATTAAAACAAAAAGGGTAGATACGGCACTAGCCTCACAAAAGTGATCCGCATGAATTGTGGTCCACGACCCTAATCGCTTTAGTCACAACTTGACATGCAAACGACGTACACGTGAACGCCAAAAAGAAATGTTGCTAATATTTTGTGTTTATATGATAAAACAATGCCTAAGTGTGTTTTTAAAAAGTGCTCAAATTGCTCAAGAACTAAAAATAAAACCCACGGCATCACTTTTCATTCGTAAGCACTATAAACTTTTTTTTTCATAGAAATTGCTGTTTGTTTTGAATCTTATTCGGTTGTGACGTCGAGTACTGGTCGCGTAATTGCTCGATAGTGCAGTGACGCTGATCTCGCCGTCTCGTTCGCGCTGCCGTTGAAACTTAACGTGCTGTTTCGTTCGGGTCGGTAATGCAGTGACGCGGATCTCGCCGTCCCGTTCGCGCTGCCGTAGGATCAGTTTTTGTTTGATGCAAGTATGAGCGTACCGTATCTACCCTTTTGTTTTAATCTAAGATAATACCAGCGCCCATACCGTGAACGCTATTTTTTATTTTATAAGAAAATCAACAGCGTATAAATCAATAAATAACAGATAGTATTTTTAGCTATCTTTCTATATACACTGAATGATGAGAAACTGCCACGTCGTCGACGAGTGTATGGAGCTCAACGCTATATTAAATACCCTTGATACAACAACACGAACAAACTCGTGATCGAAACCTGTCCAAAAGGTACATTGGACGATTCACCGATCTCCGAAAGATGATACCGTAGTCAAATACAATATATGCCATTATTTAAACATTGAAAGTCACCTTTAAAGCATACTGTAAAAGGTCATAATTAAAACGCATGCGTCAAAGAGTTATGACAGTTCGAAATGCAAGCAAGTAAAATTTTACGACTTATTGCTATATGCGGATGAATAAAGACCTTATTTCCTTGATTCTACGCGCAATTCTAAATGCGCTGTTAGCATTATAGCAGGTACGGATCGCTGGGAAAAAAGACGGCTATATAACCGATCATGCATTGAAAATCACAAATACTTTCCGTTAAATCAGTTTATAGTAAGTATTAGAACAAAACTTCCTTTAAAAGCGTTAAATTAACAAACATTGATTTATTTAGATATCTGCCGAAAAAACGACACTGCGTACTATAAGTATTTTTTTCGCATTTTTTCACGGAGCTCTGCGGCAACTTGACCTTTCAACGGTCCGTCAACTGTGAACCAAGAAGTGCTTGAGTAAAGTTCAAGCACTTCTTGATTGGGACGCATTTTGAACGCTCGTGGTGTATCTAGGGTATTTTATTAACTAGACGGAGCTACCCCAACCCTGCGGCCGTGACGGTTCTCTGTCATGAACCAACACTAATGGTGGGTAGGTCTACACTACTAGCCCCCATACCGTGACGTGTTTCGAGACGGCTCGCACTCCTGCACCAACACTAATTGCGGGTATCATCATACCAGGAGTTGCCAAGTTATTTTTAATACAATTTATGCATCATCATTTTACCCTTATGAAAGGCTCACTGCAGTGGAGATATCAAGAAGATTGGTGATGATGATAACAAAATGTGCGTATTGGTAATTAATTGTGAATTCGAATATCTCTTATCTATTAGACAAGTCCGTCCGTCCGTCTGTCTGTGGTGCTGTTTCAGCGGTCAAACCGTAAGAGATAGATAAAGAGAATATTTAAGTTATAAGTTAAGAATAGTCTGATAAGACTACAAACCGGGTTTGAGTAACGTAGTACTTCCGGTTTTCGAGAAAACACGAATTTCAAACGAAACCGCACAAATTATTTTTTTAAATCAGGTTTTGGTGAACATTTGGTTCACTGGTTTGCTAGTTTCTATCATAACACGAAGATGAATAATAGAGACCGAAAGCTGCGAAATACTAAATCTTTTAAATTAAATTCATATTGTTTTTACACAGATACGAATGCTCGTGTGGCGAAGGATGGCGTCTTCACGGTCGACGCTGCGAGGACAAGGACGAATGCAAGGAGTTGCCCTACGCCTGCGCGGGCGGCGAGTGCCACAACTTCAATGGATAGTGAGTTAACCTTTGTAATATTATTGTTATGATATAACGCACCGAACACGGAATGAGGTTAGAGAGGCCGTGTGGGATGTGACCCTCAAGGCTTAAGAAATAAAAATTATAACTATAATTTCTGTAAATAAAACTAGTTTTTACGGGTTAATGCACGAAACTTTATTTATTTATTGACCTTTCGCAGCCTTTTCAGGTCTGCATCGTCAGAATAATGAAATATAATTTCTGTTCCTTCTTTCAAATGTTTTATACTTGTAAGTGTATTCATTTGAAATTGTGGGTTACCTACAATGCGAAGAGATGGCGCTGTCTTGCAGCTTAAGAAAGGCTAGAAAGAATTGGACACGGCGTCAGGGCCGCGGTAGCAGAATGGTCAATGCATTCGCCCGGATAGCAGAGGGTGCGAGTTCGAGTCCCGCCTGCTGCCTGGTCCGCGTGGAAAGTTTTTCTAGTAATATTTTCTTTAGATTTAAACATTGAGCACAACTAATATCCACTTTTTACGGACTCACATAAACAGTAGTATATAACGTGAGATCGTTATCTGAAACTTGTCAAATATATTGCATACTAGCTGACTCGGCGAACTTCGTACCGCCCAAAAGTAATAATTTGCAATAAATTAAAATTGCGACTATAATTTGAGATTTAAACTATCCTATCTCTCAAGTTGGATCGAACTGCACATGGTGTGCGAATTTTATTATAATCGGTTCAGTGGTTTAGGAGTCCATTGAGGACAAACATTGTGACACGAGATTTATATATATTAAGATAGTCAGGATATTCATAAACAATATACACGTATGTACATATACATATTTCTTTTACTAGCTATGAGAGAAAGAGAGAAAGAAAATGTGCGCGCGCACTGCTTTCTCTTGCTTATATCCCCCACTTAGCTCCCTTTCGCCTCGCCCGTACACACTTTTAGTCAGCTTACCCCCTAAGACAAGCTTGCGTAAATTCAATTCAAATTATTTATTTCAGAACTAGGTTCCATAGTGTTAGTTACATTTGATTTACTTATAAATATGTTAGTATAATAAAGAATTATAAAGAATTACATAACATATTACTATTGGATATGGAGCTTCACCCAGTGTCGTAGCAGAGGAGTGTCCCGCCGGTCATTAAACACTCTCAGGAGGCTGTTGGTACTAGAGCGGAGCCTAGTGAGCATAGAAGCGGACCTCTTTCTAATAATGGCATAAAAGTCGTCCGTATGCGCCTCCGCAAACATTTTTGACGCGCTGCAACTCCGCGCCAGTCTCAACAGTATAGTAAAGTATAGTAAAGAAGTTATTGTTTTAAACTTTCATGGTCACTAACATTATAGCTATTAACGGGATTGTTACCATGTACCTTGTTTTTTATGAGTCTCCGATATTTCGGCATTGTTGCAAGTGCCATGATCACAGAGTAACTGAAGTGATTGCGGGTAGATGTTATTGGCAGACATATCGGTCTACCCTCTGACGTCGTCTTTTACTGCGCTCGATACCCCTACCATTGGTCACATTCTCACTATTCACTCGCACCGGTTCCCGACACACAATACTCACAGTATCCGATCGCGGAACGACACTTTTTTGATTTTTACGGTTTTTGCACATACGAACCACTGGATTCCAGACACTTGACAATTTAAACCCATCCTCACGATTGAAATTTTCGTGTTTGGTTATTTCAATCGCTTCCCTGACCAATCTTGGTATGTAGTGACGTTCTGTCGAGATGATTTGTGGATTATGGAGCTCAATCCAATGATTCGGACTCGAATCGATTAAATATTTAATCGATTCGGGTCCGAATCACTGGCTTGGATTCATAAAAAACAAGGTACATGGTAACAATCCCGTTAATAGCTATAATAGTAAAGAAGTTAGTTCAAAAAGTAACACTATGTTCTATTTATAATTTTTATTATTTTTAAAGCATGTAACTGCTTGATGTTTAAATCTAAAGAAAATATAACTAGAAAAAATTCCACGCGGACCAGGCAGCAGACGGGACTCGAACCCGCACCCTTCGCAATCCGGGCGAATGCACTGACCAATTATGCTACCGCGGCCCTCACGGACCGCGTCGAAATTCTTTCTAGCTATTCTTAAGCTGCAAGGCAGCGCCATCTCTTCGCATTATAGGTAAACCCACAACAACAACACTATGTTCTTTCACTTGTGTTCAGTTACAAGTGTGACTGTCCACCGGGCTGGCGGTTCGATAAGCCGGCGGCGGTGTGCGTGGACGAGCGCTCGGAGATGTGCTACGACGAGTACGCGGCCGGCCGCTGCCACCGCGCGAGACCGCTGCGGCTCTCCAGGCCCGAGTGCTGCTGTTCCGAAGGTATCATACTCTTTCATCATCAGCCTATTAATCTCTTATCTATTAGACAAGTCCGTCCGTCTGTCTGTGGTGCTGTTTCAGCGGCCAAACCGTAAGAGATAGGTAAAGAGAATATTTAAGTTATAAGTTAAGAATAGTCTGATAAGACTAAAAATCGGATTTGAGTAACGTAGCAATTCCGGTTTTCGAGAAATCAGGTTTTGGTGAACATTTGGTTCACTGGTTTGCTAGTTTATTTTATTTTATTTATTTATGTAATCTTTATTGCCTTTACATTGCATATTTGACGACCTCCGTGGCCGAGTGGTTTGTACGCCGGGTTTCATGGCTGTCGCCGACTCGAGAGGTCCCGGGTTCGAATCCCGGTGGGGGCAGATGTTTGTGTGATGACTACGAGCATTTGTACTTCAGTCATGGATGTTTAATATGTATTTATATAAATACTAGCAAACCAGTGAACCAAAGATTTTCTTTATCTATCTCTTACGGTTTGGCTGTTGAAACAGCACCACAGACAGACAGACGGACGGACTTGTCTTATAGATAAGAGATACTTATATATGTACAGTATATGTAGGTATTTTATCCGTTACCCTAGCATCCCATAACATAAGCCTTATAATGCTTACTTTGGGGCTAGGCTAATTGGTGTGAGTGTCGGAAGAAAGAAAGAAAGAAAAGAAGAAAAGAAATATGGCAGACTTAATGCCAGCATGGCGTTCTCTACCAGTCAACTGGAAAGAACGTGCAGAGTCAATAAAACGGCAGACAATCATAGGAAAGAGCAAACATCAAACAATGAAAAAACAAAATTAAATAGCGTTTAATACATACACATATACATACATACAAACATAAATATACATACATACACACACATATATACATAATATTCCTATAATATAGTGTCCGATTTTAGTATCCTGATTAATGTCCCCACTGCTGGAGCAACCGGAACCAAAAGTTAGATAGCCGAATTGTCAGATTTGAATAGGGATGATGACGGGGTGCAGTAAACGAAATTCTATTTAGTCCGTCAGTTAGATGATCAAAAAATTATGGACACGTATTTTCTCTTTGGGCAATCAACCAAAAAATGACAAAGTTATAGCGCGTCAAAGTATGGGAGTAGGGGCTCGTGACGTCACTTTTGAGTGAATTTTCACTTATAAGTGTACTCAAACGTGACGTCATGCTACTTTTCAAATCAATATATCTCTGCAATGTTTGTATAATGTGAAAAAAGAAAAAATACGCGTCCAATACTTTTTGATAATCTACCTGATAAACGAAGAAAAAAAATAGTCATCATCCCTATTGTCAAATTATTTTGTTGTGTCTGTGTGCGTTTCGCATTAGAATTGAAGTTTAGTTTGTATGAGTTTGCAACCATGTTTTAACGGCCTTTTTAAGAAAGTAATGCTTCCAAAGTATTTCTTTTTCGTTGTTAACAGCACATGATTTATAAGTTCTTTTTTTATTGCATTTTCTGTTTCCCGCTAAGCCTAGAATCGCCAACACCACCTATATTGGAAAAAGATCCTTCTTAGAAATAAGCATACCTTTGCTTACCGTGTATTTGACCTTGCTGATATCACAGAAGCCTGCGCGTATATGTACTCGCTGCTAACTTCACAAACCGCAATAAAGTTTGAATCCCGTTATAAGGGGTATAGATCCCGTCACTTAAAAAGGCCGCTGAGCGACAGAAGAGGGGACGTGTTTGCGCATTGTTTCAGAAACTTTTGCAAACAAGAGCTGTTGATTTTAACGGCAAAAAAATTGTGTGTGTCACCTCCGACGCACGACCGGAGTTAACACTCTAAAAACGATTGTCTTTGAACAGACACAAAACAAAATCAAGTCCGAAGAAGTCGGTTACAAGTGGAGATACCTCAGGAATCGTCCCATGGTTTCGACCATCATAGGTTCCATGTCACACATTTTATCATCTAACATCAGCGATATTCATCATATATTTTATTATGTATTTCTGGAAATACACAATTTCAAAAATATCACTGTATGAAGGCCAAAGGGGAAGATCTTCCTCCGAGCTGGATGATGTTAGCTCGGGGGCCGCGGCCCGACTGATGTTGGTCGGGCATCGTATATATGAAGAGTTAGCTTCCGAATTTCATTTGCGCGATGTAGGCTTCCATACTATTATTGATCGCAGTGCAGGTAACGCCATCTCTTGAGGATGGTGAGTAATGATTTCCTCCATCCGTTGTCTATATGTGGGGCATATAGATGTCGCCGCCACATCACACACTAGTCATCACTTTGTAAATATGTATTATAATTCCATCTGTACTGAAAATCACTATTCCAGAGTGCTGGACACTTACCGGCATTTCTCTATATTCTGTTATTTATTTGTTTCCATTAATTTTGCTCCGATTTTATCTATTTAGTTTATGTATTTTATTGACATTTGTGAGAACTTAATGTTTTTTAACCGTTGCCATGGCTAAAAGTGAAATGTAACGAGGTCATTAATGTCATCCATCGATAGATTTTACTCCTCACATTTTTCTTATACCGGGCCCCTTATATATGCAAATCGATTCTTATGGAGTAAACTCCAAAAAAATCTGCTACGTTCTAAGATTTGAGTGCTACGACGTCAGAGCCGTGCTACGAGTGACTACTAAATCAACAGATCAGAATAAATTATATTCCCACATGTAATAAATATGGGTAATATTGACACTAAGATGTTGTTTTGACGGTTCCAGGTGCAGCATGGGGCACATATTGCGAGCGCTGTCCTCCACCGGAATCGCCTGAGTTCCACCGTATCTGCCAAGGTGGAATGGGACGCCCCAACTTTACACAGGTAAGCCAATGGGGTATATGGTTTTTCAGTGAAAGGATATGCTTGAGTGTTGATATGCGGCTTACGCAGTTTTTACAAATAAAAATACTTTATCTGATCAATTTAAAAACCGTTCGAAAAGAGAAAATGAAAATAAAAAGCAGAAAGCTATATGCAGACGACCATTGTTGTTGTAACATTATGTTGAGGACTTAGTTGACGATGTACTTTGTCTAGTGTCGTGTGTTAATATTTTTATCACGTATATAAATGTATTTTCTTTCTTTCTTTCCATATCAACCATAAAAGACTTGAATGATAAATAAACTTATTTAAAGTTTATTTGTTTCTTAGGTTTTCACGCACATCACTCATTAAATAAAACTAGTTTTTACAGGTTAATGCACGAAACTTTATTTATTTACCCTGAAAAGGCTGCGAAACGTCAATAAAGTTTGTAAAGGATTTGCTTTTCACGTTTTTTCTATTAATTTTTCCTTGCCAGGAATACATACACATCAGCGAGGCATAATTAGTGTTCAAGTTTAGCCTTTTTTTTGAAGTGAAACTTCTTTACGCACGCTTGACTCGGGGGGTAAGCTGATGAATGCGTTACGCGTTACGAAAAGTGTGTTCGGGCGCGGCGAACGCGAGTTATATAAGCAAGAGAAAACAGTTCGTGCTCACATTTTCTTTCTCTCTTTTTCTTATAGCTAGTAAATGAAATATATATTTATATATATAAATCTCAAAGGTGACCGACTGACATAGTGATCTATCAACGCACAGCCCAAACCACTGGACGAATCGGGCTGAAACTTGGCATGCAGGTAGATGTTATGACGTAGGCATCCGCTAAGAAATGATTTTGATCAATTCTACCCCCAAGGGGATAAAATAGGGAATGCCAGTTTGTATGAAACTTTGTCAATTTTAAACCAATCGGGCTGAGACTTTGCATGCAGGTATAAGAAGAATCAAAGATGAATGTCATTGTGTATAATACAAGCCTGCGAACAAAAACTGTAGTCTACACTTCAGCTCTACACTGAAGCGAAGCTAGGGCGGGCCGCTAGTATGTACATACACATATATACAGATAGAGCTAAAAAAGTTTCACTTCAGTCGTGTGGTCATAAGCACACTCGTTTTTTACTTCAGTTCCAACCATTGTTTGTTTATGGTCGCGTAGGATCTAAATTGTATTTGGTCAGGGAATAAAGGCTTTTATTACTATTATTATTATTATTCTCTCATTTATTTCATTTCACAAGTTAGGTTTTTTTATAAAATAGATATAAAAGTAAAATACAAAAACGTAAATACAAAAATAAATATAGTATAAAAAACCACCAGACCAGACCCAGAACCAGAAGGCCACCAGCAGCGGAGCTAGGCCCAAGCTACCGGTGGTTAGGGCCGCAGAGAAAGAAACCGCCTGACGATGCGCGCCGTGTCCAGGAGTACTGCCTTTTGCATCTGCCCCTTGACCCAACCATCTAGCGAGAGGCTCTTTAGACGTTGGTCGAGACTCTTTGCTATGAGACCGTTTACGCTAACGACTATAGGGACAATGATCGTCGAATCCACATCCCACAAAGCGGTTACCTCGTGGGCCAAGTCCAGGTACTTGCTGAGCTTGTCCTTCTCGGCCTTCACGAGGTTCTCGTCATGCGGGATGGTGATATCGATACACTGCCTGGCGTTTCAATCGATCTGTCAATACGATATCAGGCCTATTGGCAACAATAGTCCTGTCCGTAATGACAGGTCGATCCCAATAGAGCGTTGCATGACCATTTTCAAGAAGTGGCGCCGGTGTGTACTTATAGTACCGCACCTCGGATTCTACAAGGTTGTATTGAACAGCAAGTTGCTGGTGAATCTGGCTACGAGATTATGTCTGTGCAAATACTCAGCGTTGGCCAGATGAGAACAACCGGAGACGATATGTCTGAGGGATTCACCAGGCCGACGACATGCTCGACAAATGTCGGTCGTTCCGTCCCTCAGGATATATCTCCGATAGTTGTTCGTCATCATGACTTCGTCAGCAATTACACAGACAAACCCTTCGGTTTCCTCAAAGAGATCACCGAATCGTAGCCAGTTCACGGAGGCGAGCTGGTCCACATCAGGCCCTGTTAGGGCCCAATAGAATCGCCCGTTGAGCTCCATGCTTTTCCATACTTCCTTGCGATCCTGGTGCTTAGTACCCTCGGCTTGAGCCAGTTCTCTTTCGCCAAGGAGAGCGGCGTTAGGTTTTTGTCAACTGCTACAATGTCACGATGCAACCCACCCTCACTGTTAAGGAAGTTATTACTATTATTATTTATTACTTGTTGAGTGTTTTTCTTCTCAGCTCTTTGGCTGGTTCTTACTACAATTACGGGCCGAAACCAAGTAAGTGCAGCATGTGTTGTGTTAGGTTATGTTGTACTATTGTGATGAGAACCTATTTCGTTTTCATCTATTTGCAAGAACTTTCCAACAATGCGACATGTATTTAAAATTGCAGCTTTTTGGAGGGTGATAAAGAGGGTTTCTTTTAGATTTATTAATTTAAGGCTATGGTGAAGGTGATTTGGAATGACGCTATTATTATTATTATTATCTTTATTTATTGTATACCATATTGATTACATTTTTAAATATTGCTATAAAAATAAAAACATTTAAAAATATAAAAAATAGAAGCCAACCGGCAGCGGGAACAGGGTCCTAGCTACCGGTGGTTAGGGCCCCAGAGAGAGGAACCTCCTCACTATGCGAGCCGTGTCAAGGAGCACTGCCTTCTGTATCAGGCCCTTGATCCAGTCACCCAACTCGAGCCTCCGCAGATGACGGTCGAAGCTCTTAGCTATCAGGCCATTGACTGTCACAACTATCGGCACAATGATAGCCGAGTCAACATCCCACATGGCGACAACCTCATGAGCCAAGTCAAGATATTTTATTTGTTTATCTTTCTCGGCTTTCATGAAGGATGGCCACATCAACTATCATTGCGAGGCTCTTTTCCCGATCTATCATCACTATGTCAGGCTTATTAGCAACTTATTTACTTATTATTATTATTATTGAAGGATCTAGACGAGTGCAAGGTCCGTCCGGACGTATGCCGCGACGGTCGCTGCGTGAACACGGACGGGTCGTTCCGCTGCGAGTGCGCGGCCGGGTACACGCTGGACGCCACCGGGCTCGCGTGCGTCGACGCCGACGAGTGCGCCGCCGACCCGCGCGTGTGCGGGAACGGGACCTGCACCAACCTGCAGGGCGGCTACCAGTGCACCTGCAACCGGGGCTTCACCGAGGGATCCGATCACGTATGTGCTGTTCTTTTGATGATTTCTGTGAGTCGCTGCGAGGCTCCGGGTTCGTATTCGAGCAGTGCAGCGGCCAGTGTTTGCTATTCGTTCAAAAAATTTCGCGTTTTTAATATAATATTAGTAGGATTTAGAGTTACAATACAACAAAATGTTATTAAAAAAAGCCGAAATAAAAAAGAATGATATATTATCACTACCTGAGCTTAGAGTCACATCCAGTAGTACGCTACTAAATCTATGTTTTCTTTACCATCTTGCTTTTGTCATCGGTCGCTCGTGATTGATGTCTCATTGCAGAGCGGTGATGATTAACATTATTTTTTTCTAAAACTACCTGTATAAACTGTATGAATATTGTAATGTGAATGTTGTATGTAATTTTCTTGGGAAACTGTGGTGTTTATAGTGTTATTGTGTATGATTTGTTCTCTGTAAATTGTTTGCTGGAAAACTATTGTGATAGTCTCACGTAAGTGAATTTTATGTAAATTCTTGTGAGGTCAATAAATTCTTAAACCATATTCTTTGGCACCACCCAGGGGACACGTGCAGGGTAACGGTGGGTAATCTTCCTGCGGACGTGAATAGCGATCGTCCCCAGTAGGTCGTAGGTTTTGATGCGAAGACCCAATGGAAGAGTGACTGGAAGACAACGACGGAGGGAACGATTGCTGAAAAGTTCACCCCAAGAGTGAGGCCAGCAGGCTTTGATCTACCCGGGCGAGGGTGGTGCCTCCTCAACAGACTGCGGACGGGTCACGGTCTCTGTGCCCACTGCAAACATCGATGCGGCTGGATCGACTCGCCCCGATGTGAATGCGGTGCCGACATACAGACCATCCAACACATCGTACAGGAGTGTCCCCTTACCAAATACGATGGTGCGATGGAGGACCTGGTCTCCCTCGATAACGACCTGCCAATTGGCTAAGACATTTAGATTTTAAACTCTGATTCCTGTGACAAGACAATGCCATACGAATAAATAAAACGTATGTGCTGGCTGACATTCATCACCATCTTCTTCTAGTGCCTCTCCGAACAGCGAAGGTTGGCAGTCAGCTTAGCATACGTCTCCTTATACTTAGCGAGATGGAATAATTCAGCGGCGCTCGAGATTCCAGTCCATTCTCGTAGGTTCCTCAACCAAGACTTCCTGCGACCGACGCCTCGTTTTCCAGCAACTTTGCCCATCATTATTAATTGTAAAAGGGCGTACCTTTCGTGTCTCATCACGTGCCCTAGATACGCAACCTTCCTCACCTTCCTTCCTATTTACCTACAATGCGAAGAGATGGCGCTGCCTTGCAGCTTAAGGCTAGGAAAAAATTCGACGCGGCCATTAGGGCCGTGGTAGCATAATTGGTCAGTGCATTCGCCCGGATTGCGAAGGGTGCGGGTTCGAGTCCCGTCCGGTGCTCGGTCCGCGTGGATTTTTTTCTTCTAGTAACCGATGCAATGTTGCTTGCATCGGTTGCGATGCAATGTTCCTTTAACAAATCCGTTACAATATTCTTTCACTGATTAACCGCCGTTGTATATCGTCGCTGCGCCTGGAAAATCCGACAAACGTATTTTTTCCGAAATTGAGCTTTGTGGCTACTTTGGCTAAATTTGCGTGGCCGGATAGGGCTATAAAACCCGTTTTGTCAAAAGTCAGTTTGCAACAAAAGTAACATAAACAGCTATGTATTTGTCAAAGAAAAATAGGCGTCAAAATGCGCTTTTTGTCGGTGGTAAACATAGCGTATTTTCCACTCATTGTCGATGCGCTATTCCTGCGCCTTTACGTTGCACATGACGGTAATTTTATATGGCGCGCAAACGAAAGTACTCAATTTAACTTGTTTGTTTGTTACATAAGTATTTATTTAAAGTTTCACATTACTAACTTATTGTAAATGATTGGATTTTAAATTATTGTAGAACATACGGAAATATGTAACAAACACATGAATTGTTTCGTGCGCACCCCAGACGTGCGTGGACATCGACGAGTGCGCGGAGGGGCGCGCTATGTGCTCGTGGCGGTGCCACAACACGCTGGGCTCGTTCCGCTGCACGTGCCCGTACGGGTACGCGGCCGCGCCCGACGGCGTGCACTGCCGCGACATCGACGAGTGCGCCGCCGACCCGCCGCCCTGCCCGCACGCCTGCGAGAACACCGTCGGCTCCTACATCTGCAAGTGTGCGGAAGGTGAGCGCTCCGCAATAACGTATTCATATCATCATCAACGTCATCATCAGCCTATTACTTGGACGTACAACAACAAACAGAGACACACTCATACTACAAAATGTTAATAACACAATTAATCAATCACTATAATAAAAAACACAATACATACACGCACACATACACTCACAGAATCACATACACCCACGCAAACACACTACCTCTTTGTTTTATTTTTTTCTCATATTTATATTTATGTATTTCACTTAGGAACTAATATTATTTGAGTTCCTTATAGACGGTTCGGAGGTGGAGAGACTGGTAATCTGTAATACAGGTCTCCTATTACAGACGCCAGTCTCTCACATAACTAGATTTAAGTATTAAGGTTTAAGTTAATGATGTATTGTTATGTGAGAGAAGAAATAAAGAAATTATTATTATTAATGTTCTAAAGGTCTACACATCCGTCAAATCACACATATCGTCATAGTCATAGATCGATTTAAATGCCCGTTCGATACATTTGCGCCAAAAGCTTCATACTAAAGACCTCTTGTCAAAGTGGCGGTATTCTTGTCATCAGCTTATGTCCCCTGGGACATAGGCCTTCCTTATGGATGGAATAGGGACATTGGGCCATGACCCACTACGCTGGCGATGGCAGAGCTGCGATCGTTGAAGTTAAGCAACTTTCGCAGTCGGTCATTGGATCGGTGCCAAAAATTTATAATCACGAGCTCCTCCGTGCTTCGGAAGGCACGATAGGCGTTCGTCCCGGCTGCATCTACAGTCTTTAGTACCTACCATTCTGCACTGGGCTCTTGTGGTTGATCACGGCCTAATCTTCCGATTCCATCCATAGGGAAGGCCTGTACCCTAGCAGTGGGGACATTAGAATTCAAAAAATCAATATACGTTTATTCAGTTTAGCCTTTTACAAGCACTTGTGTAGGCCAAAAAGCTACACCATCGGTTCGCAAATTTATGGCGGGAGACCTTGTAATCGAAAGAACTGGGCAAGAATCTCAGCAAGGGCTGTTTTTTCTCCATGTATAGAGTTCTTTAGTAAAAAAATGACTTTAGAGATAATTCTGAAGTCACATTCTATTACGATATATACAATAAGTTTTATAGAGAGCTTTAAATTTTTAGTATATAGGAAGGGGATTTAGCCGTGGGATTTAGATAAAGTGATTGATACATGTAATGTGTTTTATATATTTTTTTATTTATGTTTTAGGGCTATTTCAATTTTCAAAGGATAGAATGTTATTCCAAGTGAGAGTATAAGTATAATTTCTTTCCGAAGATCGCATTAATCTAACGTTAGCAAAAGTGGAGCTATAATGCTATGCCCCTAGTTCTGGGTTTTTCTAAGGTGTTTCAAAATTCCTTCAACAAAATACCGGTAAAATAAGTCCTCTTGTAGCCAATGATCCATTATCAAGCTCGTATATAACTTACGCTGGGCAACACACAAATGTAATAAATAGTTTTATTTGTTGTGGTCTATCAGGATTCCGTCGTGTGCTCTCCCTCCCGCACGACGCCGCAGACGCGTGCGAGGACGTTAACGAGTGTGACGAGAACCCGGAGCTGTGCGCGCCCGGCGTGTGCGTCAACAGCGACGGCGGCTTCCTGTGCGACTGCGACGCCGGCTACGAGCCCAGCGCCGACGGGAGGGCGTGCCAAGGTAATGTAGTGGTGCCGTCTCTGTCGCACGACGCCGGGCCGCGTGCGGGACGTGACCGAGTGCCCGGCGTGTGCGTCAACAGCGACGGCGGCTTCCTGTGCGACTGCGACGCCGGCTACGAGCCCAGCGCCGACGGGAGGGCGTGCCAAGGTAATGTAGTGGTGCCGTCTCTGTCGCACGACGCCGGGCCGCGTGCGGGACGTGACCGAGTGCCCGGCGTGTGCGTCAACAGCGACGGCGGCTTCCTGTGCGACTGCGACGCCGGCTACGAGCCCAGCGCCGACGGGAGGGCGTGCCAAGGTAATGTAGTGGTGCCGTCTCTGTCGCACGACGCCGGGCCGCGTGCGGGACGTGACCGAGTGCCCGGCGTGTGCGTCAACAGCGACAGACAGACAGCCAACATGACGTGAATCCCTATTAAATTTTCAACTCTCCAATGAAGCCGACTTCTGCTCACCGTAACTTCACACTATAGACGTTAGGGCTTGCGTGATCATCAACACTGGCTACCTTTTTAAAGCAAGCTAAATATCAACTGACGACGTTTTTACCTATTGTTCTATTGTTATTTAGTGAAATTGTAAATTCCCTTTTCTTTTCAGATCGCCGAACTGGCATGTGTCACCGATCACTTGTATCGGGTCGTTGCACGCCTGAGCCATGGCCTTCTAGGATATCATCCTCTACGCCTGCTCTGCCACAACATGTTACAAAGTAAGCGACATTCATTTATTCAAAGTGGTTAGCGCGTTCGGCTGCGATCGTTGAAGTTAAGCAACTTTCGCAGTGGTCGGTCATTGGATGGGTGACCAAAAATTTTCTTTCTCGAGTTCCTTCGTGCTTCGGAAAGCACGTTAAGCCGTTGGTCCCAGCTGCATTTGCAGTCGTTAGCACCCGCCAATCTCCCTATTCCATCCATAGGGAAGGAATGTGCCCCAGCAGTGGGGACATTCATAGGCTGACGATGATTTATTCAAAATGTTAAGTATATATATATATCTTGTATAAACTCTATTATATTATGAATATATCTAATTCCTTAAGTAGATTTATGCAAACGAAGAATACCGAAGGTTTCGTTGTCACCTGATTGAGGGCACAACAATAAAGACATCCTCGTCCTCAGAGACAACGACAATGTAAGGTCTGACATGCTCTTTGAAGGTTTCGATATTACATGGATCGCAGGTTAAATCCAATACAGAAGGGGGGATGTCTGAGTAGCCTAGACCGCTCGGACTCACCAACTCAGTCGCCCGCGTCTCCCCCCTCTTCTCCTAGGAGAAGGGGTGAAGAGACGCGGGCGACCAGGAGAGGACGGAAGGATGGGGAGAATACCGCTCCCTCTCCCGCTTTCCCATGAACGGCGGCCCCCCTCTTGTAGTCTTAGTCTTAGTCTTAGTAGTACGGCGGGCTGTTTCCGCAACTCGACAACCAGTGCCTATTTTGCGTGGGGATGGCATCAGTCCTGCCATCCCAGCTCCTCCAGAAAGCTCAGCAGTCCCCGGATGTTGCTGCAGGCTTCTACTAGTGTCCGCGGGCTTCCCATTAGAGAAGTCCTTTGTCTTGCAACGCCTCTGCACTCCAGCAGAACATGGGCGCTCGTCTCCTCCTCCTCCAAGCAGGCTCTGCACAGAGGGCTGTCAGAAATACCTATATTATAAAGGTGTTTGTTGAAGTAGCCGTGACCCGTGAGTATACCCACGATTTGTTTCAGGGCTTGTCTAGGTAGTCGGATTAACTTACGTGATAGCTGCTGGTTTACCTTAGGAACGGCTTCCCTAGCTTGCCTGCAGTCAGTGTGTTTTGCCCAATATTCATCGTGTTGTCGTTGAGAGCGCTCCCTTATCCAGGTTCGCAGCTGCCGATAGGGTATGGGTATAATTGGCTCCGGACCAATGGCCGTCCTGCTAGACCCCTCCCTGGCTAGTTCTGTCCTGTAAAGGAGGGTGGCGGAGAGCTACTATACGGGTACGCCCATACAGCCATCCGCAGCGGACGGGGGGCGATACGGTGGGCACTAGGCCGCGTACTCAGCCCCCACGCGTGGGCCATCCTGCGCACGTCTGCGGGTCCTCGTAATACCTCGGGAGACTTCTGCCGTGGAGCCCTGGCGAGGCCGGGAAGCTTCTGGGTGCGGAATCGCGGAAGAATCCCTAAACGGGGACCCCGCGGCTTCGCATAAAGCAGTGTAGAAGGTATTCGCGGGACTTTTTTAGCGGATATAAAGCGCCCGTAAGAATTGCGGGGTCCTCGGTGGTCAGCCACTGGGGGGGCCGTAAGACTTGCGGGAGCAAGGTGTGAGATCCGTTCGGCGGTGCGCCTCTTAAAGGCGCCGTTGTCTGTAAAAAGATTTTCGGATTTTTTAAAGTGTTTGGTTTGTTCCAGGGCCCAGTGTTGCTGCACATTAGGTGCTGCTTGGGGGCCAGAGTGTGAGATCTGTCCCGCACACGGCACGCCGGAACGCGCGCAACTGTGTACGCCTAATAACGTCAACGGAGGCGGTGGCGGCGGCGGCGGCGGCGGAGGAGGCGGAGGCACTGGCGGTGGCAACAACGGCGGTGGCAATGGCGGTAGCAACGGCGGCAGCATCGGCGGCGGTGGCGGCGGGGCCAGCTTCATCCCTGGCGGTGACCACACCGGTATTGGTGGTGAGACGAACATTTTTATAATGAAAATTAATTTGTTTTAAGGAAACTACTTTACAGCACGGATTACTTGTTATAGACAAGACGGAAATATGGACGTATTATGTTAAATGTTGCAAGTACAGAAAAAGATTTGAGTTTTAATATATTTTTATTTATTTGTTTCTTAGGTTTTCACGCACATCACTCATTAAATAAAACTAGTTTTAACGGGTTAATGCACGAAACTTTTTTTATTTATTGGCGTTTCGCAGCCTTATCAGGTCTGCCTCGTCAGAATAATGATTATTCTTTATTAAACTTTATTTATTACTTTATTTATTTATTATTCTGCCGAGGTAGACATGAAAAGGCTGCGAAACGTCAATAAATAAATAAAGTTTCGTGCATTAACCCGTCAAAACTACTTTTATTTAATATTTTTATTTAAAGAAAAGTTTACTAGAAAAAAAGTTCACTAGAAAAAAATCCACGCGGACCAGGCAGCGGACGGGACTGGCTGCCTGGTCCGCGTGGACTTTTTTCTAGTAAACTTTTCTTTAGATTTAAACATCTAGCAGTTAAAAGCTTAAAAATAAATAAAAATATTTTTATTTGCTTAATTTACTTATATTATTTTTTATCTCTTTAATCTTAAATGTTTAATTATATTATTGAACAGGTGGCGGAGTCTTCCCTGATATATACGGAGATGTGGACGAATGCGCCGCCATGCCCGGCCTGTGTGCGCCCGGCAGATGTGTCAATACTATCGGCAGGTAATTAAGCTGTTCCTATTGCCACTCAGTTACCGGAGCTCGATGGCGTAAGTGGTTAGCGCGTTCGGCTGCGATCGTTGAAGTTAAGCGACTTTCGCAGTGGTCGGTCATTGGATGGGTGACCAAAAATTTACTATCTCGAGTTCCTCCGTGCTTCGGAAGGCACGTTAAGCCGTTGGTCCCGGCTGCATCTGCAGTCGTTAGCACCCGCCAATACGCACTGGGCCCGCGTGGTGGGTCATGGTCCAATCTCCCTATTCCATCCATAGGGAAGGCCTGTGCCCCAGCAGTGGGGACATTAATAGGCTGATGATGATGATGATGATGATGATGATGATGATGATGATGATGACCCTTATTATTTTCAAAACATAATTATCAACTGGTAGACTTATATTAGGGATGATGACTAATTTTTTTTTCTTCGTTCATCAGGTAGATTATCAAAAAGTATTGGACATGTATTTTTTCTTTTTTCACATAATATAAACATTGCAGAGATATATTGATTTGAAAAGTCGCATGACGTCACGTTTGAGTACACTCATAAGGGAAAATTCACTCAAAAGTGACGTCACGAGCCCCTACTCCCAAACTTTGACGCGCTATAACTTTGCCATTTTTCGGTTGATTGCCCAAAGAAAAAATACGTGTCCATTATTCTTTGATCATCTAACTGACGGACTAAATAGAATTTCGTTTACTGTACCCCGTCATCACCCCTTTCATTTCGGCCTTTTTTTTTGTTTTGAAATTACCTTCGATGGATTTTAAATTGTGGATATTATTATATTTTTGTCTCATTTTAATTTTCTCTATACAGATTGTTTTAATTAATTTAATACATTGATAGGAACACTGTTTCATATTATACGGGAATGGGCGTTAATTCTGCAACACAGTTTTTGTAAAACTAAAGCAGTTTTAACGATTCAAAATTTTATGTACATTGCACTTGTTCCAAATAAAGTTATTATTATTATATTATTATTATTTTGTCAACTTGGTCACACAGTTTCCGTTGCGTATGCGGCCGCGGCTACCGCGCCTCGGGCGACATCTGCGCGGACATCGACGAGTGCGCGTCGCGGCCGCGGCCGTGCTCGCAGACGTGCCGCAACACGGAGGGCTCGTACGTCTGCGAGTGCCGCGCCGGCTACGAGCTCGACGACGACGCCGCCGACTGCCGCGACGTCGACGAGTGCGCGCGCGGAACGCACACATGCCAGCAGACCTGCACTAATACGGATGGCTCGTATGAATGCTCCTGCTTAGACGGGTACGAGAAGAGAGGCGACGCCTGTGTCGGTTAGTAAAGTGATTTATGACCGTTTATTTGCCCCATGATCAACTGTGCTTGTTGTACAGAACGCAAGTGCGGTCTTGCGTGGAATATTGCTCGCACCTCTGGCAGATGTGCACTAATACGGATGGCTCGTATGAATGCTCCTGCTTAGACGGATACGAGAAGAGAGGCGACGCCTGTGTCGGTTAGTAAAGTGATTTATGACCGTTTATTTGCCCCATGATCAACTGTGCTTGTTGTACAGAACGCAAGTGCGGTCTTGCGTGGAATATTGCTCGCACCTCTGGCAGATGTGCACTAATACGGATGGCTCGTATGAATGCTCCTGCTTAGACGGATACGAGAAGAGAGGCGACGCCTGTGTCGGTTAGTAAAGTGATTTATGACCGTTTATTTGCCCCATGATCAACTGTGCTTGTTGTACAGAACGCAAGTGCGGTCTTGCGTGGAATATTGCTCGCACCTCTGGCAGACGTGCACTAATACGGATGGCTCGTATGAATGCTCCTGCTTAGACGGGTACGAGAAGAGAGGCGACGCCTGTGTCGGTTAGTAAAGTGATTTATGACCGTTTATTTGCCCCATGATCAACTGTGCTTGTTGTACAAAACGCAAGTGCGGTCCTGCGTGGAATATTGCTCGCACCTCTGGGATGGCTCCGCTTTTCACTCCGATGAAGTGGTAACTAAAAGTATTTGTTTATTAGGTTTTCACGCACATCACTCGTTAAATAAAACTAGTTTTAACGGGTTAATGCATGAACTTTATTTATTTGTTGAAGTTTCGCAGCCTTTTCAGGTCTGCATCGTCAGAATAATGATTTTTTATTAACTGTGTCGAGCTACCTTCGAAAGACTTATTGAGCGTCTGGATATTTCATTGGAAGATTTTTAAAATTTTATTGTATATGCATGAATTTATTAGTTAATAAAGTACTTTATTTCATTTTTTTTTGTAATTTTGAGTTTATTTAACTAAAAGTACTCACTCGAGGTCTTGGATAGGTTGCAGCGGCGCACGGTAACTAAGCAACTCGAATCTCTACGATTACGTCGCGATGTGGCATCAGTTAGCGCATTTTAACGACTATACCACGGCGAGCATTCAATTTATGCATTTTGTAACTTGTAACCATCTATGTAACCCCACGAGTGCAATAAATTGAATTGAATTGAGTGTTCTGAGGAGTTATTCTCCCTTATCCATCACCACCATCACCTTTTCTTCAGAGGACCACGCGAGCTGGCCTACATTGTCACCGACTTACTGTGGCCACTATTCCTACACGAACAAAGAAATTTGGAACTCTTTGTCACACTATCCGTGAATGGAACGCTCTGCCTGATGCTCACGTGTTCCCTCCATCTTACAACCTGGGATCATTTAAAAGAGGCGTGAAGAAGCAACATGCAGGCCGGCAGAGTAAGGATGGCTGGTGTGGCAGGAAGAACTGCCTACCAGCTATCTTCAATGTCATGACTTCACCTTCACTTAACATCAGGTGGGGTGGAGTAATTTGTTGGACCTATCTATAAAAAAAACTTGACGTTTTGACGGATTGATGAACTACCTATAATGCGTATTTTTTGTAATTATGGTCACATCACATTGGATTATACAATATGCTTGACCATCAACAACCTAATAATTTACTTCGTTTACAGTGTTTATTTCAATTTGTTACAGACATCAATGAATGCCACGAGGAGGGCATATGCCCCCCGCCCGGCAAGTGCGTGAATCTGCTGGGGTCGTATCGCTGCGTGTGCCCGCGCGGGTTCCGGATGAGCCTGGACGGGCGCTGCGTGGATCGGGACGAATGTGAAGACGGTCGATGTCAGGCGCCTTGTAGAAACTACGCCGGTGGATACCGCTGCGACTGCCCCGCCGGTCAGTAAATTCCGAGTATATTTTGTTCGCGGGAATGCTGAAATCTACCGCGCGCCATTTTTTATTGTGGAGCTAGATAATGCCAGCGGTTATCGCGTTCGACGACAATTATCGACATTGCATCCATTTGCTCCTCACCTTGCATCCATTTTTAATACATGCATTGATCAAGTTTGCTTTCCTAGTTTAATGAAATTAAGTAAAATAATACTGTTCAAGACTGGTGATAAGAGTGACCCGTAAAATTTTCGAGCAATTTCTATTTTACCAGTACTTAGCAAAATATTTAAGAAAATCATATTTTATCAACTGCTTTCTCACAATGTTCTTAACAAACTACTACATAATGAGCAATTTGGTTTTACGAAAGGTAGAAATACTACTGATGCTGGAGTAGCACTCTTAAAACACATATTCGATGCTTGGGAGAGTAAACAAGACGCTGTCGTTTTTGGTGATCTTTCTAAAGCGTTTGATTGTGTAGACCACCAAACTTTACTCAAAAAAATTCGACATTATTGCGATTCGAAGAATTCACATAATTTATTGAAGCCATATAGGTATCACAGGTAGAAAACAAAAAGTTTGTATTAACGGAATTGAGTCTTTTGGAGCATTTCTAACTATGGGTGTTGCGCAGGGATCAATATTGGGACCTTTGCTATTTCTCATTTATATTAATGACCTTCCTTACTTTGTCAAAGATATATGTGATACTGTGTTATTTGCTGATGATACATCTATAATTTTCAAAGTTGATAGAGTTACAAAAAGTTTGACTACATAAATGACAACCTATCACAGGATCTTCATTGTTTTACTGTTAACAATTTAGTATTAAATGCAAACAAAAGTAAGTGCATTAAATTAACCTTACCTAATGTCAGACAGGTTTCCACACAATTGATAATAAAGAATGAACCACTGAATAATATAAGTTGATAGTACTTTAGATTTCATCGTGGTTACATAAAAAAACACACCAAATTTTTGCTTCGTGTGTGATAACAATGCATGTTATATTTTTCACTCCACCCCCACTTCCTTCTAATCCTCTCCGTCCAAATGTTAAGGCCGCCCTTTGTTACACTAGATTCTAAGTGGAGTTTTTATGAAATATAATGGTTTCTTTGGTGTACATTAAAGTGTTTTGTATTGTATATTGCAGGCACGGTGCGTTCCGGCACTACTTGCGTGCCTACGGACGCGTGCGCGGGCGGCGTGTGCGGCGCGTCGCCGTGCTTCCCCGTGGGCGGCGCCTACCGCTGCGGCTGCCCCAGCGGCTACGGGTGGGACGCCACGCACGCCGTCTGTCTGCAGGTATACTGCCCTGGCTATAGATGAGTATCATAGCGCGGGCGGCGCCTACCGCTGCGGCTGCCCCAGCGGCTACGGGTGGGACGCCACGCACGCCGTCTGTCTGCAGGTATACTGCCCTGGCTATAGATGAGTATCATAGCGCGGGCGGCGCCTACCGCTGCGGCTGCCCCAGCGGCTACGGGTGGGACGCCACGCACGCCGTCTGTCTGCAGGTATACTGCCCTGGCTATAGATGAGTATCATAGCGCGGGCGGCGCCTACCGCTGCGGCTGCCCCAGCGGCTACGGGTGGGACGCCACGCACGCCGTCTGTCTGCAGGTATACTGCCCTGGCTATAGATGAGTATCATAGCGCGGGCGGCGCCTACCGCTGCGGCTGCCCCAGCGGCTACGGGTGGGACGCCACGCACGCCGTCTGTCTGCAGGTATACTGCCCTGGCTATAGATGAGTATCATAGCGCGGGCGGCGCCTACCGCTGCGGCTGCCCCAGCGGCTACGGGTGGGACGCCACGCACGCCGTCTGTCTGCAGGTATACTGCCCTGGCTATAGATGAGTATCATAGCGCGGGCGGCGCCTACCGCTGCGGCTGCCCCAGCGGCTACGGGTGGGACGCCACGCACGCCGTCTGTCTGCAGGTATACTGCCCTGGCTATAGATGAGTATCATAGCGCGGGCGGCGCCTACCGCTGCGGCTGCCCCAGCGGCTACGGGTGGGACGCCACGCACGCCGTCTGTCTGCAGGTATACTGCCCTGGCTATAGATGAGTATCATAGCGCGGGCGGCGCCTACCGCTGCGGCTGCCCCAGCGGCTACGGGTGGGACGCCACGCACGCCGTCTGTCTGCAGGTATACTGCCCTGGCTATAGATGAGTATCATAGCGCGGGCGGCGCCTACCGCTGCGGCTGCCCCAGCGGCTACGGGTGGGACGCCACGCACGCCGTCTGTCTGCAGGTATACTGCCCTGGCTATAGATGAGTATCATAGCGCGGGCGGCGCCTACCGCTGCGGCTGCCCCAGCGGCTACGGGTGGGACGCCACGCACGCCGTCTGTCTGCAGGTATACTGCCCTGGCTATAGATGAGTATCATAGCGCGGGCGGCGCCTACCGCTGCGGCTGCCCCAGCGGCTACGGGTGGGACGCCACGCACGCCGTCTGTCTGCAGGTATACTGCCCTGGCTATAGATGAGTATCATAGCGCGGGCGGCGCCTACCGCTGCGGCTGCCCCAGCGGCTACGGGTGGGACGCCACGCACGCCGTCTGTCTGCAGGTATACTGCCCTGGCTATAGATGAGTATCATAGCGCGGGCGGCGCCTACCGCTGCGGCTGCCCCAGCGGCTACGGGTGGGACGCCACGCACGCCGTCTGTCTGCAGGTATACTGCCCTGGCTATAGATGAGTATCATAGCGCGGGCGGCGCCTACCGCTGCGGCTGCCCCAGCGGCTACGGGTGGGACGCCACGCACGCCGTCTGTCTGCAGGTATACTGCCCTGGCTATAGATGAGTATCATAGCGCGGGCGGCGCCTACCGCTGCGGCTGCCCCAGCGGCTACGGGTGGGACGCCACGCACGCCGTCTGTCTGCAGGTATACTGCCCTGGCTATAGATGAGTATCATAGCGCGGGCGGCGCCTACCGCTGCGGCTGCCCCAGCGGCTACGGGTGGGACGCCACGCACGCCGTCTGTCTGCAGGTATACTGCCCTGGCTATAGATGAGTATCATAGCGCGGGCGGCGCCTACCGCTGCGGCTGCCCCAGCGGCTACGGGTGGGACGCCACGCACGCCGTCTGTCTGCAGGTATACTGCCCTGGCTATAGATGAGTATCATAGCGCGGGCGGCGCCTACCGCTGCGGCTGCCCCAGCGGCTACGGGTGGGACGCCACGCACGCCGTCTGTCTGCAGGTATACTGCCCTGGCTATAGATGAGTATCATAGCGCGGGCGGCGCCTACCGCTGCGGCTGCCCCAGCGGCTACGGGTGGGACGCCACGCACGCCGTCTGTCTGCAGGTATACTGCCCTGGCTATAGATGAGTATCATTTCCGCTATATGTTCTATATTAAAGGATATGGTTTCCGCATTCAGTCCTTAAGTGGACCATTGCATGTGAGCCATGGCGGCCGCTTACTTCAACTAGCCTACCTGCTTCCAGAAGCAGATCAATCTTCTCAGTCTTCTCAATAGCTCATATTCAAAAGATTGACTTGGAAGAAACCAAAAGTTATGGTCATTTGTTGAATTTTTTGGCTGCCCTAGATGTCCGGTCCTACATAGACGGCTCATGTATTGTGAAGGTATGTCACAAGTTGCAAGGGTATTGCCCCCCTTACGTTCATCTATAGCGCTGAAGTTAATCTAAATTTCCCCGCGTCCCTACTAATACCTATTGTTTTTTTTTCTCTTTTTTTGGAAAGATTTTATGTTCGGGGAATTCCGAATTGACAACCTGACTTGGCCATCTGGTTAGTTAATTAATAACTAAAAGATACTACGCGACTATCTACTACTACCGAGTACTATTTGACGACCTACCGACGACGAGGCGTTCGGCTGCGATCGTTGAAGTTAAGCAACTTTCGCCAACCCAAATGGCACAGACGGTCATTGGATGGGTGACCAAAAATTTACTATGTCGAGCTCCTCCGTGCTTCGGAGCCGTTAAGCCATTGGTCCCGGCTGCATCTGCAGTCGTTAGCACCCACCAATCCGCACTGGGTCCGCGTGGTGGGTCATGGCCCAATCTCCCTATTCCATCGATAGGGAAGGCCTGTGCCCCAGCAGTGGGGACATTAATAGGCTGATGATGATCCGTTACCCTAGTATCCTAAACACAAGCCTTACAGTGCTTACCTTGTCGCTAGGGGGCCGTTCAAGTATTACGTAAGCAGATTTATTACAATTATTTACCCCCTCCTCCCCCTCGTCAGCAAAAGTAAGCAAAGCTCTTACCCCTCCCCCCCCATTATTACGTAAACATTGGTACCTATATGCGTTTTTCCTTTAATGTATTCTGTTTTTTTTTATTGATTCATGATCTTTCATGAGCTTCATGAGCAGCAGTACTTAAAAAGGCTTAATCGATGATGCTGACGTAATCACCATCTCTACCCCCCACCCCCCCATGTCATCAAAAATAAGCAAAGCAAAGACCCCCCTGCCCCCCCCCCCCCCCCCCCCCATAGTGCTTACGTAATACTTGAACAGCCTCTAGGCTAATAGGGATGATGACTAATTTTTTTTTCTTCGTTTATCAGGTAAATTATCAAAAAGTATTGGACACATATTTTTTATTTTTTCACATAATATAAACATTGCAGAGATATATTGATTTGAAAAGTCGCATGACGTCACGTTTGAGTACACTTATAAGTGAAAATTCACTCAAAAGTGACGTCACGAGCCCCTACTCCCAAACTTTGACGCGCTATAACTTTGTCATGTTTTGGTTGATTGCCCAAAGAAAAAATACGTGTCCATTATTTTTTGATCATCTAACTGACGGACTAAATAGAATTTCGTTTACTGTACCCCGTCATCACCCCTATTGGTGAGAGTGTTGAAAATATTTATTATTATAGTAATGTTTGTGTGTGTATATTCCAGTTGGCCGGCGGGTGCGCAACAGCGAGCTGCCTGTTCGGATGCCAAGCATTAGGGTCCGGTTTCGAATGCGGCTGCCCCGCCGGCTACCGGCTCGTGGGCGCCGGGCACTGCCTCACCGCGCTGGACGCTGGCCTGCCACCTGATGACATCGGCGGCGCGCCCGTATTCCCGCTCACCGATCAGTACCGCCTGCAGCCCGCGCGCGACCTGCTCTCCAACGAGGGCTGCTTCAGCTGCAAGGTGATCTCCCCCTTTTTTTTTTGTGACGAGGGGAAATGCAGTTACGCACTATACCGTGACGCTGACGCACGGCGTGTGTGGGACTCGCCGGCACGGGAAACAGTGCCGAGCCTACTCAAGCAGGACCAGTGCGGAAGGCCACACTGATCCTACTCCACTAAAACCCCCCGGTACCCTCCTACGCCCATATGGGGGCGGTCTCGGGGCCGACGCACCTGCGTGCGCCACATCTCCGAGCACGCCCCCGGGCAGGCCCGGCCCAACGAGTGGACCGGGCGACGCGCCTCAGGGGGACTGCGCTAGGGTACTAGGCAGTCCCCAGACGTGGTGGCCTATGCCGGAGCGGCACCAAGGGCGCGCGGCTGGTCAGGCCGCGCCCAGACCACCTTAGGGCCGTCGAAGACCGGCAGTCACCGCTGCCTGCCTTCTTCGGCCCACCCGTCTACGCCGGAGAGGGGCGGCGTAGACGTAGGAGCGTCCTCCTCCCGCTCCCTCTAAGGTGAGCTCCCCTCCCCCCCGCCCCTCTACTGGCGGCCACTCCCCTCACCGCCGGTAGGTTGCAAGGTGAGCTTTTTTACAATACATTGAAGTTTCTTCTTATACTACATTAAAACGAGACCTTCAAAGAAGACTACGAATTAAAAAAACGGGTGTTCTTATGACCACACGACTGAAGTGAAACTTCTTTAGTTCCATCTGTATATATGTGTGTACAATACGTATGTATATGTACATATATATATTTCATTTTGTACCTATAAGAGAAAGGGAGAAAGAAAATGTGCGCGCGCACTGCTTTCTCTTGCTTATATCCCCCACTCAACCCCCGTTCGTCTCGCCTGAACACACTTTTCGTAACGCGTAACGCATTCGCCAGCTTACCCCCGAAGTCAAACGTGTGTAAAGAAGATAGACTTCAAAAAGAGGTGGTGGTGTAGTGTTTTTCGAAAACTTTGAGATTCAGCTGCTCAGTCAAGCCACTAGACGCAGCCATGGATTGCCCCCGCTACCGATTTAGTGGCGGCCACTCGAACGCTTAGTTTGCGCCGATGTTATATATTATATTATGACGACCTCCGTGGCCGAGTGGTTTGGACGCCGGGTTTCATGATGTCGCCGACTCGAGAGGTCCCGGGTTCGAATCCCGGTGGGGGCAGATGTTTGTGTGATGAATACGAGCATTTGTACTCCAGTCATGGATGTTTAATATGTATTTATATATAAATATGCTAATTTATGTACAGTATATGTATTCTATCCGTTACCCTAGTATCCCATAACACAAGCCTTACAGTACTTACTTTGGGGCTAGGCTAATTGGTGTGAGTGTTGGAAATATTTATTTATTTATTTCTTATACAAAATCTAGGAAAAAACTCGAGCGCAGCTTGTAGACGCGTTTAGTGACCGCCGCTAGCTGCTCAATGTGCGCTTGCTCTAAAAGATTCAGTGCTTGGAGATTAATTATGATGTTTTCCAATTCCAGGTGAATGGTCGTCATCGACGAGCACCCGAAGAAGGCATCGTGTTCGCGAACGGAACCACCATTGTCAGAAAACGCAAGCGACGCAGTAGACGTGAGTTTTACTTAGATACTTCTGAATTTAGCTATTTTTGACAGAGTACTAGTTGCACTGGGTTCAATAGCAGTATTTTAGCACTAGATTATTATAAAAAATCTATTTGCAAAAAACACTTATTGGTGAAACCAATGACGTGGTAAAAACAATATTGTTGGCGTATAAACTGTCTAAGTTTATACGCCAACAATATTGCATTTTGAAATGGCACAAGCACGGTAATAGTATCTAACAGTATTCTATCTTCATACAAACTGTCGGAAAGCGTGTCATACCTACGCTACGGCACTCGAGTTCGCGCGACACTCTGTGGGCATCCAGTCGCGAATGCGCAGCGACGACCGAACGGTGTTAATTGTTTTTTATGCAGTTAGCCGTGCTTAAACGTGTTATTTGTATTGTGAATATTTGATGAAATTAAGTAGATACCTACACTAAAGTGAGAATAATTTGCAAACTTTTTTAATAGTACCTAGTAATGATTTCTTGGAATATATAGAAAAAATTGAGGAAATATTCCGGACATCATTTAAAAAAAACACATCAATTGTAAAGAAGCTGCAGGTATAATAGCCAAATTAAAGATATTCCCTTTTCTGCTCCTTGCCAATGTTTGCCAAAAGTATTTTTAATTAAACTTTTTATACGAATGCGTATTTATTATACTATTAAATTTAATAATAAAGCTTTTAGTACGTCTCAGTCGAGGAGTAAATATTGTTCTGTCTCAAATCTATGTAGATGAAATTAAAATACTGTAGGCGGGCAGCCCTACCGCGTGTCCACGCCCCGCTCGGCTGTAGGCAGTTATTTCAAGGACAGGGCCGAGTCACAATACTGTATATATAATATTACCGTGGCACAAGTATCCCCCACCCCAACTTCCCTTGGCGTCAGCCGCCAATAGAGTACACTAAAGTGGTCTCTTTCACTCTCATTCACTTGCAGCGGACGGGACTCGAACCCGCATCCTTCGCTATCCGGGCGAATGCACTGACCAATTATGCTACCGCGGCCCTCACGGACCGCGTCGAAATTCTTCTAGCCATTCTTAAGCTGCAAGGCAGCGCCATCTCTTCGCATTATTATAATTGGTCAATGCATTCGTCCGGATTGCGAAGGGTGCGGGTTCGAGTCCCGTCTGCTCCCTGGTCCGCGTGGAATTTTTTCTAGTTATATATTTTCTTTAGATTTAAACATCAAGCAGTTACATGCTTTAAAATAATAAAATGAGCAATATTAAACACGTAAAATGTCCTCACTTAAGGGAAGGCTATAATTTACAATAACTCGGAAAGGGTAATCTATATAAATAAAACTCTGACTGACATAGTGATCTATCAACGCACAGTCCAAACTTTTTTCTAGTTATATTTTCTTTAGATTTAAACATGAAGCAGTTACATGCTTTAAAATAATAAAAATTATAATTATAAGGCGGTTTAATTTTATTAACTCCACCTTCAACGATGCAGGTCGCCGCTCCCTACTGGAGCCGGAAGCAGAACTGATAGTTATCCGAGCTACCCCGCGTCAGACTTGGGGCCGCGCGCCTCTCCTGCGCCTCGTACCAGCGGAGGGCGGCGGGCGCGCGCATTACCGCATCGCCTACGGAGACGATAACAAGGACTTCGTTCTATCCAAGCGCGACGGCGCGTGGGCGCTGCGACTACGGCGACACCTCAACTCCCAGACGGTGCTCAAGAAGCAGCTGGAGGTGGAAGCCAGGTTCGTCCCCGCCCCGCAGGGCCCGCGACCTGACAGACGCGGTAAGAGGCAGATCGACCTGAACACCCCCGCGCCTATGAGGCTGTACGTCACCGTTGATATCGCGCCGGCTAAACATTGATCGAACTTGTGAATCGGGTTGCCACCATTCCTGTGTCCCTAATAGTGAAGCGCCAACAGAAAAGTTTTATCGAAAAATATGTAATTTTGTTTTTTTGAAAGTCGATTTGTGCATTACCGACAACCGACGAATCAAAGGTGAATAGTTAAGTATTGCATCTGTTGAGGTGGCAACCCCAATACGGACCGTTTATTGTCGTGTCGAACCAGCTCTAATATTCACAAATGACAGGTAATTACGTACCATTTCATTGTTTTGTCTATATATATTTTTTTGATAAATGACCGTGAATGAAATAAGATTTAACACCGTTTGAAATCGTTTGTGAATATGAACGCTGTTCCACGAACACGGCGAAAACAACAGTTTTATTTTTATTTTATGACATGGAAATCTAACTAATACGACAAATAAGTAGCCCTAACTACATTTTTTATAATAACCCTTTGCTATGATCGATAGGGACGCACCGGGCGATCTCTTGATATCGATCAACGATTCGCAGTTTCGTAGATGCATAGCTAACAATGAGGCGCTTGATACGACGAAATATAAGATTTGCAATAAAAACATTCACTTTAGTCGTAAAGTTAAGATCAATGTTATGTAAATAAGTTTAGATTTTTTACAAAAACTTTTGCTACTAAAGTCACTGCCACGTTTTATTCAGTCATTAATAAATAGCAAACTGCCACTTAAGTTGTGAAATGCCATTTCGTTATGAGAATATTATAAAATAAATTCTAAATCCTATTCAAACGTGTAAGAGAGTAATAAATGTTATTTTTTAATGTTACGAAGTGAGTAAATCGATGACGAGGCTAGTCTTACAGATTTAGTGAAGCTGGATATGAATTGCCTTCTTTGATACTGTAATAGTGTAGGAAATCAAAGTCATTGATAAATTGTTGATGTGCACGCTCCATTTGGATCGTCGAAACGTTAGGACGATCTCGTTGGCAGTATTAAATTGTGTGAATTGTTTGAATGCATAATATTTTTATCTAGTTAGTTGAAATAATATATAGCAATTACCGTCGTTGTAAGCCTATTATAAATAACAAATTTTATCAATAAGATTTTAGCTGCGATTGTCGATACATAGCCTTGTAATGAAGTTACATCACTATTTGCCATCGGAAGACCAGTGAGTGTACAGAAAACAGTACACTAAACGTAGAATTTTCTCAATTGAATTAAGACACTACCTTTAGTGCATTAAGACTTAATATCAATTGAAGAAATTTATAAATTTCGGATAACATAATTTTCTGTTGTATGTACCTACTAAAAATAAATACCTTAGTAATAAATGAACGAATAAGATAACTATTTATTAATATTCTCATTATTAACGTAAGCTAGAAATATGAATCTAATATTTTTGTGAAAATATTTTATATTTTCTTATGTATTTATACTGATCATAATAAAAATCATATTTTTTGGTTGGTCAAAGTACAAAAGTAAATGTAATAGAATTGTTGAGTTTAATATTTTACAATTTATAATTAAATACAATTACAATCTTATCTTAGAATTGTTTAATTTTGTAAATATGTGTATACAAATAAAAATGATAATATAAAATCTTAGTTTTGTATAAGAAATGATTAACTTTCATAGGTTTTATCAGTCAAATCATGAAAATAAAAATTATAAACATTTAATTTTATAAATCTTGTTTTATTTGTGCTGTGTATTTTGTATTTTGTTTTATATTTTTCAAAACTTTCCTAGCTGATTATTAGCCAAAGAAAACCCCGTGGGTACAATTGTTTTTTATCTCCTACTGCGATCTCCTGGAATCGTCAGCTAATCTTTTATTAATCCTGTGCAGAAAGAAACGATAGCTTTTTTAAGGATTAGTTAATCGTCAATGTCAACTTTGAGCTTCAGGAGCTAAATGGCGCAAGTGGTTAGCGCGTTCGGCTGCGATCGTTGAAGTTAAGCAACTTTCACAGTGATCGGTCATTGGATGGGTGACCAAAAATTTACTATCACGAGCTCCTCTGTGCTTTGGGGGGCACGTTTAGCCGTTGGTCCCGGCTCTATCTGCACCCACCAATCCACAATGGGCCCGCGTGGTGGGTTATTGCCCAATCTCCTTATTTCATTCATAGCAAAGGCCTGTGCCCCAGCAGTGGAAACAATAATAGGCTGATGATGATGATGATGAAAACGTCAACGGACATGGTAGTTTTTTTGTTGAATTAGGACTGATCAGCTGATCGTAGCTGGTCTCAAGACCTGAGCTACCCTGAGTTCTGAAATAGCTGTATAAACGCCTCCATTCTTATTTATCTAAGAACCATAGTTTCATATCACCTAACTTTGCATTTTAATAATATTACTGACACGACACGGACACGTTGTGTTTCGCTCGCTGCTATTAGCCGACTAAATCAAATTACAATACAATACACAATTCTTTATTGAAAACACCACAGTACAGTGCATAAATGTACTGTGGTGTTTAAATTACGACAATTTTCTGAATTTGTCTGCAACAACTTGTGCGCGCCAGTGACATTTATCTACCTCTATTGTATATGTTATAACATGGGTTATATCTACAAGTAGTGTGTGGGTTATATATCGATACGGCAAATAGGAAATATGCATTTAATTGAAATAATTTTATTTTTATATAAACTCTATTTTAATTTGTTCCCCATCCAATATATGTTAATAAAATTTCTTTTGATGATAAGGAAGTGCGAAAAAATATGATTTTGAAACGCGACAAGAGATTAAAACAAAAAGGGAAGATACGGCACTCGCGGCTCAAAAGTGATCCGCTTAAATTGTGGTGCATGACCACAATTCGCTTTAGTCACAATTGGACATTCAAACAAGCTGCATGTGCACTCAATATAACAATGGTGTCGATTCTGGCACGATTCTCTAAATCTAAACTTAAATTTGACAACAGTGTATCCTTGTCATTCTCTATACAGAAAGAAAAGGAGAGACTGATGTTAAATTTAGTTTTAAGTTTAGAGAATCACGCCAGAATCGATACCAATATTGCGTATATTCTGTGCTATGCAGACAAAAAAATGTCCTTCGATAATTTTATAAAGAACACAAATAGTTTAAAATCAAATAATTCGTAACATTTTATTCTCAAAAATCACGGTTTGTCGTGATTGTTATTTACGTAATCGCCATTAGTTGTCAAGAAAAGGACAACAATACGCTGCGTTGAAGCGTATAGTTCTGTCTCGCTCGCTCTATTGAATGTTTATATACAGACGTGTGCGTGTGTGAGAGTTGCTTAATATGTAGTTGAGTCGGATCATATTTTATTTTATGCTAGTATGAGCGTACCGTATCTACCCTTCTTGTTTTAATCTAAGGTGGAGACTTAAAAATTAACCAAATGTGATATTCACAGGATATGTCAATGTCAACGAGATTATAGTGCGAGTACGTAGATGTCAAATCCGCGTTCTGCCTATATGCAACTGTTCACTATGACATTAATTATTTTTTACAAAAATGTATGAAACGTAATGTCTATTTCATTGACGTAGGATCCGACTTCCATCCGTTGTATCATGTAAGTAAGGGCCACTGATCTTGTTTGCAGGTTTAGATGTGACGTCACATCCCAGCGTTCTAAAATAGCATGCGTTTAAGCCTCGTTTAAGCTGCCCGAGCAAAGTGGTTATTTTTAATTTTTTAGACACTACTATTTTTTCGACTTAGATTTTTTATACTGTTTCAAAGGAGATTTAAACTACAAAATAAAATAAAAAATCATGTATATTCTATTGTGTTCGAGCGCGAATTGGTAAGATATAAAAAAAAGTGTGCCTGGGAAGATAAGCTTGGATAAGCTCTATACTCTATACCAAGAACATAACCAAGAAGAGAAAATTATGTGTCAAACAGTAATGCCAAATTTAGTAAATAAAATTGAAAACTTAAAAATAAATAACATAAACTGGTGTAAATAAAACTTGGTCTGCAAAAGGTGTTCGGGCTACCATGGCGAAGGTAAAAGAGGAGTACTCGTGTGAGATGTTCTCGAACAAATTCTTCATGTTATGCGCGGCTGGCGGCGCCGTCGCCTGCGGGACAACCCACACCGCCGTCACGCCGCTCGACCTCGTCAAATGCCGCCTGCAGGTCGACCCCGCCAAATACAAGTCCATATTCAAAGGCTTCGGCATCTCCTTCGCAGAGGGCGGCTTGCGGAATCTCGTCAAAGGCTGGGCACCGACTTTCATAGGCTACTCCATCCAGGGATCGGTCAAGTTCGCCGGCTACGAATACTTCAAATACAAATTCTCCACCATGGTGGACGAGGAATCCGCATTCCTGTACAGAACATACCTCTATTTAGCCGCTGCGGCATCCGCTGAGTTCATGGCAGACGTGTTCTTGGCTCCGTTCGAAGCTGCAAAAGTCAGGATGCAGACGACACCGGGTTACACGTCGCAAATGAGGAAAGCCATGCCACACATGATGGCCACGGAGGGGTTCGGCGTGTTCTATAAAGGTTTGGTGCCGTTGTGGGGAAGGCAAGTTCCTTACACGATGATGAAGTTTTCGTCGTTCGAAAAGACGCTGGAGTATTTGTACGAGAACGTGGTGCCGAAGCCTAGGGAGCAGTGCACTAAGGGCGAGCAGCTGATAGTGACGTTCACGGCGGGGTACATAGCTGGTGTGCTGTGCGCTATAGTGTCCCACCCGTCTGACACGATCGTGTCCAAGCTTAACAAGGATCCCAGCGCCTCAATAGGTGGCATCATCTCTGAAGTGGGTCCCGTGGGTATTTGGAGAGGTCTCGTGGCCCGTATCATCATGATTGGAACACTAACAGGGCTACAGTGGTTTGTCTATGATGCCTTCAAAGTTTACACTAAAATGCCCCGTCCGCCGCCCGCAGCGATGCCTGAGTCACTCAGAAAAAAATTGGCAGCGAAGAAGTAGTTTGATAGAAACTAGCGATCGTATCTGTCAATGCTTATGTTAAATCATGCGCGTCCACAAACAATTCACTGCAAATGTAATTACTACTGAATAAAAAAACCGTTTTAGGTATATTTTCATTGACTTTTACTAATCACGATAAATTTATGAAAGTAGCAGAGTAATTTTATCGTCGAAGCGCTAATGAAAGTAAAGTAAAAGTGGAACTCGATGGTTCAAGTTGTTAGCGCTTTCGTCTGCGATCGTTGAAGTTAAGCAACTTCCGCAGTGGTCGGTCATTGGATGGCTGACCAAAAACTTACTATCTCGAGCTCCTCCGTGCTTCGGAAGGCACATTAAGCCGTTGTTCCCGGCTGCATCTGCAGTCGTTAGCACCGACCAATCCACATGGGGCCCGCGTAGTGGGTCATGGCCCTATCTCCCTATTCCATCCTTAGGGAAGGCTTGTGCCCCAGCAGCGAGGACATGATATGACGATGACTAATATAAGTAACGTACCCATATTGGTAGCAAAATGCCTTCTTTCCTCAATTCCTTAAGATTATTGTACCTATATTTCCGTTTAATGCCTACTTTGTTTATTCACCAACCAAAATGTATGCATTACGAGGAACCATAATAATATTTGCCCGGAGAGTGGCGTGAAAACGAAAAGTAAGAATCCTTTTATTGGAAACCGATTCTTCACCAGTTATCTACACTATATCGGGAAATACGAACAGAAAAACAGATTATAATAGCACGCGACGATCGTATACAAAAGGCGGTGTGGATCCTTCGGGCAGCAATAACAATAATATGGGGATTTATCGGAACAACGTGGCCCACTTACCGGCCTTAGCTGTTCCTATCCGGTCGGAGTGACCTTAGTAAATGGACCGGTTGCCGGGCTATGTTTTATAAGTGGCCGGATAGCGGCTGCAAACACTGGCCCCATTTAACATAATCTCGGAGTTATCTTCTGCTCGCCAGAGATATGTTCCTATTTTTACAGTTTTGCGGAAATCCCTTACGGGGCATGCTATTGAAGGTTATGGCGGGATCGTGAATGCGTAATAAGAAATATACTAGCTGGGATGGCTTGGGAATATTGTTGTTTATTTTGTATAAAGTTTTGGGGGTTATAAGCGGCTTTGCGGCATTGAGACAGAGCCATTGGAATGAGTGTCGTGTCGTGTGTGTGATAACATAGCGAGTGTGTATTATGTCATTTAAAAATTAAGTAACAAATGCCAGTTTCTCCCCTCCCTGGATTGTATCTGAGCACCCTACGGTTTATACGCGAGTATTTGTGTACTAGTCTTGTATAGATTGGAGGACCTTGGTAAAACAAGTGATTTGCAATATATACGCGATTATTTTCGCACTTTTGCGTTCTGACCTTGTATACAAAATGGAATGACGCGGCTCCCAAAACCCATCTACCATTTTACTGTACGAAATTTTGTATTTACAATAAAAATATATCTGTCCTTTCTTCGACGACCTCCGTGGTCGAATGGTTTGTAAATGTTTGTAATAATAGTAGGTGTCGCCTACTCGACTCGGGTTCGAATCCCGATATGGGGCAAAAGTTTGTATTCATCGCGTACTATACGCGCATTTGCACTCCACTCCTGTGTGGCTGGCGGTTTGCACGCCGGGTTTCATGGTGTCGTCGACTCGAGAGGTCCCGGGTTCAAATCCCAGTGGGGGCAGATGTTTGTGTGATGAATACGAGCATTATGTACTCCAGTCATGGATGTTTAATATGTATTTCTATAAAAATATACTTATATGTGTACAGTATATGTATTCTATCCGTTACATTGGTATCCCACATAACACAAACATTATAGTGCTTACTTTGGGGTAATTGGGGTGAGTGTTGGAAATATTTATTTAATATTTATTAATGTGATGAAAGTTGACCTCAACACATATTTTCAGATTTTGATGTCATCTTTCAATTGACGATGAAATGAATTGTATGAAACAAAATAGGGAGAAAAAAAATAGCACTTGCTGAGTTTCTTGCCGGTTCTTCTCAGTACAAGGTCTCCCGCCGTAGTTGCTAATAATTAATGGTGGAAAATGTGCCGTCCTATGTTTACGATGAAGTCAGGCGACCACTTCAGTATAGATCTAAGCTTTATCTAATAGGAATAAGTCACTTTGCGATAAGGATGGCAAATTGATGAAAATCTGTTTAAAGCGTGAGAAATGTTGCGCTTTGTTTCTTTTGCGGAAAAATAACAAGTCCAACCGTTAAACTTCACAGATTTGTAATTACTTCACAAACACAGTGTACATATATATTAAACAGTCACAACACAGCACAAGAGAAATAGAAGGAGAATAGTTAGACTGAACATAAATAATAATGAAGAAACAGAGACTAAGAGAGTAGGTATATGCAATGCAAAGGTGAGCGAGCTAAGCCAGAGCGACATGCATTCAATGTATGCCGCTGACTCCCGGGCAGTGTTTCCACTTTAATGATTTCCTTTCCCCATGCCTCAATTCAGAGTTCCCCTTCTTAGGGCATTTTTCCCCTCAAAAATGATTCTGCTGTAGTTTTTAGATATGGCACTAGTGTAGTAACTGAAGAAAAAAAAAGTCTTAATCTATCTTATTCTATAACATATAAATAAAATATATAAAATCTGCACGTGTTGCCACAGTTTCTTTTATACGGCAACAACACTCTAGTCCACGGTATAATCCATAAAAAATTTGTTCCATGCCGCATTATTTTAGGCTAGCTAGGGCTAGGCTACCCATAATTTCCCGCAATTTCCCCTTTTTCTTCCCCTCTGGATCCTGATTTCCCCTTAAAAGGGGAATTTCCCCTCATTGTGGAAACACTGCTCCCGGGCCGCGGCGGGCACGGGCGCATCCCACCGTTCGCCGGCCACTGCGCGGAGACCGAACGAACGACCGGTATAGACACCGATCGCGGCGCGCGCGTCATTCGCACTCGCTATACATAAAGAAATATGCATGTCTCTTTGTCGAACTCAAAATATTATTTCAACAAAAATTTTTATATTACTTATTAATGAAATTGAATATTTACATTATTATTAATATAGATTTTATATATATAGGTAAAGGTTTGAATTTTTTCACATAAATTTAACTTAACCAAAAATATACAATTATAAATTAATTTAAGTTAACAACAAGTAGCTACAATTATAAAAGTACGCTACACTGTTTATGTTTTTCTGGTAAAGATGTTTTTCATTTAAAAACTCCCCTCAAGGGGGTCATTGGTGCACACTGGTTAGTGGTTGGTCTGTGATTGTTAAAGTTAAGAAACTTTCGCAACGACGAAAGGCGGCGAAAAGGGTGACTATTTTTTTTTTGTTTCAGTCAGGTTTCTACTTTTTAGCCTCTGACATTTTATATATTTGGTCTCTTATTTATTTTCATTTAACATCCTGCCATTCATTCTGACCAAATTTATTATCTTGAGGTCCTCTGTGTATTGGAAGGAAAGTCGTCTCCCTTTCTGTATTCTGTGGTCTGACCTGGTGCACAGGAATGGGGACTTTAATAAGCTGATGATAGAGCCCCCCCCCCCCCCTCGGAACGGGCCCCTGGGCACGCAACTCATTATGCTTAAAGTAGAGGTACTTTGCAGAATCTCAGAAACAATTAATAAAAGATAACTGACCTGTTACAGTAAATTAGTTATCGTAGTTATGATTTTATTTATTTTTTAAGCATTTAACTGCTAGATGTTGAAATCTAAAGAAAAGTTTACTAGAAAAAAATCCGAGAAGAAGAGATGGCGCTGCCTTGCAGCTTAAGGCTAGGAAAATTTCGACGCGGCTAATAGGGCCGTGGTAGCATAATGGTCAGTGCATTCGCCCGGATAGCGAAGGATGCGGGTTCGAGTCCCGTCCGCTGCCTGGTCCGCGTGGATTTTTTTCTAGTAAACTTTTCTTTAGATTTAAACATCTAGCAGTTAAATGCTTAAAAAATATATTATAAAATCATAACTATAATTGCTATTTCTTCTTTCAAATGTTTAATACTTGAAAAAGGTATTCATTTGACATTGTGGGTTACCTACAATGCGAAGAGATGGCGCTGCCTTGCAGCTTAAGGCTAGGAAAAATTCGACGCGGCTAATAGGGCCGTGGTAGCATAATGGTCAGTGGATTCGCCCGGATAGCGAAGGATGCGGGTTCGAGTCCCGTCCGCTGCCTGGTCCGCGTGGATTTTTTTCTAGTTATCGTAGTTTAGAATGATAATACTCTCATTCAATCTATACCACAATATTTCTTATGATATTTAAATTTTAAAATATTTCAGTAGTTAATTTTCTTTTCAACCGGTGTGAACCTGAACAAATCGCGTCAGGGATAGCTGCGCATGGGTATGACTAGAGAGCCAATCGGCGCAACGCACGTCCACCCGCGCACCTCGTTTCCCCCCAACACATCTTAATTTTTACTTCTGCGCAATAACAGTCAGCGCTAGAGTTTCGTGGCGCGACTTATAAGAACAATCTCACTTTTCATCGCGGCGTGATTTGAAATTTATTTGATATTCGTGTTCTTCTTTTAAATCACACTTTCATTCCGAGGTGAAGAGTGACTTTGTTCTTACAGAATAGTACCGCAGATATTACAACACCACAGCCAACATTTTTTTTGTTATATAGCGAGGTAGGCAAATGACTCTACCCCACCTGATGTTAAGTGGTGATAAAGTCCAAACGCGAAGATAGCTGGTACACCAGTTATAAACTGCTACACCAACCACCCTCACCTTGCCGGTCGGCAATAATGCTTCTTCACGCCTCTGTTAAAGGACTCCGGATTGTAGGAAGGTGGGAACACGTGCGTGGAATATATATAGTATCAAAAAAAAATAAACTGTAATCAGGTATTAAGTTGGACAACCCTAGTAAGAGCGCAGTCATGCAGTAGCGACTTACCAAGTCCAAAGCAAGTTCCGAACAGAATTCGGAGTTATTGCATAACAACTGCAAATCTAGTTTACGACTTTTGCTGTCACGAATGTACTCTTTATTATTAAACTTATCCATTATAAAAGTTTTTAATATTGTTTGAGATTTTGCGAGTCTCCATTAA